GTGCTGGTTGTGGGAGCCGGAGCAGGGGAAATTTCAGAGGAAGATGACGACGTCCAGTCGCCCCATTGGGATTCGGTGCTGGTTGTGGGAGCCGGAGCAGGGGTAGGGGAAATAATCTCAGATGACGACGAGGTCCAATCCCCCCAGTGGGATGCGACCTTTGTGCTCTCTGGTTGAGGGGACGGTGCGGGAGTTGTTGTCTCTTCGGGCAACTGACCAACTTCTGTCGACGACGACGACCAATCACCCCAGCTACCACCACCTGCGCCCCAGCTTCCTCCATGACCACCCCATCCACCGGGTGCTGCGACAGCGACTGCTGCGAAAGAGACGAGGAGAGCAGACTTCATTTTGAAGTATGTTGTATATGGGTTTGTTGGAGGTTGTGGGTGAGATTAAGTTAAGACAAGACCACACAAGAGTATTGGTGTTCGAAACAAGGATGATGGATGATCGGCTCTTTGTGTGTTTGAGGAAGGCAAAGGTCCTTTTGGAGTGATTGACCCTTTATATGATCGGCTTTGGCTTTGGCTTTGACAACGAAGGGACTTGTTTCTTTGTTGGCGGACAGCAGTGGATGATAGATCAGGAGAGTGAGTGACTTGTGACTTTGACTTGATGGATGACAGAAAAAGAAACATTGTCAATCAGGGGTGGAAGACGCGTTCAAATACCTGTCAGGAGTCGGGACTCGACCATGGCACGTCATGCAGGATGGAGGAGGCTGACGGGTCCCATGGAAGTCACTGCGCTCGAGCGCTCGCTAGTGACAGGATTCAGGGGTGGCAGGTCAGTTAGTCACAGCCAATATTCTGGTCCTAACGAGTATCCCAGTATGACTATTGACATAACGACGACGTTGCCCTGCTGCGTATACACACGGACTGAAAGATGGTGCAAGTATAGAATAGGAGAACGGACCAGGCTGGGGCTGGGATTCGAACAGATCCAAGGTTTCGATAGGCCAGATCTGACAGGGAAGAGAAGGCTGGTAGCAGGAACACAGCCATTCATGTCGTCGCTCGCTCGCTCAGACTCGGCTGAGTGGCAGCTCGACGGGCGCTGAAAAAGTTGGTTGATGTGCATTGGCCAGGGGGATCTGCCGGGCTTGGGCGAATAGCGAGGCTGGCTTCCAATATGAAACGAGACCAGCCTCGCCTAGCTTCGTTTGAGAGATGGTTGGGGACTGGGTTGGCGGCGCGATTGACGAGAGTCGCCAGAGAGGCGAGCACCCGGAAGAGCTGCCTTGGGGCCTCGCCAGGCTGGGCCCATGGGGGGTTCCGGCTGTCAACAAGCCCGTCACCGGGGTGGCTTGTATGCTTGTCTCTCCGCTCGGACCTCAGGAGGGCTGACGAGGCCAGTCTAGCATGGTTGGTGTGCCGTCCATGTGCATGTTAGCAATCCAGCCGCCTGGTAGTGTAGCCGATAGATAATCCCCAGCCCTCCCATGTGAGAACCAAGGACTTCATTGTGGTCGTTGCTGGAAGCTCGTGTGTCCTCGTGGGCTTGATGATCTTCCGGACCATTGCACGGCTGGGTTTGCTCTTGACAATGATCGCCTGAGATTGCGAACAAGTCGGACCTCGATTCTTGTCCCTCCCCCTGCTTGTCAGCGGCGCTGTGGAAGTCCGTGACAGGCTCTATTCTTGTTGGATGAGCCGCTGGTCCAGTCTCCGCAGGGCTCCAACGGCGGAGGCCTGCCGCTCGCTACTGGGGCAAACTCCCATTGCGTATTTGCCCCTTAGGCTCTGCTCAACAGCGGGGGAGTTGCGCGGCCACAAGGGAGGAGGAGGCCAGCTGTGTCGGCTGCTCTGTCGCTTACACGGACGTCCAGCGATTCCAGGTCCCCGATGTGTAGCCCGAGCCTTTCGATTGACGTCTAGGGAAGTACCACTGTAAACGTGTCGAGGGCCTTGTGCTATGTTCAGCCCGCTTTGACTTGGAAATCGGACCACACATTATTGTTGCGCAAGCATCGCGGATACTCGCATAATCCTGGTTTTGGGCACAGTCGTCAGTAACAGGTAAACAACATGACGTACGAATCACAGATTTCCTTCACGCTGGATACAATCTGTCCATGGTAAGACAACCGTCGGTCCTTGATCCCCGACTCGGACACCGGAGAGTTGGTAATCGAGCTGACCTCCGTGTCACAGGACGTATCTGGCGAAGAAGAGGTTTGTTTGCACGTCCTCTTGCACTGGCACAGCATCTCTGCATGCGATATGCAAGCCCGCACGCAGCCCGGGACTCATTCGTTCGTCGCCCATCGGTCAGATTCAGTAGCTGACTTGAAATGAAAATGTGCGCAGACTGGACGAAGGTCTGTACGCCCAGTGATTGATGATGATGCTGGCAATCTGCACATCGGTGGAACACAATCTGCATTCAATCCATTGTTGCTCCCTCTCTGCCTGGATCCTCAGTCGGTCGTCTCTTCCTTTTTGTCCGCCTGACACTTTCGACAGCCCTTCGTCGTTTCCGCGAGACCGATGACGCCAAAACCACCACCTTTGTGGTCAAGTTCTTCCCTTACCAACTATACCCGGAGGCCTCGAAAGAGGGGGAAGACAAGGCTGAGTGGTACAAGAAGTCCAAATATGGCGACTCACAGGAGAAAATGAACACGTACATCAAGTTGATGACGGCGTACGGTAAGACCGCAGGCATCGACTACAAGTTTGGCGGCACTGTTGCCAACACGCTCGATGCGCATCGTGTCATCCAACATTTTCAGGAAGAGAAGGGTTCTGAAACAGCAGATAAAATCATCAACTGTGAGCTGTGCTTGCTCCCCTTTGCGCACAGAAGTATTGACTTATTTGCGACAAGCGCTGTACTCGCAGTATTTCGAGCATGAGAAGCACCCTTCTTCGACAGAGACATTGCTCAAGGCCACTGCAGATGCTGGCATTCCTGAAGAGGAAGCGCGGCCTATTATTGAAAATAAGAACGAGGGACTGGCGGATGTCAAGTCGCTGATCCAAGAGCAGGCCATGAACGGAGTAGACAGTGTGCCAACCATCATATTCGAAGGTAAGAAGAGAGACTTCACTCTCGTTGGCGCCAGAGATGTGGAAGAGTACGAAAAGACGTTGCATCAGATTGCAAAGGAGAGCAATTGAGGAATGAGACATGAGACACGATGGCTGGAACGGAACGAGATGAATAGCTTAGGTATCAAGCAATGGCATTGCTTGACATCCATCACTGGAATGCGTGTCCCCCTTGCTACCCGTAACTTTAACCCCATGAGCCTGAGTCGGCCGTAGTATACAAAAGAATCGTGACACGACATTCATCCCATCAGATCTAAGTCTATACCTCGAAAATCTCCCCAAAGCCAACGCCAGATCCAGCCCTTCTGGCATCGACTAGATCCAATCTCCAACCCACCCATTGCTTCAGCCCTTTCTTGACTTCTCTGACATGTTCAACCATTTTCCGCGCCTCTTCCTCGCGTTGAGCTTGTGCAAACGCATTTTCGTCAAAGGCGTCGTCGTCAAATTCTTGCAGCAGCGAGTCATTGCGAGGTCGATTTTGATGCCGTGCTTGAGAGACTGGAGACGTGGTGCTCGCACGGAAAGCGGCCAGCCCAGAATTCAGGACCTGCGCGAATCCAGAATGCCGGCCCTGTTGCTGCTGCAACGGGTTGGCGAAGCTTCTCCTCCGACTGCCCTGAGCAGAGCCCGACAGATCAACCTCATCGAAGTCCTCAGCGGGATCCAAGGAAGTTCTGGATCCCTCATCGCCGCGTGGTTGCATTTGGATCCGCTTGTCCCTCCAAACGCCTCGTTGCAGATCAAACACTTGTCCTTCCAGCTCTCGAATTCTTCTTTCCAGTTTCTGTCGTTCTTCATCTTCCAATTCATCCAGCCCGTCGCCGCCAGCATCGCCGCTCATCGTTCGCTTATGCTTCTCTCTGAGTCTTTCGTTTTCGGTGTGAAGCTTTTCCACTTGGGCACGGAGCGCCGGCATCTCTCTGGCCGCAGCCTCTGCAGAAGCGAGTTTGGCCGCGTTTCTCGATTCTGCTTCCCTGTGCAGCTTGTTCATGGCCTCGATTTTCTTCTCGAGTTGATCGGCCTTCTTGGTGGCCTCGTCTCGCTGGGAAACGGTCTCTTGTAACTCTCGCTCCAACGCTCGGATTTTGGTTTCTTTGCTCGTTCGTTCGGTACCGTCGATGACGGCCTTCTCGCTAGCTTTGGACAAGGCTTTCTTGACGTCCGCCAGCTCGGTCTCCATTGCTTTCATTTTGGCTTCTGCAGCTGCCAACGACGCCTGTAATGCGGCAACCTGGTCTTCGTAGCTGGCGGAGCCTTGCGTCTCGCTGGATAATTGGCTGCGTAACCGTGATATCTCCAGTTGCATGTCAGCGATCGTGGAGTCTTTGTTTTCCAGCTCCGCCTTCAGAGTGGTCAGGTCATCGCCTCCGCCATGGTTGCTGTCCTTTCTTGTAGTACTGTTTCTGCGCCGTAGTGTCTCGATTTCGGCCCGTAGCCTCTTTAGCTCTTCCTCACTACTGTCGACACCCGCGGACGCTGACTTTTCGGCATTTTGTTCGCGCAGTTCTTCCAGCTCTTCTTCCATTCTCCTCCACCTCTTTTCGTGGTCCTCTGCTTCTTTTGCTAAGCGTTTGTTTTCTTTCTCCAGTTCCTCAACCCGTGCCAGCGACACAGATGCCGCTGCGGGGCTTAGAGGCGCACTGTCTCTGAAACTCGTGCTTCTGATCTTACTCTGGAGGCTGACGCTGGGTTGCCGCGCCGAATGCCGTGAGCCTTTGCCGGGTGATGATGCATCCTGGTCTGCGGGAGGAGGAGAGGCCGTAGCGGGGGACTGTACGGCATCTTGGTCAGGAGACGCCTCGCTCGCTGCCCGAATCGCCTCGTTGAACGCTTCTTCGTCGGCATTTGGCGAATCGGCATTAGCTTCCTGGGCGGTTGATGGTTCCTCAGGCACAGAATCTGCGACAACGTCTGGGTTTGGAGCGTTCTCCTCTGCCTCAGGCGCAGTCTCACCGGTGCTCGGTTCTTTATTTGGGGCCTCTGCCGGCGTGGCTTTCGCTTTGCTTGACTTTTCGGTTGCACTGCTGCCTGCTGCCTTCTGTTTCTTCTTCTGTAGTTGAGCAACCTAGATAACCCAGTTTAGTGTTGTAGTCTGGCGCCGAAGGATAGTACGGATGTAGGCTCACCCTCTTCTTCGCAGCGGCCAACTTCTCCGCCTTTTCTTTGTCTTCTTTCTCCCCCATTGTGAAAAGTCTCCAATGTAATCAGGAATGCGCAGTATGGGTTCAAGGGGAGTGTGTCTTGGTAGATAGAATGCCACTCGTAAGGAGCATATATTGGCCTATATTCTGTCCACAGCCGACCAGGAGACGTGTGGTTCGTCTCTAGGTACGCGACCCCGGGGTCGCAGCCAATAGGAACCAACAACACCAAACACCTGCTATGCAGTGGCCACATGTACCACAGAACACTCAGGCTCCAGTTGTAGACACATCCGCAGTTGGTCAATTCACGTCCAAACAAGATTATTCGCTTCTTCTCGTACAGCAGTGAATACCTACCTAAGGTAGTCCCGAGCCCATTCGCGGAGTATGACTCAGTTCGAGCCCGATTTCACTTAATGTGATGTCGGCTGTGTTCAATGTTACACTATTCTCATTAAGAGGTGATAAGGACTAGAATCTCATACAAAAGCTAGCTGCTCAGTAGCTCAATCAGTTCGACAACGCTGCCCAAGTTGATGGGCCAGGCGTTTCCTTGGTGGCGCCTCCGCAACAAACTGTACTGATCCAATTCAAACAATGGCAAGCCGACTCCAGCATAGCGCCTCGATCCCTGCCTCAGCCCCTTCAAACTCCGGAACCTCCTATCCTTCCCAAGTGGTACTATCCAGGCAATTCCTCAAGCCACTCTCACCGGCCTGACAGGAAACGCCGTAACATTCTGGGTATCATCATTAGTACAAAAAGAGAACAGTGTGTGCCTGTCCTTAAGCGCTCCGCCCAACACTTCGGATCGGTAAGAAGATAGACACGATTCAAACTTCCATGGCGCCCACGACCTCTTCACTCATTCCGCGTATTGTGCTCTTGCTGTTGCTACGGGCGCTTCTGACGTCTTCGTCGCTGAGAACGTAGCTGTCGTGTTCGTCCACAACCGGTCTGGCGGGAGGCGGGAAATAATCTTCTTCTTCGCGCATGACTTCGTCCTCGTCCCGCTCGATTGATGGCATCTCTGTGTCTTCAGGCTCGACTTCAACACCGGCGCGATCCCCGAGCCAGTATCTCGCCCTCTTATGGGCGCCCCATTCTGGGGTCATCCAGCCATCAGACTCGTCGTCCGCGAATCTCCCGGCCTTCGAAGGTGTACGGAGTCCATCATTCGTCGGCATGGTCAGAACGCTGATGCCACGAAGGTAGAGGTAACACACTCGCTTGCGCGCCTTGTTGAAGAAGAAGTAATTCATCGACCACAATGTTCCTTCATCGTCGTCCTCGAAGGGGTCAAGGTCTTCAGGCGCATACCGATAAATGCTGCAGTCCCGCAAGCTCATTTGCTGATCAATCAGTCTCCACATGCCTGGGCCCCACTGGGTCTGGCTTGATGGAGGGCAGGCGGACTCTGGAGCCAAACCTGGCACATTCAGGAATGAATTCAGAGGCCGGGGCCGCAGGTTGTAGAGGGTGGTGTCCAATGTATTCATAACATGACGCAGGCTCTTTTCTGCCTTGAAGTCCGTCGGTCGCAGCATGTGAGAGAAGTCGTAGTCTGGATGGCTTGCATTGAGAGTCGCAATCAGATATGCAAACGTTCTCCGAGAGCTCGTAATTCCCAGATTGCCAAACGGACTGCTGCGGCTCAGGTTTAGGCTCGATGCCATCATATGCGCTTGCGGTGGGGACAGCGAATGCGAGAACTCCAGGTTCGACTTGTACTGTTCTTCAAGGCCATTTTCAATGTTCTTGTACAGTTTCTTGTCACCTCCTGCGGCTTTGGTAGTGTACAAGTCACATCCACCAATAACGTGAAGATCAGGGGTCGTGAAATTGAGGGCGGAGGTGACAATGTCGAGGTCGCGATTCGGTACAAACTAGAAAGAAAGTCAGTCTCGGCGCAGTATTGAAGTCGCAACAGCTAGACTTACCTTCATTGTGGCTAGTTTGGGCTATATTGTGATCAAGCCTATTGTACGACACTGAACACAAGCACTCAGGATTGAAACTTGAGAATAAGAGCGCGGCGCAACCTGGAACTGGCGGTGTTGACACGGTGATTGCAGTTGAAGTGAGGAGGCACTGGGCCCAAACGTGCTAAGTGATTGCGAACGCGGCGTTATCTCTGCTGGCTGCAGAGACGACACTTGAGCGGTCGGAGGAGCCAGACGTCGGACGTCTAGCAGGTCACGAATTGATGATAGAAGGCCATAACAGATGTGTGTTGTTGATGCGACGAGGATGAAGTGAGGTAAGGTGAGATGAGGTGAGGTGAGGTTGACCTGCGCGCGGAGAAGCCGATTGAGGTTCCAAGGTTGCGACATGCGCGGCACAGACAAAGCGGCTTATCGGTCACGTGAGATGGTCAAGGCAACCAATAAGCTAGGCAAACCTCGCACATGCGCAGAAACAAGCAAAGACAATGGATTCATACCTAGGTACTCACGAACATCGAACATCGAACATCGTGTCTGGTGTCATGGCCAAGTCAGTTTGGGTTGTTGGTGAACAAAGGAGAAATGCAGAAACGTTGGACAACGGGGCTGTCTGTCAGCGCATGGTCTGGACAGCTGTGCAGGTCAGCCGGCACCCGAGATGGACCGTCTTAACGTGCTTGAATTTAATTTCATCTCTTCATAACAATGTACATGACGTTTTTGCTGCACTAAGCAAGCAAAAGAAGACCCTGTTTGCAAGGTCCATGTATGTTTCCCTGGGTATCTTTCCTGAACGCCTACCCCTTCCACCAGCTGTACCAATGAATTCGTCAAGCATTGGAGAGTTCAAAGTAAACCACCTTGTTTCAGTGTTGCTTCGGTGGCCTGCAAGACAAAATGTTTGTCAATATTTGTTTGTCCCCATCATAGTGTGGTGTTCACAACGTGTGTCAGTAGGCACCCAGCTGATGCAAAAAACTTCTCGGGACTCCATGCCCAGGGAATCATAGAAGCGGCATGGAAGTCTCAAGCGTCTTCAGCATCATGCTCTACATGATTTTCGTCACATCTTCTTCAACCTGAGGGAGGGTAGAGCTCACGTCAGTTCAACTGTCGCAAGCGGGAAATGGAGAAGGGAGTTTTCCACCAACAGCATGCGATGCGATAGGGGTTGCAGTGAGATGACCACAGACAAAATCATGGTTCGCTGGACGAGGGTGTCGCTTGTTCGGCCCAGAACCTAGCAAACGTGGAGTACTTACCTCCATGTCTTCGAGGCTGTCCTGTTGGCTTATGCACCTCAGCACATTTTTCTTGCTGCTCTCTTGCAGTTCACCAGCAAGCAGAAGCTCATCCAGGATAAAGTACGCCTTTTGAAAGTTGAAGATGATGTCCAATTCACACACGTTGCCATAGTACTTGTCCATCTGTTCAACGTATCTGTGGACGATCTCCAGAGTAATCAATTCGTTGTCGGTAGAGGCACAGCCGGCAATGAAGAAAAGGGACGCATAACGGCGATAGACAACTTTGGTGTCTATTGGCACGACGGTTAGCCCAACTGGAACAGAGGTATTGAGGAGACGGTCCGAGTGTGATTGCAATGGGAACGGTCAGGGTTGTGGACATCCGCACCCTTGTACTCGAGAAAATTGCACATCCGAGTCCGTCTAGAGAGGACGAGTTGAGATACATCCTTGATGATCTTCGCCTTCTCCTTCGGCGAGAGGGTGGTGAACCATTTCGCAAGCCTCTATTTGCAGTTTGAGATCAGCTCAAGTACAGCGGTGGGCAACCGTGGGAGAGAATCATCCTACCACTTTACCCTGCCGGGACAGCAAGATGAGGTAACTGCTGGCTGTCAGTCTCTCTTGTAGCTGTTACAGTGCACATTGCCTCACTTGATAGCCATCTTGCTGCCACAATTCGAAGAAGGAGCAAGAAGATAGAGAGGACAATTTCGTAAAATGGAAGATGGAGGAAATTAGGTCAGTGGATTGTATACACAGTGAGCCAAGTGGGTAGTATTAGAATGCTTTTGTTCCGGCCCAATTGGCTCTCAGGAGCGAGGAGTAATACCTGTAATAGTTTAGCTTCATTATGTTAAAGCAGCCTTTCCCATTAACGTCTAGCACCTTCAGGTGGAGCAAATCAGATTAGCCATGATGAAATTCTGAAGGGCGCCCCTCCGGCAAAGCGGGATGCGAAAATGGCGTAATATTCATCCAGGCATGAGACCTCAATTGCTGCGAACACCGTCCACAACTTGCACCAGGGCGCATACAACGCTGTACATTCCTGGTTGAACCTTGTCTGCCAGACCGCCCGTATATATAGAAATTACCGAACTCTGTATAATTCCCAGGCCGCCTCTTCAAGATGAAGCTGGTACTCTCAACCTCGTATGGTGTTGTCTCTCTCAATTAACGGCATCTCTTCTGACCTGAGTTGTTATGCAGAAATATCATGTGCTCCAGTCAAGCCATTGTTCGGCGGCCGTTGTTTTCAAAGTCGAACATTGAGCTGATCAATGCTTTGCGGGCCAATTTTGCCGTTTCCAAACATCATCACTCCCCGAGCGGTGGAAGCCAAGAAGAGCCCGATTATCGGCAATGGACGACGCAGGAAGGTGACACGCTTTATATCCCATCATGGCGGCCGACTCCGCTCACCGAGCCTCGCGATTCCTACGATGTTACCGCGAAACTGTTCTTCTTACCTTCCATACCGACGGAGCGTCGTTGCAAACACACCCGCGAAGCTATTGACCTGGTGCTCAAAGAGTTGGGTATCAATAACATTGATCTATTGATTGTGAGTTATCCGGGCGTCAGCTTTGACGCGGATGACGAAGAAGGATCTGCCGATGAGGATGAGAGTGCGACTAGCGACGAGTCCCAAGGTCTAGATGCGCAAGTGAGGACGTGGCGGGTTCTAGAATCGCTGCATGAACAGGGCGTCATATCGCAGCTTGGACTGTCGGAGTTCAGTTCTGAGCGCCTCAGCAAGTTTTTGCCCGAGGTAAAGGTGCGGCCAACTGTTGACCAAATAAATGTCAAGGACTGCTGCGTCGTGCCCAAACCTCTGATCATGTATGCCAAGGAGAATAACATAGAGCTTCTCACGCATGCCGATTGTACGGATATTCTGCCGCCTGGAACGACAAGAGAATTGCTTGGTCCAGGGAAGGATGGTGCACACATCCTCGCTGCGCATCCCGATGCTGGGCTGGACGAGCCTGGTTTGAAGGGAGACGTCGAGCCACAATGGGTGATCAAATATACAGCCGTGGTGAAGAACCGGGGCGTGATTGAGAACAAGGGATATTTCGCCGTTGCACAACTGGGCGACTGCATTGAGGAGAAGGGCGCGCACACAGCATAAGCCTCGATGCAGCACGGACAGATGACTGGGTTTTGGTTGAGCATGGCGTTGGCGGTTGACGTTGGAGTTCTTTCACCCGATCATGCTTCTCTTTCTGCCTCTCATCCTGACATCTTCGAGTCTCTTCAGTACCACGTTCGAACCTTTATAGCTACCTCTGTATCCTTCTTGACTTTGTAGCACTTCGGCATCAAACCAGCCTTCTTGTCTTGGGTGGGTTGATCCGAAAGCCCGCTCCAAGACATACAGATCGACCGCGCGGTCCTCATCTTGTACTGACTGAGTGGCCAGTCCGAAATCGATCAATACAATCTCCCCATCGAAATTCGGCGGTGCTGCAGGCTTATCTTGGCCCTTCTCGGTCCCGTCGGTAGTCGTAGGTGAGCCGTTGGGAGTAGACAGATGTGTCGAAGGCCTTATCATGATGTTGCTGCTCGTCAAATCGCCATGCACTACTCCGCCTTTGTTGTGCATCGCGCCCACTGCTCTTCCAATTCTGCGCAGTAATTTCTTCACTTCCTCTTCTTGCGCTTGGATTTCCTCTGACGGCATATTGGAAACCCCGCCTTTGTACCACGCATCCCATTCGCGTAATAAGTCTTTGACGCATCTGCCCTCGATCCACTCCATAAGTAACCAGGCGCCTCCGCCTGTCGTCCTGCGGGTATCTCGTTGACTTTCAGTCAAGCCTTTGACTTTTCTCGCCGCGTCCCATTCCAAGCTCAGCACTGCTGGAACTTTCACTTCATTTTCGGGGTCACTCGCCAATGAGGAGAGTTTGACTAGCACTCTTGCCTCAGCCAGAACCCGCTGCTTGGTTAATCGGGCATCGAGAGTGGGGTGTCGATACGCTTTACTTGGACGCGCCTTCAAGGCGGCGGGTGTAGAGGGGTTGAGGAAGTGTGTGCGGTAAAGAAGGGCTTCTGCGCCTTGTGTGACGAGTTCAGGAGGAGGTTGAGTCTCAGTAAAAGGGTAAGGCAGGAAGGGTTTGTCCTGTTGCGGAGTGTTCGTGCTGGATGCCATGGTGAAGATCTAGCATAAGAAGGCAGATACCATCAATGACAACCAGAGCCGGAAGTAAAGCAGAAGCCCTAGATAAGACAAGTTCGTTTCGGTTCAGCCCACAGTGTCAGACAACTTGAACCGTCCGTTTGTTTCGTCCTTGACACGTTTGGCTCAACATCTGGCTCGCGGACGGATCTTTTGAGAGCCTGAGGCACGACAACTGTATCAACGCGAGTCATTGACCACTGCGCTAACGCACAGCCAGGGCGCCCAGCATGACTCGCGTGACTTCCTTCCCAACCTGCCACTTCCATTGCCGAACTACTAGTACTTGAGTCGAGTTCTACAATTGTAGACATCGATCACAACTTGAACCTCCAGTATTTCCACACCCATCTCACCAAAGTGTTGGGCGCAATATCTACCTGCTTATCCTACGATGCAGCTGTGACTGACAGTGAACAGAGCTATCTGCACCAGATGCCACCTATCGATAGTTCTAAGCGAAGGCGCAGCTTAGAACATCTGCTCCCTGCTCAGCCTGATCGTCTGCTCAACGTCTACCTGCGCACATTACGTCTCCCAGAAAAGGCCCCCATTTGAACTGGCCCGGTAGAGAGGGGTCGAATGCATGTCGCCACCTGGCGTCGATGTTCGACTCTACACAATGGCATGGGTGCGCGGCAGAAGGTTGCTGTCGCTGACCGCGTCCTGCATCTGAGGCTTGAGACGTTATGCAGTGTCGCACCAGGCATCCAATGATGATGCCTGACCATTTTTCAGCCGCAGTTTAGCTTGGACTCAAGTGTACGCTGCACTGTTCAGACTGGTACTTCCCCAGGCTTTATAGTAAGTCATTTCGGACGGCCAGCCCTCTTACCTTGATCTGTGATGAGAAACTCTTCCTCGTGGGGACAAGGCAAATTGCCTCGATACCAACTCGAGAGAGGGCCTTGCTAGCCATATATGGACTTTTCGGCAAAGAGACTTGAAGAATTGGGAACGAGTATTCCTATCACCTGTCTGAATGATCACCCTCAAGGGCTCAGCCTCGTACAGGAGCATTGACCTCTATCAGCCACAGACAAATCACTGAGTCTGCTTAACCGAGTTCGACAGGAGCCTCGCCCTGGTATGGCCAATGAGATGTCTAGATTCGCTGACCACGGAGCCAACTACGCTTTCAACTATGGAATTTGCCTTACTCGCGTCCTACTTCTTGTCACCTACGGCTATACTTTTCGTAAGCCGCTGAAAAAGCGCACGATTGGCATCTTGGTGGCCTTGGCTATTCTCTTCGTCCTGGGTCATCTAAGTTTTGCCCCTCAGCAATCTTCCTCCGTGAAACCAAAACACAATGCGTCCATTACCTCAGTTGCAGTGTCCGCTGACCTGGCGGAGTGGTGTTTAAGCGTGTTTCTTGCGGCCAATCTTGTTTACTACCTACATCGATGGCCTATCAACGTCAGCATTTATGCTCTCATACTTTGTCCGTTAACGGCGCTGCTCAGCATAATTAACGGCCAACATCACCGCCATGTTCTACCACAAATTTCCCCTTCAACTGCCCCCTACTTCTGGGTCTTATTTGCGTGTTCTATGTTACCAATGCACCACTCCTGGGGTTCTCTGGGCGACTTACGCTTCCCGTTGGAAGACGTGCTAGTCTTTGTCCAAGCCGGCCGACAGGCAGTACGCGAGCGGCGTAACCCTCCAGATGGCATCGGGATTGGGACAGGCGCTCTGGAAGGGTTTGCGTTGGCCGACGCCTTGGAAGGGATTGATGATACCGAATCAAGCAGATCTGAAAGGCGACAGGCCTTCTCGGAGTGGTCTACAGGGATCACCTACAACCATCTAACGGATGATAAAATCCGCATTCTTCAGGTTGTCGTTGACGACCTGACATCGCCGGATGAACTAAGGTTCACACTCACCGATCGCCCGCTCTCCGAGATCGAAGGTGAATACGCGGCTGTAAGCTACTACTGGGGCAAGCACACCCAAGAAAGGAAGAGCATATACATCAACGGACGCAAAGCCTTCGTCACGGCAAGACTCTACGATACCTTGTTGGAGGTACGCCATGTTTGGAAGAAGCCTTTCTGGGTCGACGCTCTCTGCATCAACCAAGGTGATCTAGCCGAACGAAGTGCCCAGGTGCTTCGAATGAAAGCCATTTACGGAAGGGCGAAGGAGGTCTTGGCCTGTATCGGCACGGAGGATGATGATGACCATTGCCCTCTGATGATGAATTTCCTAAGTGGAATATCCATGGACTTACCTGAGAATATTGAGTTCCCGGCGTACGGCAAGGCTTCGTTCGACGATCTGAAGGCATTGGTCCGGCGGCCGTACTGGCGCAGAGTGTGGATCATACAGGAAATTGCTGCCGGCAGAAAGGTGTCACTGCTGGCGGGCGGCGAGCATGTACCGCTGGACAAACTCTCCTATCTTCTCGCGCACGTGGATAAGCAGCCGCCGCCGGAAGCGGAATGGCCTCAGTTTAACCAAGACTTACATCTAGTCAGGCAGATCCTTGAGATTCGCACACGTCGAATCAACGACAAACCGTTGCGGCTGCTTCAAATCTTGGCTAAGACGCAGAGATCACTTTCTACGATACCTCATGACAAAGTATTCGGCTTACTGAGCTTGACCACTGATGGCCCCGATTTTATCGCCGAGCCAGATTACAAACTATCCGAGACCGACGTTTGCAAGAGGATGACTCGGTCGTTTATTGAATCTCGACAGAATCTCGACATTATCTTGGCTGGCAGCCAGCACTCGGAAGATTCTCCGTTGCCGTCCTGGTGTCCGGATTATTTAAGGATTGCCAGCACCTCGCTGGCACATGATGACAATATGTTCGTGAAGTATCTTTCTCGCGAGGACAAGTGCTACCGACTAGGAAAGCAAGGCGTCATATGGGAAACCACTGGTGGACGCAATGGAGAGCGAGGAGTTCACGTCGACTTCCGCGACGACGAATTGTGGCTACGAGGTCTTCGCATTGGAACCATTGCGGGACTCGGCGCCACTGGACGACAGAGCACGGCAGCAGACGCCGAAGAGCACCGCTTTGTACTTTCGAAGCAAGACACGAATCTTGTCAAGACCAAGCCTAGCAAGGGTGGCCACGCAAATACCCACGCACGACGGCCCTCGAGTGATCCGTCAACCGCGAAACGAGGCTACTCAACCTATGACGGTCTGTGTCGCATGCTCCTCGTCCACGACAGCCATTACGTCGAGTTCACCAAGAGCCCAATCGTGCTAGGGATGCTCTACAATATTGGGTACCTGGCGTATGCGGCTTTCGGAGGTTCCAAGGCGGATATGGTGCTGAACTGGCTGAAGAAGAACCGCAATTTTCTCGTTCACGGCAAGACGCTGCGCGACAGGGCGTTCTACTCGTGGGACCGTGTCGGCCACAACTACTTTGCCGGTTTCTTCAAGTTGAACGCCAAAACCATGACCGTCTGGCATTATCGGCATATCACCGAATCCGTGTCACGTATCATCGCCCAGAACTTGCGGCTCATGTCCACCTCTGGGGGAGAGGTCGGCTGGGTCCACCCGCGCGCCAAACTGGACGATGAGATCTTTCTTTTTCAGGGGTGCAGCCTGCCTGTTGTGTTACGTCCATTGGGAAATGAACCACGCATGGCTTCTACCCAGAGGCTGCCAACTCCCACCTCGGCCATGAAGCATCGTCCTAGTGATTCCACTGTCAGCACACTCGTGCCACCGCCGAGGTATCGTGTCGTGGGCCACGCTATTGTCGATGGATATATGGATGGCGACCGCTGGTCTAAGACTAACGACAGCGAACTCACTGACATTACCGTGGTATGATCGACGGCAGACCAGCATTGCGATCATGATTGTCCCCCGTTCATTCTAGCACCTGTCGCGAGCCTTATCATTGTGGGCTGTGTGTCCGATTCAACACAGAGCTGAGCCCATGATTTGCGGAGCTTTACAGGGTGGGTCAGGGTCAAGCTGAACCAGAGTCCACCATAAAAGCGCGGTGAATCTGGCTGTAAGTGTGTCAATCACTCGTCTTGAGTTACTATTTTCGTTCCTAGTATGCGTATTATACGTGTCACTTGGACGATCTGAAGCGCCGATATACTTATTGTGTTCACAGGTGCCGTGGAGTACAAAAGGATTTACATATATGTGTGCGTGTCTGTATATGCTAATGATCTGGTTAATGTGGAGCTGCTGGCAAGTGGTTTATTAGACGTGTGTTAAAAGTCGACTGATGGTAGTTATCCATCATTTGGTGCTGTTCTGGTACAGTCATGAGCCTCATTATGGAAAGGTCTGTTCAGAAGCCGATGAGAGGTTTTCCGGCTGAGCACACAGGAGTATTAAAAACTGCTTGAACCTATTCTAAAAGTTGATCAAGCCAAAGTACACCAGGAACAAGATCCTACTATACGCCGACTCACTTCTGTGGTAGCACTTGACAGTAGAACACGAAACTTTTCTTCTCTTCCTCAGAGGTCCCCATCATCAATTAGCTTCGGGACTTAAAGCCCTGATCAAATCGCGAAGCTCATTGACTTGGCCCTTGAGCTCACGGATCTCCTGGACGTCGGCATCGACCTCGACAATAGGTTTCGTGGCGCAGACTTTGTCGTTCCAGCCTTCGGCGTTGAAGTCAACCTCATCTTGCATCTCTTCCCACTCCTCGACGGTGTCGTCATCCTCTTCGCCTCTTTTGCGATTCTTGCGGACGGAATGTGCTTCTCTGGCCTCGAGGGCGGCAGTGATGACCAGCAAGGGGGAATAAATGACGCCCATGACATAGTCGTTAAGACGCTCGTAATGGTGGGGATCCATCCACCACTCGAAGGGGATGATGAGGAAAAACAGCTCGATCAAATTGAGGGGGGCAATGAAGACGTTTTCGTCCGGGGCGCGGGTGAATTGCAGTGTCTTCTGGGCAAACATGGCCATGTACTCATCGATGGCGTTGTCGGTGATGTCCTCGTATGCACTGTTGTACAGGGCAATAAGGATGTTGAGCAAGATGACCATGACGACAAAGGTGAAGATGTAGTACAAGATCAAGCCAAACGGGTGGGCGTAGTTATCGAATCCATCAAAATCGGGCGACTGCATGACCGAATTGGCCATGGCAGTAATGACAAACGATGTAATGGAGCTGTTTCCCTCGACCTGGTTGAGACCAATGAACGCCTGCAAGAACCCGACGCACACCACAACCAGCAGGGCGAAGAAAATGATAGATTCGCGCATCATGACCTTGAGCACGACCAGCATGGCGCCAAAGAAGCGGAACGTATCGAGATACAGCAGCAGTCTCATCCAGAACATGGGCGCCGAGATGCAGAAGATGTGGTAACCCAGCTTATTGAGCTCGCCGCGCCGCTGGTCGTTCTCGTGCGGCGAATGGGTCAGAGCCATGGTTCGGATAACGAAGGATGCCGTCAGCAGTGCATACAGACAGTTGTTGAACGCGTTCCAGAACCCAAAGTACCAGAGGCCGACTTTCCAGAACTTTGCAACCTCGTCACAGATGAAGCCCAGCGTCATGACGTACAGGATGCCTTCGACGACGTCGAGGTCGCCATCTTCGTTGATGGTGTTCACCGCCGCCGTGTACAGGCCGAGGTAGATTATTGAGATGGAAATCTGCACGATATTCTGGTAGATCGGCGCCCGCATACGGTCCGGGTCCAGATGAGCCCAGTAACTCGTGCTGTCGCGCTGTGCGTAAAAGACGTAGCTGCCCGGGTCCTGGTCGTCTTGGTGGATCCATCCGCGCCACAGGTACTTGATGCACTTTTGGTATCCGGAGGATCCGATCACGGTCAAGCAATGCAGGTCAACGGCTCTCTCGATCACATTGGCCGGTTGTGTCACTTCGTTCTTGCGCATCACCGAGTACCGCTTGAGCAGCACTTCTTGCAACAGATATTCCTGGTCCTCCTCGCCCTCAATGATGCGTTTGGCTAGGATCTCGCACGCCACCGCCCGCACTTGGTGTAGGCCGGCGTCCCACAGCTCGAGGTTAGCCTGTCGAGTGAACCATCGCTTGCATACCAGCAAACAGTACACCACACAGGATGCATAGTCCTTGCCGCCCGCTTCTTTGGCCGTCGCCACCACTTTCGGCGTGATGATCGCGCTGTTGGCCGCTGTGATCTTCTCCTCGGAAATCTCAATGGGAATCACTTGCTCGATCTGATATTTCAAACGCAACGCGACCTTGGTCACTTCTTTGGCTGGGAATGCTGACGGAGGGATGTCGTGCGTAGAGCTCGGGAGCACTGCGATGGCGGTTGAGGTGAGCCTTGGGACTCATAAGGGAGATACTATCTTGCATGCAACTCACGCCTTCGCATTTCATCCCGCAGATGCGGTGAGTCCCTCTCCGTCGCGCGAGTAAACAGCTGGTGCCATTTCACCATTGCTTATGACGTAGTTGGTTGACCTGGACGGAGTTATGGATTGCAATAGCTGAGGCCGCAGTATTGAAGGGACGTTGTCCGTAGGGGATTTCAGCAATGTGAATGCTGCATCGATGAGGGAGAGGCACAGCAAAGAGAGGATACAACACGGCTGGATTCTGCGAAAGCGCTCTGGGATTGAGCAGCCGGGCAATGGAGCTCGAAATCAGGTTCCCGGGAAGCGGTCCCCGCAAGTTATCAAGTCCAATCAGGTTGCCAGCCCATCAGCCTTGGTCAGCCGCGAGGCTGGCCGCCCCGGCCCACCACAGCCTTGTCGCCTCACTACTAGTACGCACCGCAAGTCATACAGCGATATCCATACACTACTAATAGGTAGGTACGTTGTCCACACGAGACAATTCTACCTGGTAGGAACTGAATACTAAACCTGACAGTCATCATAAATTGCGTCGCCCCTAAAGAGATTCTGACTCTAAACGCTACCGGTTCTGAAGGGCCGCAGACATGCCTCATTCGAAACAGACCGGTACAACTTTTCGTCTCCAATTGCCATCCCTGACATTAATGCATACTCTCATGGGCTCCATATCAGAAACAGAGAAAGGCGCTCATGCAACCTCAGGCCCTTCGTCACTTTCGCTGACATCCTCATCACCGCTAACCTCCTCGTTCTCCTTGGCCCTCTTGTCCATCAGTGCTTGCAACTCTGCATCATCGTGTTCAGTCACAGCCTTAGGTGCCATCTTCACCACGCAACTGCCGCCTGCTTTCTCAATGGTCTCCTCAATATCCTTGATAGCCTGCTCAAGTAGCTCAATACCCTGGTTCTTGTCGAGACACTGACTAGTTAGGACATAATGGGGCGGAGACACCAGCTTGACTCTAACTTGTGTGGTGGGGTTGTTCCTTGCTTCTGCTTTTCTCAAGGCTTCTTTCACGGCGTCGATACCGTCATACTTGAAGCATGTCACCTCGACATCGGCACGTACTTTTGTGGGATGTGGCGTGAGCTTCTTGCCGATGTAAGATTGGAATTCCTCTTTGACAACATCGTTCGGGAAGGTAACATCATTCCACACTTCTGGGTTTGTGATCGAGAGCTTGAACGCATCATATGCATGGCCGTACTTCCGGTTGAGGGGCCAGCCAATATCCTCATAGAGCTTCAGGATCGGGGTTTTCGTCTTTTCGGCAACGTGGCGCATGATCGAATGGACCGACTTGCTTTTGTTGTACCTCTCTTCGCATCGGACGATATCCTCGGCGGAGACTCTTCGTTTCGACAGATCGATATACCCCTTCTCCTTATCCACTCTCAGCACGACGACCACCTCGTTTCGCCCGATCCTGATGAGTTTCTGTATCGACCTGATACGTCTTCGGGAGAGTTCTGAGAGGAGAATCATGCCATCGATGTTATCGTATTCGAGAAGCTTAACATAGGCTCCCATCTCCGCGATCTGGAGGCATACTTGATCAGTATCGGTCACAACGAAGCGCGCCTGGAAGCGTGCTCACCTGCTTCACGTTGACCATCACGAAACTGTCGACTTCGGGATATTTTTCCTCATAGAAGCGACAGTTGGTCAAAGAATCCGGGTCCGACATGATGGCGGCTTTCGACTGCAGTTGCTAGAGCACTATTCAAGTTGTACCACGTTCGATATGCTCAAGATGTAAATCTCGTCGGTAGAGTCGCAGGGGGCGAAGAAGACGTGAAGCCGGTAATGACTGCAGTGGTTGCCGCTCCAGTGTCGTGTCGACTCACTTGACCATGTGCGGCGAAAGGCTGCGGCGGAACTTTTTGTGCCAAGATCGAGCTTGCAGCCACCTGCCAATATAGTACTAGCTTGTAATGCGGCGAAGCACAAGAACAGCAACGCCGAAAGAGCAGTCACGTGGGCCAGTCTGCTGTCTTACTAAGCAGTCCACATCCGCCGCGGCGTGCCACTGCATGGCATTGACCCCAAGCTGAGACCCGTCCAAACAAAATGCCATTATTGGTACGCCCAAGCCTTCCACATGACATCCCAAAAGCCCCTGATTGGATGTATCGAGGGTTGGCTGCCATAACAGATTCACTTGGACATCATTCGAATACCACACCCACACATTTTCTGACGTTGTTACAGCAGGTTGTCAGCGGGCCAAGGAAAACGGGGTTGACTGGGTCTTGGACTTCGTGGAAGAGCACACGATTCACCTTTGCGCCCGCCGTGAGCGTGGACACATAATGGAAGTTACAATAAACTCAAGGTAGTGTTGCAGTCACCGGTCACATCTTCCCAGCCTGTCGGAACCATGGCTACCAGCCGCCCGTCACCGTCCTCCACACGAGGTTCGAGTCCCCCGACTTCACCGAGACGCCCTATTCCGCACTCTCGGGGGTCGAGCCAACATGTCCCTCTCTATCCCAGTCGTCTCCGGGAGGCCACGAACATGTCGCCGGAGGAGAGGATGGCCCGGTCAAAGTCGAGTGAAGAAGTAGCCGGAGGCTCGGGAAGAGACGGCAAAACAGTCCCGACACTGTTACCAGGGTCGGATGTACCCCTTATAGCCGAGCCAGAGCCTCTATTGCAGGAAGGTGGAAATCGCGACGCGCAGGGTTTGATCGAAGAACCGTCGTTGCAGCAGGTCGATGCAAGAACAAGCCTGCTTGGGAACTACCATCACAATCGTGTCTGTGGACTGAGAGACTGCAATCACGGCACTTTCTCTCCAAGAGCACCCTCTATCCGGAGTGGGGGCAGCGGTGCTGATACTCCTCGTCCACCTTTCGGTGCGCCATATCCGCGTGCTGTTGATGAAGATGGTGAACAGACAGGTCAGAGCCGTGGAATCTTTGGGGAGACCTTAGCGGACTCGTTCTTCACCAGCAAGAGTCTATATACGACCAGGTGGCTTGCTCAAAAGCATGGGATCAAAAGTCCCGGATTCATGTATATTTCCTACTACATCCCCTTTATCCGATGGGTTGGACAGTACCGACTGAGTTGGCTACGTGGTGACTTCATTGCTGCTATTACCATGGCTTCCTTTTATATCCCCATGTCATTGTCGTTCGCCTCAAATCTAGGCCACATACCGCCCATCAACGGGTTGTACTCATTTGTGTTCAATCCCTTGATATATGCCTTCCTGGGGAGCTGCCCACAGATGGTCGTCGGTCCAGAAGCGGCAGGCTCGCTGCTAGTGGGTCAGGTGGTCAAGACGTGTATCAAGCAGGGAGGATCAACAGACGACAACGATATCGTGAACGCACAGGTTGCCGGAGTCGTCACTGCTATCGCTGGGTCCGTGATATTTGTTGCCGGCATCTGCCGCCTGGGTTTCTTGGACAGCGTATTAAGCCGACCTTTCCTTCGGGGATTCATCAGTGCCATTGGGTTCGTTATTCTAGTTGATCAGCTGATTCAGGAGCTGGGACTGTCCGAGGTGGCCCGGCAGGAAGGAGACGCATCGCACGGGAGCAGTGCCCAGAAACTGGTATTCCTGTTCAGGAATGTTGGACATTCACACCGCTTGACTGCGGCGGTGTCAGCCGTCAGCTTTACCATCATTATGCTCTTTCGGTCGCTCAAACGAGCACTCCAGCCTCGTTATCAGTGGGTGGCCTACTTCCCAGACCGGTTCCTTGTCGTGGCACTGTCAGCCATCTTCGCATGGCAGTTCGGATGGGACAAACAGGGCCTTAAGGTTTTGGGTGAAGTAAAACCACCTGGCGACGGCTCACCAATCCCATTCCACTGGCCATTCCAATTTCGACACATGAAAGACATCGACACGGCTCTCAGCACTTCGTTCCTCATTGCTTTACTTGGCTTCTTCGAGTCTTCGGTGGCAGCCAAAAGTCTAGGCGAAGGCACTCACGGGCTTCAGGGCATGACATTAAGCGCGAACCGGGAGATGATCGCTCTGGGCACCGCCAACATTGTAGGCGGCTGTTTCGGGGCCCTGCCGGCCTTTGGAGGCTACGGACGCAGCAAAGTCAACGCCTCAACAGGCGGCACCACGCCGATGAGCAGCATCCTTCTCAGTTTTCTCACGCTCATCTGCGTCCTTTACCTGCTCCCCTACTTCTACTACATCCCGCGCGGGGTGTTGTCGGCCATGATCTCCGTGGTGGCGTGTTCGCTGATCGAAGAATGTCCGCACGATATCAAGTTCTTCTTGAAGATCCGCGGGTGGACCGAACTGTTTCTCATGGGCGTCATTTTCCTTGCGACCGTTTTTTACAGTCTCTCGCTCGGCATCGCCCTGGGAGTTGGTCTGTCGCTGCTCCAACTGATCCGACACGCGACCAAACCCCGGATCCAGATCCTGGGCAAAATTCCCGGCACGACGAACCAGTTCGAAAACGCCGAGCTCTCGCCCGAAAACATCGAGTACATTGAGGGCTGTTTGATCGTCAAGATTCCCGAACCCCTGACGTTCGCCAACACGGGCGAGCTCAAGACCCGCCTGCGTCGTCTCGAACAGTACGGCACCAACAAGGCGCACCCGTCCTTACCGCCCGTGCGGCCCGCCGAGCACAACCGCAACGTCATCTTCGACGTCCACGGCGTGACTTCCATCGACGGCTCCGGCACCCAGGTCTTCAAGGAGATCGTCGAGGATTATGTCCGCCGAGGCATCCGGGTCATCTTTTGCAGACTGCCTCATCGCCGGAGTAAGGTGTTTAAGAGCTTCGAACGCAGCGGCATCATCGACCTTTGTGGCGGGTACTCCCATTTCGTCGCTAGTGTCGAGGACGCTCTGCGGCTGTCTGAGGCCGAGGATCTAGAGCAGTTTTTCGATAGCCGTTTGAACCATCACGAGAGACGAACTTGATACATAGGGGGGAAAAAGGAAACCGAAACCGTCTTGGTAGTGTGCAGCAGAGTATAGTGTGGACCGGCTCCGGTAAAAAGATAAAGAGATGAGAAACTGAAAACAGTTAACTGATCTGAACTAGATGAATGATACAATGGATGATTGAAGGTAGATACTTACCTGGTAGAGGATTGATTCTGGGGAGTCTCTTGCACAGCAAGCCCAGATATAATTTAATTTAATAAAAGATTATTTATAAATGCAAGTGTCGACCGCTGATTTAGCGTTTTCAACGTCCTTCCCACAACTCCCACAGTCCAAGAATATTCTGCTTTACAACAATGCCACTTCCTACAAAGCGATGAATTCCTATTCTCCCGAGTATTGACGCCAGCAAGGTGTCAAAAGAAGGGGAATTCGAAATAGTTCTCATAACGCACTGAAAAGATGGAAAAGCTCCTGTGGTGACAAGAGTCCAGGAGACTCGTTGATAGTGACGGCATTGAATGGAATTTGCAAGACAATAAGTCGACTTTGACTCCTAAACCCTTATGGTCGCATCCAAACACAATCTCTGCCTCTAAGTGTATTACAAGATGGACCTATACCGGCAACACCAACTACCGCGCCAATACTGCTTCCTGTGCTCGATCGACGCCCTGAACATCCCTTCCCACGCCCCTTGCAACCCTTATACTGTGTGCGATGCGGGTCCTGTCTCCAGCGCTTTCAGATCGATCAATAGCTGCTCAGCAGATGCATAGTCTCCCCTCCAACACCTTTGGACGATCGAGATGCAGGGGTAAGAGATTTTAGGGTATTCCTGTTCCGCGAAACGACGATGGATCTCTTTCTCAATCGCTTCGTCGTCTTGATATATTGAAGGGACAAGATCTGGGAAAACCTCTCGACCAGTCATGACAAAGTGCGCTGTTGACCCAAAAGCGAAGAGATCGGTCTTCATATTGACGTAATCTCCGTCGCGTGGCATGTAATACATCGAGCCCTCTCGAGCCAACCCGTCTAGGATGACTGTACCATCGGGGGAGCTGAGTACACCTTGAATATCCGCTAACTTAATATCGAAATTCTCGTCAAGCAGTATATTTCCCGGCCGGAGATCCCCATGATAGACATGTCTACTATGAAGATGTACTAGGCCTTCTGCAATTTGGATGCAAACCTGAATACGCTGCGTAGTGTCGAGAGCGCTCCGTTGTAGGATGTAGTCACATAAGGTACCATTTTTAGCGTATTGAAGCAACAGTCCATCCTCAGTTAAGCCTCTTGACTCGATAATTCGCGGGTGTTGACCAAGTTGTTCTAACAACTTCTGCTCGATCTCAATTCTGAACCTTTCATCCAGAAATATGGGATATTTCAAAACAGTTTCTGGGTCGACAAGGCCAACAAAGCAGGAAGTCCCTTGACCGATGATGCTTGTCACGCCCGGTGGAAATCGTTGCTCAATATCTATGATCTCGCAGTTGATAGAGCTCATGGCGATTTACTTCGTTTGGGTTTCCCTTATTGCATCTTGAGGAGCAGGAATGAAACGTTTATATACCGATGCAGTGCAGCCTGACCTGAGAGTGCAATCATTGGGCGAATGGCTTGGCATATCCAAAAAGAGGGTTAATGTACAGTACTTTGGCGACCCCAGCGCCATAATTATTTCACAATCTCTACCTGTTAAGGATTGGGATTCGGTGAATGAATGATAACCCACAAAGATTTGGGAATGACAAGCTATGTCAATGAATTTGTTTCCAGGTAGCCGTGACTTCTCAACTCATTACTCGCTGCAAATGGTCCTGGCAGAGCGAAGGATACTCTACTAGGAGTAGAATCAGTCAAAACTTCTCAAGCCTTCAACTTCAAAAATACTTACCTTTTCAGCATTTGGGGCAGATCCCGCCTCTCTTAGTTGATTGAGCCATATTCTTGTCGGTGTAGTTTCCACAGTTTCTGGCACAAGGCTTTGGAGTCCTCACAATGATGACATGTTTTGGTTGTTGCGTGCAATTGGCATATTTAATGGTCTGGATAAGACGTTCGCACATTCTGAAAAGCCAGGTTTATAGGTCACGATATTCGTATTGGTTCTGGTGGGCTTTTAGGGTCGTAAGATGCCTCACATAATGAACCACATCAAGTATCTATATACCCTTCAATTACCAAAGCATACACTTACTCATCAGGAACATCTCGCTATGGATGTTTGTTACGAAATTATCTTATTTGGAGTATAGGCTTATGCAGCAAGCAGGGCGACCTTGAAGTATTCCAGACAATAAAAGGGATTGATCCATTCAACGAGCAAGTTCAAGTCAGAATTTCGTCTGCAAAATGTCAGATTTCTGTCTAACAAGTCTCATATTTTTGTCTGAACAATGTCAAAATCTGGTCTGAAAAGTGGTATAATTCTGTCATTACGGAGCCTGGCAGAGGTCCGCCTTTGCCTAGCCAATCATGCCCTCTCTCAGCACGGAACACTTAGCATCAGGAGCCATCGTTACCAATGCACTACTTCCTTCCGCTGGTTGAAAACAGCATACAGGGGTTCTCGTTTCTGCATCAGGGCGCATGACTTCCAAGTAGGAGAGAAATGAGCAGCGCGAACTGACTGTAGAAACCGCCCAAATTCAAGTGCGATCGCGGAGCCAAAATAGATGTGAAAATACTTTTATCTACTGTACTGTCTACGCTGTTTATCTCAATGACCAAATCCAAACCTTCTACTGACTCAGCTCCCCTTGACTTAGCAGTGTCCACAAATCCTCTGCGGCATCCAGGTTTCCTAACATCCTCCTCCTATGTGGTGGTCACAGCTAACACTCTTTGAGATTACCTCTGCTATGGACAAGAAAGAATTCACAACGTACCATCAGCCAAAATCCGACAAGAAGACCCTAAATACACTGGAAAGCAAGGACAAGGCAAAGGAAGACAAGTATCAACAGGCTAAGATCGGTGCCAAAAGTATGGATGCGAAGAGCATAAACCAGCTGTCTTCTTCTGGTAGGGCAGCTCAGGACAGAAGAAAGTAGACGCCGTTCTATTCAGCATGAGTTGCAAGTATCACTATCCGAATCTGAGTCAGGTGCCATTGCTGCCAACGTCAATTGTTGGAGATATATCTTTCTCTCCTCAAGCTTCGAACAGATAAATCTGCTCGCGTCACTACCCCAATACTGTGAGATGTCCGGGAAATCCGTATCCTTCGAAAATCGAGGAACGATGTGCTGCCTGAAGATGTTGTACAACCCTTTGGTGGATTCAAGCGCATGGAAAAACCAGAAAGCTCCGACTTTCCAGTTCTCCTCCATCATGGAACTTCGACTAACCTCCAACGTGACAAGCATCTCTTGTTTCCGGAACTCGGCCATGAACTCTTCACGAATATTGGAGAATTCCACAAAATTCGCCCCATCCAGACGATCCAAATTCTGACCAGTCAACCAGTATGGGGGCCTTAACATTTCAATGGGATGTGAACATGCCCATTCCAAGTCTATTAGCGACGTTACCTGCCAGTGCTCATTGACAAAAATGTTGCTCGGATGGAAATCGGTGAGACCAAGGAAAAAAGGACCTCGATTGGTCCCGGAGTTAATAAACTGCGGCAAGACGGACCTCAGTAGTCCTATCGCGGACATCTGTCTCCTCCCATCCATCTCATCATTCATCGAATTTGGCTGATAGAGTAAGCGATTGTCATGATAGGCGAGAAGATCCATTGCATAACATTTAGTACATTCGTAGGTCCGGAGACGTTGGATGTTGGATGGAATGCCTTCATTCTCAAGTGCTTGAAGTCGAAGAGTTAAAGGGCGATTAGAGAGTGATATAAATCCCTTATTGTCAATGGTGAAAGAACCAATTCGAGGTTGAGGAATTTTCGCCAATGAGACCATAATACGAGATAGATCCGCGAATAGGTTATGGCGCCGCGATGAATCACGTACACAAGAATCGAACGTCTCTGACAGCATCTGTCCATCCTCAATATATTGTAAGAGAAGGTACCCTATGTGAAGGCCAGACATTCGACCGTTGGTGACAAAAGGAGACGGTAATGGGTAGTTGGCGAATGTGCGAGTTCGATTTGAGAACCACCGTCGAAGACGACACAAGAGAGAAGAGTTCTCAAGAGGTGTGAACTACCTCCATTGAGTTTTCGTCTGAAAAGCTTGTTCAGAGGAACACACTTACGCTAATGCCAGTAGGGAGGCCAAAGCCCAAGAGCATAGGAATGGGGACCTCTGGGCAATGTTGTCGAATATAGATATAAGTAGCCGCTTCACACCGAATTTTCTCATCAACATTTCCAGGAAAATGATCCTCTCCAATTTTGTACGGAAGAGGAACGCGGAACAAAACGCGCTTGTGCCCATTCCAATTGACATGAATAGGAATGCATAGATTGAAACTTCCATGAATCCAGTCAGAGACTCGCGAAAGCTCGCAAGCATTCGTTTTGACATTGAGATGGTGTGCAGTAATGTGAAGAATCTCATTCTCATTCTCAAGAAGAAGGACTATTAAGTCGATCCGCCTCTTTGGATATCGCAACATCTGAAGAATATCATCTTCGTCGGTTAGGGCTTCTGAAAGTTTGATCTGCTTCCCGATCAGCTTCAGCCGTTGAGAGGAGGATGGCATGGGCGCCAAAAGGTTGGAAGCAGATATCCAGTTGCGAAGTTGGGGGTTCAAGCTGCCGCGATGAGGGAAGACGCGTGTAGGAGGATGAAGGCAGATAAAACGGCGATCGAACGTTGTTTCCACCTAGATTGACCGCAAACGTCGCAGACCAGGTTGAAAGATATGACAATACGTAGGTCAGGTCGCCAGGTCAAAACAAGTCCATTATTATTCTACGATTCTACAATATCAAGAGTATAAATAATGATTTATATAAAATAAATACACAACCGAGTTCGTTTTCGATTTGGTACTCCTTACTAGTAGATACTCGTAGTACTAGAATCGCGTCGAGTAACGAAAGGATCGAAAGTTACTACAATGTAGGTAGTAGGCTCAGCTAAAATAAAGTAACCGTGCACTCCGTCAGCACTCGTCGGTTGTTCCCCCCACCGAGTGCACCACAGCGATACGATCGTCCACAGCGATACGATCGCATTTCTGCACGCAGTTGAAATATATTCTGTTTACAGCCGCCACAACGATGGTTTTATAATATAAGCGATGGCTAAGCCTAGTAAATTAGTACTGTAATCGCATCGAATACAAAAACCTGCCATCCGAGACGTCGTGGTTGACGTACTCTCGATGTTGCCGTACGCAGTCGACTTAGAATATAAAAGTGCTAAATATATAACAACTACCGTCGATATAATATCGGTTGAGAACGTATATCGACGTTGTACAGCGATAGTATAGTACTATAGCAACTTATATACGCGAGTATATAGTATCCCGTGAAGACCTCGTTGTCGTTGCCTCGGCGCGCAACTCTTAATATAATAGCCTTATAGAGATAGTAACCTATATATCGAGCCTATCGAGCGTATCTTGACGTCGTTAAGCCACCTCTGGCGTACGTCGACGTCGCTCTGCCTCTTGCGCTATATCGAGAGCTGCGTCGACGAGTCGCTTTTATAGTCTCTTTGCTGGTCGGCGCCTCTTATAATAGTCTAATATCTTAGCGTCGTTACGAGCCTGAAGGCGTCGACGTGCCGTCTCGACGTATATAACGCCAATTAAGGAGGTTTCGATACGTCGACGCCGTCGATTCTCTCGTAACGTACGCGCACGTTTAGCAGCCTTAGTCTCGCCGAGTTAGTAAAGCGCCTCCTAGCTAATATACGCACGCTCTATTACGGCGCGGCGAAACTTACTAAATAGCGTAGCTGTTTACGGACCTACGTCTCGTACGTTCTCTAATATTATATCGGCGTACGCATTAAGCTAACGTATGCTCTTCCGCGGCGTACTATCAACGTATAGGTCGTCGTCGTCGTCGTCGCTCTCGTTAGAGCTATTCTCGATAGTAAGGCTATCGAGTACTTACTTCGGATTAAACGGCACTAACCCTATCTTCTTAAACGATAAGCGAATCGTTAACGAGCAAAGCGCCTTCGTACGAATCGTATAAAGGCCCTCTAAGAACTTATAACGCTAAAACGTAAGATCTCCGTACCGTATAGCGCTATCTATCAACTCCGCGTGATAATACTTTAACGGTTAGAATACTACGACGTCGAGAGGTTATAGGAGGTGCGTCGAGTACGGCGGTAAGCAAAAGGGTATAATTCTCTCGTCCTAGTAGTATTTAATAAAGCTATACTCGATATAAGAGTTAAAGCCGTCGCTTATTAATATCCTATAGCGCCCTTTTATACGTTCTTTTATCCTCCTATTAAAATAATATATCTACTTAAGTAGTATAGCGTCGTTTGAGTAACCCGACTCGGAGGAGACTAACGCGTATCCGTTAGGTAAGCTTAGGGTTATAGAGCGCTCGCTAATTATATCGCCTTTGAGGATAACGAATAGATCGATAAAGTCGCCGATAGCGTTAATAGACTCAATTAGCGTATAATGCTCGCGATTTTCGGGATTAGGAAGGTATAGACGCTTATTCTTATTCTAACGCTAAGTAATAACGTAGTGCGCTCTACTAACGCCAATAGAGAAGCCGGTCTCGTCTATATTCCATATATTATCGTCGATAATAGCGTATTGCTCTTTAATAGCCTAGAAGCGACGAAAGTACTCGACAATTAAGGTATAATACTCTATCTCGATAGACTATCGATAAACGTTAATAGGCTTTCGCTTCTTAAGTATAAACTTAGGGTGTCTATTAAGAAAGCGCCGCGTCTATTCGTGAGATATACGAGGTTAACTATCGTTATCGTCGTATACGTCCTACGTAAGTTGTAGTATATAATTTGCTATTTAAGTAATTATCGGAGGCCTTAGGGATAGCCCGAGATCGTTATAGCGCTTTATAAGCGTATAGAGAGCCTTCTCCTGCTCGTTAGAGAGCCTCTTATTATATTCTCCTCTTATACTGGCGCCTAGTATACCTCGAAGTCGTCTACGTACGCGTTGAACGGGGGCGGCGAATACGTCGGCGGCGGCCTTTATATTGGGATAATCGCCGCGATTATACGCGTCGTAGGCGTTAAGGACCTTCTCCTCTATTAATTGAGCGTTGGTAGGCATCGTTAGTTGTGTATATACGCGTTAAATGAAGAGTATACAGAATTTACAGAAAAACGATCGTATCGCTGTGGACGATCGTATCGCTGTGGTGCACTCGGTGGGGGGAACAACCGACGAGTGCTGACGGAGTGCACGGTTAGGGAGTTATAGCCGGGCAACTATAGCCGGGGCCTAAAGGGGACCCCTAAGCCCGAATTGGCTTGGGCATCAGGCAACACTCCGTGTCGCCCCCCGTTACGTGCCCGAGTAAAGCGACCTCGCTCCCTTTCCTGAACGAAAATGGTATGGGATTGATGGAGGTTATATCATACTGTAGCATGAAGCGGCCGTTCAATCTAGAGCTTACTGTGTAGTAATCAAATACGCACAGAAGCTCCACTAATCAAAAGACAAACCCCCGACCCCCCAATGCTGCGCCTAAACCTACCAACACCAACACCAACTGCATATGCACAAACAATGTACAATATATTCCGTCGTCGATATCATATAAAAACATATAAAACCCAAACACCTTATGCTTGGTAGACTCTGAAACTGCGGAACTCCCAGTATGCATTCTCGTACGCGCTCCCCGGCTGTTCACTGACATAATTGACACAAGTGCCGGAACAGCCGGACTGGGTATTGAAATACGCCGTCTGCCCCGCCCAATCACCACAGAGATCAATGTCGACAATGATACTCTGGTTGCGGAAGTGATTGGCAATATTGCAGTCTGTGCTGGGGAAGTCCGCTAGAGCCTCGGACCAAGTGGAAGGATCTGGGGTTGTGGTGCTGTTAGTTGAATTGGAGGTCGAGGTATTGATATCATCTGGGATATTGTCACGGTCGAAAAACCAGACACGAATGCCGGCGTCGCGAAGTTCCATGGCATAGACGCCGCCTCCGTTGTTGTTGAACTCTTCTCCGAACGTGGCAGTCGAGCCTCGGACACCACAGCCGCTATCGCCGTCGGTGGAGTTGAGACAATTGGACCTCAAGGCCTTGCCCGTCTCCTTGCGTTTGACCCCCATGGTGCAGTGCTTGGTGGTGTGGAGCGTGACTTGATTGCCGACGGGGGCCATGTTGGTCGCCTCCATGACATCGATCTCGCCGTTGGTCGGCCAGTTCGATGGATCCGACAGCCATAGGGCCGGCCAGGTGGCACATCCATAGGGGGAATGCACGACATCAAAAATGAACAGTCCATTGTCGTACGTGTCCTTGGACGTGATCCTCGCCGATTTCCGACCAGTAGTCGTGTCTGTATCGGACAGATCGACGCGCAGCACGGCAGATGTTGAGCTCGCATAAGTCAAATTCAGCGAGGCAGAACCTTCGGCGTCGACATAACTGGAGAATATGTCAATACAGTTTTTGTGTCAAGGTAAAAAAGAGTAAATTACGTACTGGACAAATCCCGACGCAGGATCATAACCCGTAAAATAGTCAAAGTTGTCGAAAAAGCTCGTGCCCGAATATGTCGCCACAAGCGAATAGTTGAGGCTGGAATAGTTGGGATACCGATTGTTGCGACTGACGACGACCGGAACGACAATGGCAATGACAATAACGATGATGGCCCCGATCGCGAGGAGGATCCAACATTTCCGCGACCATGTCTTGGGATGGAGCCGAGATCGACCTCCCCCTTCCCGGATGTCGACTGAGGCATACTTGGCAGCACCATGTCCACTGCCAAACTGTGTCTGTGAGTACGGAGGAGGTTGGCCGTAGTTGCCGCTTCCCGCATCATGGTAATTGTGCGACATGGCTGTCGAGGCTATCTTGTGGCCGAGTACGGGTAGCAGGCAAAGTCGAGACTCACACTCAATCCTGGTGTGTATCAGGGGGAATCATTGCTTATATGCAGATACTTGGGAGATACTGGAGCCTGGGGGACAAGGCTTTTCAACAAAGGGAGGGGCGGAAAAAAAAAACGAGAGGCAAAAAGACGCATCACCCTCTCGATCCTTGCGCATTGGCATCAACTAGAAGCCGAATCGTTTCGAGTTTAGATTAGATTACTAGTATTTCGGTTGGGAGTGCTACAGATACCTACCTAGTAGTGACGCAGCGTTTAGGGCTGAGTTCTGGACGCTGGAACTGCCGCGGATAACAGGAAGGAGAAACTGTCGAACCACGTTCCAGGCTTCAGGGACGAACAAGCACGATAGACGCCGCCATCATGTTTCGCGGCGAGTCAGAGGCGAGACACGTTGGGATAAGTGGAAGTGTCCATAAATGTACACGTCGCGGGTGGAGCACGGCCGCGTAACAGATCCCAGACAAGACACACAACTTGAAGTGTCGGGAGAGGAAGAAAACAGCCCGAATTGGCTGATGGACTCGACGGATTTTCACATTTTCCAGGGGCCGGTCTGGATAAGGTTAAGCTTGATCCTCCAACTACTGTGATAAGCTCACGCTAATCTCGACATGGTCAAGCGTCGGTACGAGATCGGCTAAACCCAAGACATACATTTTCAAGTCCCCCTCAGAGGCCATTGGCAGTGACATTGCAGTGTGGTGGCATTCGAGTTATTTGTACCTACATATGGAGAGACAACGACATACCAGAAGTACCTGTTCCTAAACCTCGATCTGATCCGACTTCCTTCTTTATCCTCATCATCCCGAGTGGTACTTCTTCAATTCACTCGCCTTGGGCAAGATGCCCTCGTCTTCAAGCGCGGCAAAAGTCTCGTCGAACGCGTCCCATGTGTCCTGGTACCCGGTCCAGCCGAGTTTGCGCGCCATGCTCATGCTCGCCACGCACGAGTAATTCCGGCCCAGCAAGAAGGTCAAAAAAGCCCAAGTTGCCTTGTCCCAGGCCTCTTGATCCAGCCCGAACCGATCGCGGATCTCCTCCCACTTCTTGACCACTTCTGGCCGTTTTGCCCACTTTGCCGTGTCAATCTGCTGGTGGACGACGCTGTGTTTGTTTTCAAAGTGATGTTTCAGCCCTATCTTGTCCGCATGTACGACGATGGGCGGCGGCGTGGGCAGTTCGGTGTGTGACTTTTCAAAGTTCTTGTATTGTCCTTCGTCGCCGTCGGGAAACATGTCCTGCGGCACTTTGGCGCCAAACCGCTCCGCCAACCGCGGCCACAGGTTCTGCCAGCTTTCCGTGTCGCCGTTAATGACATTGAAGGCATTGTTGCCTGTTTTCGGTTCGAGGGCTGCCCACAGACAGAACTTGGCATGCAGGGTTGCCGACGTCCAGCAGTTGAAGGCCATGTAGTTGGTCAAGCTGCCGGGGAATACCAATTCCCGTCCTGGCAGAGCCGAGCTGACGGCCGCATAGAGCCCGAGCGAGGTGGCCAGGTTCATGAAATTGCCCTTGGCCACGCCGATCACGTCCTGCGGATACGTGACCACCCAGCTCCAACTGCCGCCATCCTTTTTTGCCGCGTCCGCCAGAATCCGCTGCTGGGCATAGTAGAAGTTGGGCGGCCATGGGTCGCCCTCTAACCAGGGGTCGGTTTCGTGCATCGGCTCCTTGGGCTGTCCTAGATGTACGCCGTACTGCTTCAACCCGTTGACTAGGATGATCCGCTTGAGCTGCTTGATGGCTCCTGTGTGGTGCAGCGCTTCGATGAAGTTGCTTAGCATTGCTCCGTTCACTTTGACTGCTTCTCCCTCGTCGTCCCGTGCCAGGTATGCGCAAAAGAAGACATAGTCGGCTCTGACGTCCTTCAACGAGTCCGTCATCGATTGGGCCGACGACTGCAGGTCGAGCGTCGCGTGTGTTACTTTGTCATGAGGCGTCGGCTGCTGGCTACGGCTGAGCGTGATGATTTTGGTCCATTCCGGGCTTTCGATCAAATGCTGCACTACGGCATGTCCAGTGATTCCGGTTGCGCCGGTCACGATGGCGGTAGGCATGGCGGCGGAGGCCTGTGTTGTACTTTTTGTTTAAGTCGTGTCGCTGCTCTAGAAAACTCGTACTCGTAGTTGACAATGTTTTTCTGTGGTTCTCACAGAGGAGGCTTTTACAAGGCCACAAGACAACTGAAAAGGCCTGTGCAAACAGAACATGCCCAGGGCATGCCGCCTGCTCTTCTTCCTGAGGATCTCGATGCCGGCGCGGAGTGACGTTGCCGATTTCCTCTCGAACGTCATGTTCATTCGCTTAGGTCTGCAACTTCTCCACATCTGGCCTCAGTTTCAGCTGTCAGTCACTGTGTCAGCCGGATATGTGAAGCCGGCAGTTTGGTCCAGTATCATTGTAGCTGGCTGCAGCCGGAACGACTGCGGCTTCTGCTTGGTCACGCACGGGTGAATCAAAGGAGCAATGCGGACATGTCATACATTGTAGAGCACAAAGTGGCACTACTAGTAGATCCAGATGGTGATCCGATGGGTACTGGAATGCTAGAGCAGACACCCTTGTGGCTCTGGACGACTATAATAATAACATTGTAATACAATTTTAATATTTCTATCACCGCCCCATCATGAATGCAGCCTTCTATCACATGTCGACTATCACATGTCTTGCTCTATTTCATCAATCTCGCCGACCGTAGACTACTTCGCTTGTGCAGTGATTGTGTTGTCGGCCACGCCTCTCTTCCTTTCAATGGCTTCAATCCTCTCTCGCTCGGCCTTCTCCGCCAGTTCTCTCTTACGTTTTTCGTCTCGCTCAACTTGATCCGGGCGCTTGATCGCAATGTCCTTTGGCCGGAAGTCGCTAAACAGGTACTTGAAGATCTGCTCCACCACCCAGCATCCACAAAAATCGACGATCATCAAAGTGGTGAGGGTCCACTTAAACTCGCTGGTGAAGGGCACCAGGCGTAGTTTCTCATTCAGCTCAGGCAAGAATTCGGTGCTTCCAGCGAATGCCACGAAAGAACAGGCCAACAATCCCCAGTACATGCCTCGGTTTTCCCGGATGCTCTCCCGGAATGGCCGGCCCTGGTAGTTGATGGCAAACGTGGAGACTTGCTGAATAAGCTGCATCAGATAAACCGCGCTGTTGAGGAGTGATGGCTCGAATTCGCCTTCAAGATCGATTTCCTCTGCCGGCGGCACGAGTCGATAGACAAATTGTGAGAGATAAATCAAGGTCCCGCAATGAATGGCGAATTGTGCCAAGACAGATCCCAGAATGTATGCATTCAGAATATTCGGTTGAGGACGCTCGCGTGACAGAGCTTCCACCGGTTTGGCCCGAGAGATAGAAAGGAAACAGACCGACATCAGCATGCCACTAATCGTGACTTGACCGTCGCCAAACTTGATGCCTGCCAGGTAGATGACTGATAGACTGTACGCACTGATCAAACAGTTCAAGGCAAGGATCTTGTACATCTGGATCGTTGCCACCAGAGTACATCTGCCTTGGCGAATGATATTTACAATGGCCATGACATTGGCAAGCTTGCTCGTGAAAGGCGCCGCCACAGAAGCATCGCCCAACTTGATTGTCGGCGGCTCGTTGTCATCCAGTTCGTTTTCCATCAGGCTCGACGTGAACTTGTCGGCCCAATTCGCGGCTTTCTGCGATGCTTCAGCTTGGCGTCGTTGTTGAGGCGTGAGATTTGCATTCGATTGCTGAATTGCCTGAGCGCCCGGTGATGTAATTGTTTCGATGGCACCATTCTCTGCATCGGTACCTTCCAGATTGATACCTTTCTTCTCGGCCAGAGCTTTGATGGCCTTCTCATGATGAGGATTCTGGGGGCCTGGTGGATACAGGTGTGCAATACCAATCGGAACAGGTGGAGGAGGTTGGTTGAACCTCTTCATGAGTTGCACCTGCTTCTCGTAGATTTCTTTCATCTTGGTCGTTCGGAAATGTTCACCAATCTTGTTGAGGTCCTCGGCAGACCCGTTGAGAAGAGCCACACCAACATGAGCTTGCTTGAGTGCACCCACATCATTGGTACCATCACCACACATCAACGTGGTGTAGCCGAGATCTTTCAATCCAATAAGAATTTCCTCTTTTTGTTTGGGTGACACTCGTGCGTACACCCAGGTGTGTCGGAGCAGGGAAGGCAAGGCTTTCTGTCCAGTGAATTTGGCCAACGCATAGCCTGTAACGCAGAGATCCTTGGTTTCGAGAATTTCAGGATCAAGGTCAGCTGTTGGGTCCACAGGAATCATGACCTTTTCATCAACGCTTCGCCAAACCAATTTGGTGCCGGAATCATCATGCTCAGGTGCATCGAGGATCAAACAGTCTCGGTCAACGATTTCGACTTCTCTTGCCACGTGCACTGCTGTGAGTGGGTTGTCGCCGGTGATCATGATGACTCGGTGGCTGCTCTCATTGAGCATCTGGATTGCTCGTTTGGCATCTTCCTTCAGAGGAGTCTGCAGGACCAAGAAGCCGGCGAAGTGTAAACCAGATTCGACGTCATCACGCTTCAGATCATTGATACGCTTTTGACCAAGTTCACTGTCGGTGGAAAGATACTTGTAACCAAGTGCGAGGACTCTTGCGCCGTTCCTGGTGAAATATTTGAAAGTCTCCTCGTACTTGGGCGGAGTCTCCACCAGCATTTTTTGGATAGTTTCAGGGGCACCTTTGACACCGACAAAAGTACCTTTTGCTTTTCGTCCAGTTTTGGGATCGGTCGTAGAAACAACGGCCACGGAGCTTTGACGTTTAAGAGCAGAAGAAAACTGAAATCGTCGCTTAATTTGGACAACATGCGTGGCCCCTGCGGTGGAGATATGCTTCTTCTTGGATTTCGGCGGGGGTGTGCTTGTCAGGGTGTCGTGCTCGCCGAGACTCCAGTTCAGTGCATTCAGAGTGGCTTTTTCCATTGGATCTCCCACGATGTCCCCTTCATCAAGCTTCACCAGAGCATGTGCTGTGGCTAGAACAAGAGTCGTGTAAATGCCGCATTCGGGCACCTTGGTAACAGTAGATTGAGCGCCGTCAGGTTCGGTCGGAACATCCGATCTGCCGAGCCCAAGGCCGGCAATACCATCGACAACAAGGTCTTCACCAGTAAGCGTCCCTGTTTTGTCAAAGCAGGCGACATCGACACGTCCTGCAAATGGAATCCGGAAGGGCTCGGTACAGAAGATGGCAAATTTGCTGAGGGCTGCCAGACTCGTATTGACCGCCAAAGACAACTCCATTGGTAGCTCAGGAGGCACAACGCTGGTGACAATCAAGATGCAATCAAGGAGCAGCTTCGAACGTTTGCGGTTGTTCCTGACACCTTCTTGCCACACATACCACGAAGCCGCAAGCGCAAAGATGAGCAAGAACAGGATGAACCACAGCGCTTCAGCGTTGTTGGCTGAAACCCGCTCCGTTGAGAAGATCATGGTTCGGACAAGGCTGCCTTGGCTGGTTTCGAAGCCAGTCTTCAAAACAACGGCCATAGCACCATTATCTGGTGGCGACGGGACGCCGGACTTGACGGCAGGGACTGCTTCCGAAGGATCCTCGCTGGCAGAAGGATGAGTGATCTGGAGTACCTTGGTGCCTCCCCAGAGAAGGGCATTCTTGTCCAAGCCATCAGGATCGATAGGCGCGTCACCTGGACGGAGCATCACTGATTCCTTCAGAAGCGGTGTACTTTCGCCAGACAACATGGCCTCGTTGACGATGGCTGTGCCCTCAATGAGTATCATATCGCACGCAACGCCGGAGTCTTCTTGCGACCTTCCCACAGACACGAGATCGCCCGGAAGCAATTTGTCGCTTTTGATCTGCTCCCATTTGCCGACACGGTACACCCAGATATCATAGGGTTTGATGCTCATTCCCCGAAACTCATTCATGGTCCGTTGCCTCTGCCAGACCACGGTGCTCTCGAAAGCGACCAACATGAACAGAGTGAACAAAGAATAATACCAGTAGTCATCGAGTAGCCACAATCCGACGCAGAAGACTTGGAAGATGAAGAACGGCGCCACAGCATGTTCTTTGAATAGCTCCATGAATGTAGGGACAGGGATATCGAAAGTATTGTCGCCGTAATGCTTCTGTAGTGTTTCGATCTCAGCTGTCGAGGTCAGGCCCTTAGACAGTTGGAAGTCCCGTAAAAGAGGCTTGTCCTTTCGGTCAATTGCGTACGACAGCGGTGCAAATGTGCCCTTTTCGGGAGAATATAAGAACCTTCTTTTCTGGAACACGAACGATATTCTTCCATCTTGTTCCCGCTCCAATTTGCAAATCGCAGGCGCTCCGGAGTTGACGACGGGTATGACCTTGATGAGCTGCGCATCCTGCACTTTCTTGGCCTTGGTAGTAGTGAAGAGTGTAGCCATATTTACGCTCCATTTCGTAGAGAGCCATGTCAGCGATTGTAGGGTGACAAGAGAGACGATCCAGACAAAAGTCCATTCCTGGCCGTCTATATACTCGTCGTAAAGATCCTCATTGAGGTAGAAAGCGAGAAAGATAGGCCACAGGATGGTAAATGGCCATATGTAAGCCTTGAGGTAAAAGGGCAAGGGGTTGTGAAGGCTCGCTGCAGATATCTGCTCGTTGTCCACGAGTTTCGATCTGGAGGATAGGGTCAGCATGGATTGCAGTAAACTAGTAATGGCAAGGGTGCATGCACGTACGATTTTTGCGCCATGACGAGCGTCAGTCAAGAGCTCGACTCTAAAGGGAAACCTCTGCAGTGATAAGTATCCCGAAGGGCGGCGAACAAGAGCCTATTAACAGAGTGTCCTTCAAAAAGTTGGTCGTGATGGACTCGGATGGCGATGAAACTCTACCTTACAAAGTACCTAGGTAGTCTGCACCGAAGCATTCGGACGAGGCAATCTGTCCGAGACTCGCTCCGACTCGCCAGAAATATAGGGTTGTCTGACGAGCAGGTTGTCATAAACAGCCACCGAAGCAAGCATGATGACCGACAAAAGTGAAGCGTCAGACAGCCTATATTCTATGGTACCGGTTTCTGAGTCATCCTTGGCATGTTTGCCTGGATTCACTGCGGTCTTGAAACATCTGGAATGCGTCGCAGCCTCGACAATATAAAAATATTACCCCCAGCAGGAACGGAGACAACTTAACAGCCTGATTATTTTCCCCGTCTCAACAACATTGACTCTGAATTCTTGAGTGGCAAGTAAAGATATCTGGTGACAAACTGTGGAGAACCTTCCTGTATCGTCCAGTACAACCGCCCACAGCTTATCTCACGTGCCATCGTCTATAGGTATCCTAGAGCAGGGCGGGAAAACATCTTTCTTCCGTGTTGGTCAAGCCAAGCAAGCCGCGTCCATGGCCGAAACCACAGAAATAAGCGGGAATTTGCCCGAGCGTGTCAAGGAGAATACCGACAATGTTGTCTCTGACAAAAAGTCCAAAAAAGAAAAAGCGCCCAAGCAACCGAAACCGCCTAAAGAGGCAAAGGCACCAGCGCAGAAGCCTGCCAAGCCAGCAAAACCGGCCAACCCTGCACCATCAGCTCCTCTTGACCCAGATGCCATGTTCAAAGAGGGCTGGTTAGCAGCCGTCAGAAAGGAGAGACCTGCGGACGAGCCTGTTGTCACTCGTTTTCCTCCTGAGCCGAATGGTTATCTTCACATTGGCCACAGCAAAGCCATTGCGATCAACTTCGGATTTGCACGATACTATGGCGGCCAATGCAACCTACGATTCGACGACACCAACCCTGAAGCCGAAGAAGAAATCTACTTCACCGCCATCGAAGATATTGTGAGATGGTTAGGCTTCAAGCCGGCCCGGATCACTTATTCGAGCGACTTTTTCGATCAGCTCTACGAGCTTGCGGAGAAGCTGATTACCTTGGACGGTGCCTATGTCTGTCATTGTACAGATGACGAGCTCAAAGACCAGCGGGGTGGAACCGATCCTAAGAACAAGCATGAGCGCTATGCCTGCCGTCATCGAGATCGACCAATCGAGGAGTCGCTGGCGGAGTTTCGAGCCATGAGAGATGGTAAATACAAGCCTAGAGAAGCGTTCCTTCGCATGAAGCAGGATCTTAGTGACGGCAATCCTCAAATGTGGGACTTGGTGGCGTACCGCATCCTCGAGAAGCCGCACCACCGTACGGGTGACAAATGGAGGATCTACCCCACCTACGATTTCACTCACTGCCTGTGCGATAGCTTTGAAGGCATCACTCATTCGCTGTGTACCACGGAGTTCATCCTTTCCCGGGTCTCTTACGAGTGGCTGAACAACAAGCTCGATGTGCCGCATAAGCCCATGCAAAGAGAGTACGGCCGCCTCAACGTCACCGGTACGGTCTTGTCAAAGCGGAAGATCAAGAAGTTGGTGGATGAAGGCATCGTGGGCGGGTGGGATGACCCGAGGTTATTTACTCTCGTGGCCCTCCGACGAAGAGGCATACCACCCGGGGCAATCCTTTCCTTTATCAACGAGTTGGGCGTGACAACGGCAAAGACGAACATTCAGATCGCTCGATTTGAAAACTCGGTGCGGAAATACTTGGAGAACAGTGTCCCCCGATTGATGTTGGTTCTGGACCCGGTGCCTGTCATCATTGATGAGCTGCCAGATGATCATTATGAGGAATTTGAAAATGCGTTTGGTCCCAGGGATGTTGACATGGGCTCTCATAAACTTCCTTTCTCGAAGAAGGTGTACATTGAGAGAGATGACTTCCGCGAAGTTGACAGCAAGGACTTTTTCAGAATGGCGCCGGGAAAACCCGTGGGCCTCCTCAAGGTTCCTTATCCAGTCGTCGCCACCAGCTTCAAAAAGGATGAAACCACTGGTCTGGTGACCGAGATCCACGCCAGATTCGACAAACCAGCCGAGGGTGAAAAGCCGAAAAAGCCCAAAGCTTATATTCACTGGGTTGCCGATGCGCCTGAGCACGGTTCTCCTATCAGATGTGAAGTCCGTGTGTTCAATCCCCTATTCAAGTCTGACAACCCCGATGCAGTCGAACCAAGCTTCTTGGCAGACTTGAGGGAAGACAGTCTCAAAGTCTATCCAAACGCAGTGGTCGAAATGGGATTGAAGGAGATTCGAGAGAGGGCGCCCTGGCCTGAAGAGGCTGGAGAGAAGAAGGACGATTGTGGATTCGAGTCGGTCAGATTCCAAGCGATGAGAACTGGCTACTTCTGTCTGGATAAAGATACGGATGATGCAGCTGGAAAGATCGTACTGAATCGTATTGTGAGCCTCAAGGAGGACGCGGGAAAGAGTGCATGAGCGGCAAGGAGATGCTTGAAATGTTTTTCAGGGACAATCAAGGTCAACGATGAATGATAGAGTTTGGGATATTAATCTGTGATTTCGAAAGCACGTTAGCCTCTTAACCTAGCAAATGCAGTACTGGTAGTTCATCTTGCACAGAAGGGGAGGACCTAACGTGAGTATCCCTTCTGGCATCCCTGACGAGATACAGCCTTGCAGTGCTCGTAAAGTTGCTGACTCAGCGACCCAAATGACATGCTGCGCAGTGACACGACATGCGGCGGACCATCTGGACAGGGACACTCCGCCTGACTCCGCCGAGTACTACGAGCAAGTGGCCGCCCCCCAACATCGGTCTCGAAAGAGATGATCTAGAGTGCGTCGTCTCCTCAACTCATCCGGCTTCATGGAAGCAAATCTACGGCGTAATGTCCCGGCGCACCATCGGCGGCGGAAGGGTGTTGGGAAGCGGTAGAACTCTTGGGCCGCCTGCTCCTCCGCCGAAGTCCTCCTCCCCTGTTCCCGCTCGTCTCATTTCTCCGTCGGCCTCGAGCCTGTCCTTGAACACGTCCGCAAGCGATGGCTCTACACCACCATCATCGGACACACAAGATATCGCGGCCCGCATTTCGGTTGACAATGGAGCTCCCGATCTCGCCACGGCAGCCGCTGCTGCAGGGGACCGTTTGGTTTGCCCGATATGCAACGAGGAGATGGTCACCCTACTACAACTAAATCGTCATTTAGATGACGCACACAAGGAGATAGAGGAAGAGCAGCAGGATGAAGTCAAGGACTGGTTCAAACAACAGATGGTCAAGGCGAAAAAGTTCCAGCCGCTGGCGGTACTGAACCAGAAACTCAAGGGGCTGGATGTTTTCGAGTCCAACCATGACATCTCGCGAAGTGGTACTCCGACACCAAGGATCGCATCAACCGTGGATGCTAAAGACTCGGCTCCCCCTCCGACACCGCCGAAGCCGACACAGACCATCATAGACCCGGACGATGTTATCACGAAACAACATTGGCAGAAACGAACCGGCAACGATGTATGTGCAGATCCGGCATGCGGGAAAAGGCTGGGTTCCACGACGACAGGGATCGTCAATTGCCGGCATTGTGGTAAACTTTTCTGCGAGGAGGACACAATGTACCAGATGAAGTTGTCGCGGTCGGCGCAGCATGAGCCAGTCCGTGGTCTATGGTATCGGGTTTGCGAGACATGCTACAAGAGTCGCGAGGGGTATGTGGACAGACACGGTGTTGAACGTGACCGGATGAATGAGTTTGAGGCTATTAGGCGGAACAGACTCAGTCACAAAGAGATGGAAGTGTCGCGGCTGGAAAAGAGGCTGACCAGACTGACGCACTTACTGGCCAACCCACCGGACGAGATCCCACAGCCAACTCCTAACAAGAGATGGTCTTTGAATTGGGTACCAACCGACCCACGAAAAGCACTTGAACAGAGTATCGTGGCATGGCAGGATGACGCCGAGGTTCAACGATGTCCATATTGTCAGCAAGATTTTACCCAGTATACATTTCGGCGACACCATTGCAGAACATGCGGGAAGGTTGTGTGTGGCGATCCTGTCACCGCATGTTCTACTCTCGTCGGCCTCAGTGTCGCGACCAGTATGTTTTGTTTTCCTTGTCCTCTGTATCTCCCTTTCTGGACCGGCCCATACTGATTTGTATACAACAGCTAACTGCCGCCTCCGCGTGACAGAAAAGCCTCCCCCAGACGATACCATCTCGCTCGACATACGATTATGCAAAGACTGCAAGCACACGATATTCTCCCATCGAGACTTTCAGGCATCCTTAACATCACCTTCGATCGAGGCATTCACGCGAGCGTACAACAACCTTGTACAATTTGAGAGAGGAATCCGACTTCTGATGCCGAGATTCCAAAAATTGCTACAGGCCCTACAGGATCCGGACCGGCCACCCTCTGCCGCCCAGCTCACAGATGCGTCACGCACACGCAAACGGCTGATGGATTCGTTTTCGCAGTACGACACGGCAGCAAGGCGGATAAGAGACCTACCCAGCCAATCGGCCACGCAACTCAAGCTTCAAAAAGCTATTTACCAAAACGCCACCCAGTTTCTACATCTTCACATGCTCCCCTTGAAATCGCTGCCCAAGGTGCTTAAACATGCCACGCCGCATGGGGCCAGCAGCAGTAGACCTGGCGGTAGCGAATTTTCCAACCCACGTGCCTCTCTGGCCGTCCTGAACCGCAACCGCAGCACCCATCATATGCGTCACGACAGCAGTTCCAATATTTCCGTGGCAAGTTTCGCCTCTTCATCGCGAGTCAGCGAGCTTGAAGCCGAGGAAAAAGCACTTAGGGAACGTCTCATCGTGCTCGAAGAGCAGAAGTTCATGGTGCAAGAGATGATTGCCGACGCCAACAAACGACGCAAATTTGACGAGGTCGCAGCCCTGGCGGGCAATGTAGAAGATCTCAGTGTCGAGATTGACCGCGTCCAGAAACAGGTCGATAACTTGCGCAACGAGTTTGAAGACGTCTACACGGGGTTGGGTGGTGGTGGCGATACTACTATTCCTAACAACATTAACACCAACAACAACAGCCGTCCCAGCAACAACGGACATGGAAGCGGTGTCAACAGTCCTATCAGGAAACCTTCACATGGCGCTACCGTGGCCTTGACAACTGGGGTCAACATCTCAGGCGCCAGAAGTGGATCTGGCGGGAACGGTTGACCTTTTATGCCCCAGGCACGCCCATCCCGCTGGCGTTTGATACAGATATGAACCGACATGATACGATATGGTATGACATTGGATTGGGGCTTGTGGTTGATAAAACGGTGTCTTTGGGCGGTGTCTGTCTTCAAGAGTGTGGTTTTTTACAGTCTAGTAGCTTTACGTTTAAATCAGATCGTATTACATTGCATTGCCACACTCTGGGAGATAAGAGGAGTCAATACTCCCTCGGCCGTAGCAAGGATGAACACCGTATCGTATCAATGATAGGAATATAATAAACAATAAGTCGTTATCCATCATCTCATCATCGTCGTGAGTGAAAAGAGAAGGAAAGGAAAAGAGTTCCTTTCAGCCAAATTCTGCAATGACTTCTTCCCCTTTTTCTCTCATCCGTCCTCCCTGACTTGTCTCCTAGCTTCAGCAAGCACGGCGTTCAGCAACTGTTGATTCGCTTCACGGACGAAATTCTCATGCCTGGCTTCCGAGACCCCTTCCGCATTACTGCCGTGCTCAAGCAGGCCCAGAAATCCGTTAACTAATTCGACAGGCTTGGAGGCGAATTTCAACCGCCCTTCAACGGATATGGCGTAGGCGGCGGTGGAGACTCTAGAGACGCGCATTGGAGGTTGGTGCGGTGGTGGTTCTTGGACAGAAGCCTCGCTCTCAGTCTCAGTCTCAGTCTCAGTATGCGGCCTCATCGGATTCTTCTTCGTCTTGTTTGCAGTGGCCACTGAAGTATCATTGCCAACGGCGGCATTTCCTTCGTCGTCGTCGTTACCATCATTGTCGTCGCCATTGACAATCGTAGAAGGAAAAGGATCAATATTTAATCCCGTCTTGTCCCGAATCCACGTTGCAAGAGTATCCATAAATTGCGGTCGTCTACTGTCATTTGTCGTCTGGTCTGAACCGTCGAGCACATGGCGATATTGCTCACCCACCGTGCGCGGCGGGACAGTGATATCGAGAGTCTTCAAGCTCGGCGCGACGGGCGGCGCAAAGGAGATGGTGATTCGCAATGTGCCCACGATTGACTGGAATATTGAGTGAAGGTGTTCGCGTTCTTGTTCACGTTCGTGTTCGTGTTCCTCTGCTACTGATTCTTGCTCTGCTTCGGCTACCAATGCCGACGCAAACGCCGCCCTCCCCAGCGCAACAGACACTGTTGCAAGGTACTGTTCCAGCGTGGAGCGAATCAGTGCTGGAGACAACCTGAGCGGCGTTATATCGGCCAATGCCAATGAGAATGTGTCTGCCAGATATGTCGTCACGGCTTTCAGTGCGGATGGCGATGCCTTGCAGAGTAAAATGGCGGTGGCATCTGAGTTGGAGTCTGGCTCTGGCCTCAAATCACGACGGCTGCTGCTTGTTGAAGATTGAGGAGTTTTTTCGGTGGTGTAAATGACGAGTTTATATGTCGTCCTATCGTACACGAGCGAAATCATGAGTGCATGTCCATGATGATTGCCGGTGGATTGACAACTGGCGCCGGCAGTACTATCACGATGGTCCCGTTTCCTTTTTCGGCCATGAGCATCAACACTTGAGTGTTCAAGTTCTGCCCTCGATGACAAAAGAAGCCGCCAAGTACATTCCTTCAGAACACCCAGTCGCTCGTGTTCTTCAACTTCTTCGTACCGTGGACGTTGTTCCTGTTCTCTGGCGAGTGAGGCGCGTAGCGCAGCGGCATGTTCTGAGAGTCCGAGTGCTTCAGTTTGGGCTCTGGCTCCGCCGGCACTGAGCTTTGGGTCCAAGATGATGGCATGCAAGGAAGCTGGGAGATGAGTTATGGAGTACAAGACCCATGAGGTGTCGTAGAGAGCATTGTCCATGGTGTCATGTTTCATCTCCGTGCTCGTGTCGTGGATCGTTGTCGGTAGAAGTTGTTGGTGTTCTATTAACGCGTGGGACGCGAGGGGGTACAAAACAATGCTATACTGTATTTTTTTACCCCCTCAAAGCTGTAGCCTCGTGCGGGAACATCCCATGCCTCAGTCTCAACCTTGTGTCGGCATACTACTACATACTAGTGGTAATCTACTCGAACATCACAGACACAAAGTCAACAACCTGGCCAGTAATGCTAGTGCTACTGACTACGAGCGTATGGTCCGCCATATGAGCAACATTTACAGCAATTGGATTGATCCAGCTCCAATCCTTTGTCAACGGTGTACTACTCATGCTACAAGGAATGATCTGCTTCAAATGGAGGTAGATTGCGTCTCAATACTACTGACTGGAAGCATATACTGTGCCTCCGGTGACCGCTCGTGGCAAAAGAACAAGAAAGTGCTAGTCATTCCAGCGCAGGTGCCTTTCTTCAGCAACTCCTTTCTTAGCTCCTTGACCTCGGCGTACAACTTGAACTATACGCATCTTCGTCTGAGTGCTTCTTTTTGGTCGTTGGAAGGCACGAACATGAAATTTGACCGCCAAACCGGACCTAGCGTAGGAGATGCTGGGGGAGAACTTGGTTCCGAAGAGTGTGCCGGTGACGCTGCTGGTGGTGATAGACGCGCACTCGGAGCAGGGTCGTTGGCGAAGTATGGCGAGACAGTAGGAGCCGAGTTGGTAGCTGGAGGCGGAGACGAGGGAGGTCTTGTAGCCTGCGAGTTGCCAGTATCTGCATTCAACTCGAAGCGTGCACCACTGCTGCCGATGCCGACGTTGCTGCCTCGTCGCTGCTGCCGGCCCCCTTCGTTGGTTTTGAGCCGCTTGCGACGCTCGTCCGTGACTCCAGTCCACTGCTTTGTTGTGGCGTCGCAGAGTTCTACTTCAAATTCGGTCTCCTGAAGAGGGCGCTTGGAAGTCTTCCCAGTTGACTGCAGTGGGGCCTGGTCTTCGTCCGTCTCAAAATCCTGTGCGAGTTCTCTGTCCCTCGCCGATTCGACCTCGGCTCTTCTCTCCGCTGACTCTGACTCGGGACCTGGGTTCAAAGAAGGGTTCTCTTCATTGTTTGAAGACTTTCCGTCCGCTGGCCTCGCTGGTCTCGGTAGTGGCAATGGTCGATACCAGCCAGACTTTCCCGACGGCTCTGAACCCACTGTAGTGATGGTCAGCAAATACAGATCTGAAAGACAGTCTTGCAGGAAGGGTACAGATCTTGGTAGGAGAAAACGCGGAGTAGGGATTATGTGGGGTTGTGGTTGTGGTCGTCCCAAAAGACACGCGAGAGTGAGAGGATAGAGTAGGCTTACTTTTCTTTCTTCGAACCCGTCTTCAGGATGATGAATAGCGACAGCCAAGATGAGTCAGTCGCTTGCCGTGTATTTTTAGTATATCTGTTCATAGGTTAGCCCTGGGTTGAAGTCTGGTTGGATGCTCAAGCAGCCTTACAGTTCCAGCGGAAGAGAGCAAGACAGCGCAGGCAGGCGGGCAAAGAGTGCTTTTGATCCTCCAAGCACACCAGTAGCATGAAAACAGGCAGTGCAGGACGTGGCAAGACAAAAAAACAGACAGAGTAGGATTGCTGGCGAGGAGAAGGGTTGTCGGAAGTTGGTGTGAGAGGAAGGGTCGCAGATGCCTTTTTATTCTGCAGCTTCACCACTGCAAGGCTCCTGTTTGTGCGTGACCGAAGTGAAATCTAGGGCTAGCGCACCCGACTATCCTCGAAATGCTTTGAACGCAGCTGCGACAGTCGTGCCCCTGGAGACAGCATCTTTCACCTTGTCGTCTGCTGCGACGAGCTTTGGCATCAACGACAAAGCCTCGTCCAGCAACTCTTGTGGAATGATCACCACACCCTCCTGCGAGTCGCAGAACACAATGTCGCCCTGGAAATCGTCAGCCTCCTTGCTCCATTTAGTCTCCCTCCTTGTTCGAGGAAGCAAGGCCAGACATACAGGTGACACAGTCACGCCGGTGATGGAGACCGGCACATTGCGAGCATACACCGTCGATTCTGCATTCGTGCCCACAGTGGATTTGCCCAGAGCAAAGATCTGACTGTGTCAGCCCGCCTCGGTTCTTCGTGGCAAGAAAAGATCAAAAGTCGAGAATCCTGCTTTCGAGGGGCAAACATACCGGCAGCTCAGATTTTCTGAGCTCTGCCATATCTCGCACGCGGCCACCGACCACACAGCCAGCAAGGCCTCTGATTTTCATCCGCTGGGCCATGATGCCTCCTACAGCAGCACACTTTTGGCCCGAAGGCTGGTCGATCACAAGGATCGTGCCAGACTCAGTTAAGTCAACCCAATGACTCCCCTTTGGCACGCTGTGCTCGGCTGGCGGTGCTTCTTCAGGTGGAGAATGTTTCGACACCAGTTTCAAGGTACTTGCAGGAGCAATGACTTTCCGCACTGTTTCGGCAGACGTCGGTGGTGTTGCAATAGGCCCTTGCCCCCAGGAACCGTCAAACCATGGTTATATATTTATGGTAGCGGATGTCGCCGGCTTACCGATGTCCGCGAGATATCCGGCCCGGGAAACCTCTCCGGACTTTGTTTTCTGGAGCTTGAGGAGAGCATCCGAGACCTAGCTGTCTCAGAGGACCACGGATGATTGAGCAGGAGAAGGCGTTCTTACATCGCAGGCTGAATATTCTTGCAATCGCTGGAGCTTCGCATGGAGACCTTCCGAACGGAGAGAGCTTGTGCTCATCGTGGAAACCCGTCCACTTCGAGACGACCGGACCAATGGAACTGTGTCAATTGGAGAACAGGACCTGAAGTGCCCAAGGGATGATGCTGAGAGAGATTTATATATGAGTCTGCTGGACATATCAAAGGGTTCCAGGTTATATGGAAAATGGGAACGGAGTTTGATGTTCCTGAAATTGCCAAATTGTTGTTTGACGTTCCTGAAACGCTGGATTGTTGTTTGGTTGTATGCTTGGCCCCTAGTCCCCAAATCTGGAGCCACACCACGCATCAGGCTCGGCAAGAACCAACAAACCAGCTACAGTGCCACCGCGACGCGGGATGACACCAGAAAACGACTCAATAGTCCGCCACTGCTCGCCAGGCACGACCTACCATAGTAGGTACCTATGGTACTGGCGTGATGCGTGACACTAAGACATATGAATATAGGCAACTCTGAATGTTGGTCCTGTCCCCATATTCCCGAACCTATACAAGAGCAATGCCGTTTGCCTGAGAAGACAAGTTCCTAGATTGCTATACAGTTGGCAAGAACTGAATGACAAAGACATACAAATACAAACAAGCTAAGTACTGTCTTGAGGCGCAAATGGAAACAGAGCAGGCTGCATACAGTCCTAAGTGGTTTGTTTGTACATGTAACATTTTCCGCATCTGGGACTGCCCAGGTGCTCCTGTTTGGATGTAATTTCTCAATTTGCGTAAACGGTAGCCAATTCATAGCATGAGAACCCTTTATCATTGGCCTGAATGGAAGCCTGGCCTTTCCGATAAGATGTCGCAAACAAAGACGTTGTTCATTTGATTCGTGGCTCGGCCTGTCATCGTCATCAGGATGCTGAAATATATCTAGTACGGTGGCAAGACAAACCTTCCATCTGCTGTTCACTGGAGAAACATTAGCATCTCACCCGTAACGTCAAAGAAGCTGGCCTACCTTCAAAGCCAACAGGCGCTTCCACCGCATCCGATTGTCCTCTCGTCCTTCCCGTTAACCGATAATCTCTATCCATCACTGCCATTGTAAGTAACTCTCTTGACCACTTCTGAAGCCCTCACTGACTTTGTCTATCCCACACGTCTAATTGTCTTCTGGGTCGCTTGTAGTCGTTTGTGTAGTATCGGAGAGATGCAAGACCGGCACCCTGTCAAGATCTGCTTAGTATTGGCCGACTTCAACGGTTGTGTTGCTGCATACTGTGACCCCAAACATTCCGGTCATGATCACATACGGCAGCAGGGCCTCAAAAGGGACGCCCATCTTGGGAAGGAGTCCGGATCAATCGGACCGTAGGAGATCTCGGTGCACAAGAAAGGCGCAAATAGGGTCGACTGTAGGCGGAAGCCACGGCTGGCTACACTCTTGGCCTGAGCAATTCACCAACGTCTTCAACTTGTGTTGCGCTCGCTGACCAAATGCAAGGACTTTCAGCGCAGGCATGAGACGTTCAGTTGGAGTTGAAGCTCATTGATTGTCGATGCCGCCAAGCTGATTGGGCAGAAGATGACGCCGCTCTAGCTAGGTACTAGCACGTGACAGTCTTGTTCAGCCTTGCCTCACCAGCCAGCCTCGCCGTAAGATCATTCGATATCACGTGCAAGCAACTTAACTACCATCTATGGTGGTGGATATGAGAACTGGAGGGGAGAGCGTGGAAATGCAACAGAAACAGCCTCGACGGTGCCAAAACGTGCGGAAATTCGATTTCGACGCGTAGCAGGATTGCAACTGGAACATTCTTATTTTACTTACGCTTCTGAGTCGCGCTGCGGTAGATCTCACGCGTCGATCTTCCTGCGCCGCACCCCTCGCCCCAACCGATTGCCTTGCGCCGCGATATTCACGACCGATTCGGGCCCGGCGTGTTAAACCGTGTCGAGGCTTTGCTATAAAGCTGTGTCACTCCGAAAATTCGCATCTGTCCATGGGGAACAAATGGGGAGGCTTACAACTGCAGGACTGACTAGTGCTCCGGCGTCGGATCGCAGAAGCACCACGTTGTGAACCACGGTTCTGTTGGGCGGACTTGCAGACGCTCGATCTCAACATCTACAGTGGATGATTCTGGTGGTGGCACTGGCACTGCATTCCGTGTGAGGTAGCAACAAGCGCCAGGCGCGGAACGTCTGAGGACGGGGACGCACTCTCGATTTCAGCGACTGCGATCAACGAAACGAACGAAATGGCGGAGTCCGAGTTATCTACCCCAAAAGAATACGATACAGATGACAGCTCGCTAGGGGAACAATTACAGAGGTCGGCTGAGGAAGGCGTTAGTGATGCTGAAGGCGGAACCATCTCCGTGGCCCACACCGAGATAAACGAAGATGTACCGATGAAGGATGTTGATGCGGCACAAATAAAACAAGAAATACGTTCGGGAAATCGTACGGAAAAGGAACAGGAGGGCGAAGCTGGTAATCTCGGAGACTCCCAAGATGCAGAAGCTGACGCCGATGCCGATGCCGATGCCGACGCCGACGCCGACGCGGACGAAGAGGAACCTGAGGCTGATGCACATTCCCCCGGAGTCGCATCGGGTGATGCAAATGGAAACGACGACGAGGGGGCGAAAGAAGCATGTGTGTTTTGCAACATGGTAGAAAGTCCCGCTGACGGCAAGGCTGAGCCTGATTTAACTTGTTCCGGATGTGACAACCAAGCGCATTCAGGCTGCGCGGAAGAACAAGGCGCGGTCCAAGAGAAAGACGAAGCAAATTTCCAATGCTCGGGATGTCAGGAAAGGGGGCCACCGTCAGCGTCTCCCAAGGAGCAAGCGGCACGCTCAAAGAACTCCGCCCCTCGACTCGTTAGAGACCTGTTGCCTGTGACGCGGGGCGTACAAAAGCCCAACTCCCACTCAATTTTTGCGCAACCGCTTATTTCGGAAACGGAGGATGGAGGTCGTGCGTTAAGGAAGAGAAAATCGCTAACAGCAGAACCACCAATAATCGAGAAGAGACGCCGACGGGCCACACCTCGGGGATCAGGAGACGTATCATCCACCGTGGAAGTTGATAGCAAGGCAGAAGTCGGCCGGGTGGTCGCACCCTTGACCAGAAGATCCAGTCAGAAAACAACGCGACCTATAGCGCGGATATTGCAGCATCGACCGTTCGAGAAGGCACCGCCTCACAAATTCATCCTCGCTTTTCGGCTGGACCAGTCGAAAATTGCAGAAATACTCAGTAAACCTCCCCGACCGGGACGACGAAAAGAGCGGAAGGACAGGAGAAGGCCTCCGAAGATCCCTCCCCCAGTATTTCAAACGGATGTTCCCAAGTTCCCAGCTCTGCCAACACAGCATCTCTTTTTCCCGGCGGCATTTACAGACAGGGAGGCGGAACTGAACTCCAAGCCGTACGGTGGTATTCTTTCGGAAGCCGAAGCAGACACAAGCCGATCGTTACCGCAGCTCAAGGATAGAGAAATTTTCGAAATTGCCAGAAAAGAGGCAGAAGAAGAACGACGAAGGACTTCAGCCGCGGCCGAAGCTGAGATCAACGGAGACGCAGCAGCAGCAGCGAAGCCCAGCCGCACTGTGTCCGGGCCACCCACCAAGATCAAATGTATTCAGTTTGGAAAGTATGTCATTGACACTTTCTATGCTGCCCCATATCCGGAAGAATACTCGCACGAAGCAAGGTTGTTCATCTGTGAATTCTGCTTGAAGTACCTCCCTTCTGAGTTCGTGGCGTATCGGCACAAACTAAAGTGCCCAGCCAAGCATCCACCTGGCGATGAGATTTATCGAGATGGCACTATTTCAGTCTGGGAAGTCGACGGTCGTAAGAAGACCGAATATTGCCAATGTTTATGTCTCATGGCAAAGATGTTTCTTGGCTCAAAAACCCTCTACTACGACGTCGAGCCGTTTCTCTTCTACATACTGACTGAGTACGACGAGTTCGGGTACCATTTTGTGGGTTATTTCAGCAAGGAAAAGAGACCGGCAAGCCAGAATAATGTCAGCTGTATTCTGGTCATGCCCATCCACCAGAGAAAAGGCTATGCGACATTCTTGATTGACTTTTCTTATTTGTTGACGAGAATAGAAGGCAAGGAGGGATCTCCCGAAAAGCCGCTCTCAGACATGGGATTGACAGCGTATCGATCGTATTGGGACCTGACGATATCAAAGCATCTGTTGGATATTGGCTTGAAGCCATTCAGCACAAAGACTCTTATGGCTCGGACGGGGATGACTGCGGACGATGTGATCCATTCCCTGGAACGACTCTACGCATTTACACGGGATCCGGTGACCAAGACATACGCCGTCAGGTACGATCGGAAACTTTATGAGCGGATCGTACAGGAATATGAATCGAAGAAGCATAGGGTCCTGAAACCCGAGAATCTGATCTGGACACCCTATGTCATGGGCCGAAGCGACCAAGCCGCACTGGACGGTCAACCACTGCAAGCTATGGCACCACGTGATGAAGACGACGAAGGCGAGGACGTCGGTGATAAAGACGCTGGGCGGCGACAAGAAGGCGAAGACGCCGACGAGGTCAATGGTCGAGCCGAATTGTCCAAAGCAGACGGCACTGTGAACAGCGTGGTTGACGGCGAAGAAGCCGGCCAGCGATCGAAGTCGAGGCAAGGGTCCAAGCCTCAAGACCAAGAAGATGTCGATACTAAAGACGAGTCTCCCGTGAACGACCATGGCCAAGTCGCTCCTGGGCCTCCTCCCACCGACGCCCTCAATGGCACAGTCACAAACCACATTGCCCATCCGGAGGTTCCAAACAACGGCGAGGTGCACGTCAATGGTGATCCTCTTACCAAAGAAGGGTCAGACCATTCGCAAACCGCGGGACAGTACCAGAAAGTTGGCCAAGCAGCTGACGGTGCCGCTGCCGTCGCCTCAGCCCCTGAAGAGCAGCCTCCTCTCAGCGGTTACGCGCTCGCGTATCGCACCCACGCCATCCCACCTACACGGTTCCAGATCGAGCCTCCCATCCCGGCATCCATGCTGCGGCGGCAGAACACGAAGAAACGCAATCGATCGACCGCATTTGGTGGCGCGTCTCACTTGTCCAACGGGGCCACGGGTACACCGTCTACGCCGCAAGTTGCTGTGCGCAGTTCACCGCGTAACGCTGCTGCTGCTGCTGCTGCTGCTGCGGGCGCAACATCAGCCAATGGTGGCCTTGGCTCACTCACGTCGCCGGAAAAGGGCCACCTCAACAACTTGAATAATACCCCCGTAAGGCGCAGTGTACGAGGAAGGGCTCTTGAGACCAGAAGAAGTACTCTCGCCACAGTGGAGACGGCTGGATCTAGCGTTGACGGAGCAGATGACGCCGATGAGGACGATGATGGTCCAGTTGCTCCTTCTCGGCGAATCACCCGAAACAAGACCGAGACAGGCACGGACGGGCAGCAGGATGATGACCAAGAGGAAGAAGACCAGGTGGCAAGCTCTTCTTCTTCGAGCGAACAGGACGATGCAGATGCAGATGCGGATGCGGATGCGGATGCGGATGCCGATGAAGACGAAGATGCTGAAGCAGACGACGATGATGGCGCAGATGTCCAAGAGGAGAGCGAGAGTGAAAGTGACGAGGATGCACAGGAGGGAGAGGAAGATGAAGACGAGGATGAAGATGAACTTGACTTCGAAGACATCGACGACGACGACAAGGACGCCGATCCTGATGTCGAAGTCGATCTCGATGACGAAGATGAAGATGACGACGAGGATGAAGACGCTGAAGATGGATGACGAGGGCCGTAGTCTTGGTCATGACAAGGCCAGGCAAGGCTGCCTGTCTACCTACTTGAGCGGCCGTCCATTTGTCTTCTTGGCTGGCCAGTCGTTTTGTCAGTCTTCTTCCTCCTTCGCCAGTTTTGCATCTTTATTCTTCTCCTCAATAGGGTATTCTTCTTGAAGGGGGGAACAGGGTGAGAAAGAAGCAAGGCCATCCTCCTCTGTCTCCCTACCTTAGGCACCTGCGTGTTATGTACTGAATCTAAGATGATCGCCCCCCCTCTGTTTCCAGTCCAGTCAATATGATGCACATGGACATGCAATGAAAACCTGAATCAACCAAAATAACACTGCCCAGATCACAAGGAGACAGCGGTCTGATGCTTATTAGCACTTGTCCTTGCACCTGCTCGACATGTCTGCTGTGTCGAGTCTGCTGACGACATCCATGGTTGTATGATCTCTTTCTCTCTCCCTTCTCCTGCACGTATAGTACTGTACTTTCGTTACCTAGTAGTGCCATTCTTAGACACAAGATCTTGATATTGGGGAGTCGATCTGCCCTGGCTCCGACTCGACTCGGCTTTACTTCACTTACCTTGTGTCTCACTGCCATTGCACTGCTTGCCTTACCCGTCTCCTTACTACTGACCTATAACCTAATGTAACCAAAAACTAATAGGCAAGCAATGCCCAATAGCATTTTAACACTGGCACCGACATTGCCCGCCTACCAGGTATGTACACTACCTGGTATCCGCAGTAAAGAACAGCCTACGCCGGTAGTAGTACTTAGTTCTCCTAGATCTAAGCAAGATAGTCAACTTGTAAGCGTCGACAAAGGGAAAAACAAGATTCAATGAACCGAAACACTCAATACGTCAATTCTCAGCTAAAAATTCATTTCTAACACTAGCATAGCAGTCAACCGGAAGAACCCCAGATTGCTGTCCGCAGTTCAGCCACCTGTCTGCTTTTCCATACGTGACCAGGAGCAATAAGATGTAGGTGCTGCTGAGCACTCTCAGTGGCGTCCCAGGATACAGTCTTCCCCGAATGTGGGAGACTGCTTTATCTAGTTTGTCGCTGTCACCTCATCCACGTCCTCAGCCCCAACCACCACTTCACCATTCTTCAACTCAGCACAGTTAACTCTGCTTTTTCCACCCCTGCCCAGAGCTTTTCCACACTTGTCCACGTCACGACCACCTGCTGATAAGGCTGAGCCCTCTGGTCATTGCCCCGGATCCTAGCCGCCTTCCATGATAATGTTCCTAGAGACATTTCCTCATCCCGGCACCTTGTCACGGGATGCCTAATACTTATGACTTCGCTTTTGTCGAGGATGTCTCTGCCATTGCCCGATACCCACCCTCGATGAAGCTCATCAAAAAAAGACCTTCAGCAAAAAGTCCTTTTGGTTGATAATGGGCATTTACTGTGGCTTCTTCTGAGCATTGGCGCCGCCGACGTACTTGCGCACATCCGTTGCCTCAACCAGCTGACGACCAAGTCCCTTTGTGGTATCCCAAGCCTGTCTGGCGACCGGTGGCACGTTGGGGTTCTGTACTTGCTGGTCGATATGCGCAGCCCCTTGGCTAAAAGCGTTCTGCACAAATTGGCTCTGGTGGAAGCGAGCTCTCAGGAAAACAGTGTAGATACCCAAAAGGATCCATGAGCCTTTGCTAAAGGTCAAGGCGGAAAGCAAGAGGCGGAACCACAGGGCAATCTCAAGCCCCGCAACCAGCATCATCGATGTGTCATAGTATTCCTTGACAAACTTGCCAATCGAGTTGGCCAGAGGAGACTGCGCTTTGGCGGCACCTGGAGAGGCCGGGGTGCCTCCCGGAGCGGCTTTCGGTGGCTGCAGGGTTGGGATGATGTTGGTACGGGTGTAGGTAGCAACATGGAACACGGAGTAGACGGTGAAAGGCAATAGAGCCAGCGGGACCTGTCTGGAGTACAGCCAGACGAGGGAGATCACTGTGGTTGTTTCTAAGTCAGCCCTCGTTATTTGGGATACCATCAACCGCAAAACTTACGCAGGTATTGGACATTCTCATCGGACAGCAGGAGATAAGCGGTCTGGCCGATGGGGGCACCCGGCCTCACTCTGGCGCGATAGGCCTTGAACACGACAATACCGTAGGTTGCGACCGCGGAGAGAAATGCCAGGCGATAGGTGAAGGCCGCCCATCGGGAGTAGTAGTTGAACGTGAGGTAGGACAAGGAATAACGAAGGACGGCCAGGAGGAGAGTGAAATGGCCACAGAACCACGCACTGTTCTCGAATTAGCCATTGCTTGTGCTGACGAGCAGGTGCTCGTAGAGAGACCGATGTCCTTACAATTGCAGAGTGGTTACAAGCTTGGTGACACGTTCGCCCAGAGGCGCAGTGGCTGGAGGAGGGGGTGCCATTGCGTGAAATTGGTCTAGAAACCCGGTAGAAGGGCGGTCAAGGACTCGATACCGTTGAGTAACGAGCGGGATGAATTGAGAGAGAGCTTAGGAAAGGAGGAAGAAAGCTGTGCGGGCAGATAAAAAGTAGCAGCAGAGGCAGCAGCAATCTGGTGGTGATGGTAGTGTGGGAGCAAGAAAGCAAGCGAGAACAGTAGTGAGATAGCAGTGATAGTAGTAGCAGCAGTGAAAGTAGTAGTTGCTGGGGGGCAGAAGCCTGTAAGGTGGCTTGAATATTGCCCTGCCAGTGCCAGTACCTGTCACTGCAGGAGCTCGCTCATGCGCTCTCATTCATCATCGGTGATGCAGTGGGTTTGTGGGAGCGATGATGTCAAACTGACCCTCCTGCCAGTGCCCAGTAGCATAGCAGCACTGGCAGGGTCCTTGGTACCTTGATTCGTGACACCACACTGGCAGCTCTTCAGCACGCACCTATCTTCGCCTACAACGTAGGTACTACAACGTAGGTACTACAACTACTATGTACAGTGCGATAGGTACCTGGTAAAAGCCACAACTGCAGCTCCGCGACGGCAAAAACTCCTGCTCAACTCAAAAGTCTCAGTTGTCCATGCTTACGAGTATGCAATCCCCTGCTGGTTGCCCCCTCGAACCTGGTACATGGTCTCGTGCACTGGCACATCTGACGTACCAGCAGTGACGCAGTCCTGAACGTTGGTTTATCTCCGCAATCTTTACACCAGCGGCTACACTGTTACCACCCAATCGCCGCAGCTAGAGAGGTGACAAACATGCTTGAGTTCGTCCAAGTCGACTCACTTTTCGAAGCTTGTTAAGGTACACAAGGGCAGAAAGAAAGAACCCGTGCATCCTAGTTGAGAGATTCGCTCAAGTTGGAAGGTATGAAAACAAGACTGTTTTTGAGAGACACCAGTAACCTTTTCCACCGCAACAATCCACCAGCACCACTCGCCGCTTCCATCCTTGAGACCGACACAGCCTGGACGATATGATCGTCTTAGACTCCACATCCATGGCCCTCAAAAGTTGGACTGCTATCTGGGCATGCTGAACCGTGCCTATCTCATTATCCACAATCCCTGGACTCTCCTCTCAAGATGCCCTGCTCCAGCAAAATCGTATGTGATGTGATTAGGTCGAGACTAGGCAACAGTGCCAGTCTGTCGCTCGCTCCGTCGTAAACACCAACAAAGGCTAGGAAATAAAAGGAGGGTGGATGAAGCATGAAGTCGCCTTCGTCGTTTCGTCGCTCGCCGAAACCGGCGACAGTAGCTAAGGAAGAACACGCCAATGATCAAGTGTGCGTCGCCCGCGATGTCGATCATCGAAGCGAGAAGCCCTTCCGCTTGCCCTCTTTCTCGATGGGTCGACCTTGCTCAATGCGGAGCTTCTTCTCCTCGAGTTCTGCTCGCTGGCGTTCGAGTTGTTCTTTCATCTCGCGATGACGGGCAAAAAGCTCCTCCTCACTCTGCTGCAATTTGCTCTCCTTTTCTTGCACCTTTTGCTGGAACACCATCTTCATCTCGGCCTCCATCTTGGCGAGCTTCTGCTCATGGAGTGTGCGCTCTTCCTCTTGCTTGACGGCGGGGTTCACCTCCTTGAAAACGCTGGGGTCCTGTGAAACGCCCATTTGAATGAGCTTGTCGGAGCGGTAGTTCTCGTAAAGAGTATTGTTGGTATGCTCTTTGAGTTCTTCCATGTGTGTGCGGATCAGCATCTGGCGTAACTTGACAAAGTCACAATGATCCTCGTTGTCGACTTCAATGATACCCCATGGATAGCGACGTCCACGGACTTTGCGACCCTCAGCATTGGTGACTTCGTAGTTAGCGCCGACGACTGCGAATGGGACTTTAGACATGATCTCTTGGTTCTCGGCGATAGTTTCTTCGTCGTCTAGCTCGTAATGAGGCCCTTCGAAGATCTGGATCGAATGGTGCTGAATGTCGGCAAGGATCTACAAAAGTTAGTATGTAACTGTAATGGAGGTCGGAGATCGTCCTTACTCTATCCTTGAATGCAGCCACCTCTTCATCCGTAAGGGTGTCGGCTTTGGCAATGACTGGGATCAGGTTGACCTTGGTATGAAGCCGGCGCATGACTTCAATGTCCAATGGCTTCAGAGAGTGGCCAGTGGGTTGAATGAAATAGACACAGGCATGGATTCTATTATCGACAATGTTCATGCGGTTGACCTTGTTCTCCGCTTCCAAGTACGCATCGTATCGTTGTTCGATGTTTTCCACGATTGGGCGCCACGAGTCGTCATTGTTGACGAAGTCTCCGAAACCGGGAGTGTCAACCACGGTCAAACGCAGGCGCACGCCATTCTCCTCAATATCGGCGCTGATTGATTGAATGGAGACGGTTTTTGGGATGATGTCCAAACTGGGACCTTTGCGCTCACGGGGTGGATAGAGCGAAGTGTTGAACAGTGTGTTGACAAGAGTGGACTTGCCCAAACCAGACTCGCCTGCGCCGTGTTAGCTATCAGGATGTAAAATGACAAGATACGCATCTCTACATACCCACAATCATCACGTTGAAGTTGAATCCTTTCCGAACACTCTTTCGGTGCCACTGATTTGGTAGGTTGGCAAACCCAACATAACCCGTCAATTTTCTTCTGACCACATTTCGCATGTCATTTGCAGCAGCGGCAGCGGCTTTTGGGTCTTTTGAGCTGACAGTCTGTGCCGGATTTGGGCTTGAACTCGGACTGGAACCAACTGGCGTGGCTTCTTTGAGGTAAGGAGACGCAGGTTTCCCATTCGGGACGCTGGGGGAGGGCGAGGCTAGTGCGCCGTTGGGAACAGCAGCTGCATTCTCAGATTGGTTAGTTATGTTTAGAGGAGTTGCGAATTCGAGGGTTGGCAGAGTGGAAGAAGACGACCGGCCTCTTTCGAGGACAGTTCCGTCCGAGGTATCGGGGCCGACGGCCGAATCAATAGCAGTCTGTAAATCCATCTCCCACTCTTGCTCAACAAACTCGGGCCCCGGGGCAAGGAAGGTTTCCATTTAGAGTGTTTGAAAGGCGGACAGCATAGAGATAGTGGGTTGATGCGTGTTGCAAGGGTGGGAGAAAGTCGTGAATGGAGGCTCACCCATATTGTCAGGAGACACTGTTTGTGCAGGAGGTACTGAGGATCGTGGAAACGAGGCAACTAGAAGGTGAACGCTGTTAGTATCAGTCCGCGAGTACCATTGCGCCAACATGAAAAGTAAGACTGAGGCGAAAGTAGAAGAGACCGTCGCGACTGTGTGAGAGAAGTGTCGCAAGACGGAATTTCCAGGAAGACGGCCGTCTGTAGGGGCTGAACGTACCTACAAAGGGAAACCACCGGACTTATGGGATGTCCAGAGACTGGTGTCAAGCGAGCGTACGAAGAAAGTAGAGACGCTCCCTCTGTAGAGGAAACAGAATGAACAAAGAATCCGGGGCACGCGAAGAAAGATACCAGTTGGAACGAGTTGAAGTCAGTACAGTCGGACTGCCAACAAGCAACAACTGCAGTGTCTCGTCTGTCTGGCTGCAGTGCCAGGGACTGCGGTTCAGTTGGAAAAAGGAGACGCGCCAAGTCCATTTTGGGCCGCGAGGGCAGGAATCGTGATTGATTGGGGGATCAGCGGCAACTGAACTGCTAGTGCAGTGGTACGTGAGTATGGAGAATTCAGGCCCACGACCCCTACCAACGAGTCCCATGCAGTGGCAGCTCCCGTTTATCCCCCTGATCCGCTCCCCAGTCGGACAATTGTCACTCTCTTGGAAGCTTATTTGCATCTACTGGGGCGAGCATTGTCCATGTGCAAGCAGAACCGATATGAAGTCTGTAATTATAGATGCCTATGCTCAGACCTTGGACCTGAGTGTGGGGAAGAGCTGGAAATTTTTCTTCTTCAGTATAGTACAGTCTATGTGCGCCTCAGCTGTCTCCCAACGCTGAGGCTGCATGATCTATCCCAGGGTATCCTGACCATGGCTGTGTCTGTCAGCCACGGCCATGCACGTCAACGCCGATAATGCTAGTCCCATCATCATATATACAATCCACATCGTCACCGTCGCCCATGGAGTGGGCTCTGTACAGAAAATTCTTCAAAACACCGCTGACCCTTCACCTGCCTGGAATTTCTCCATTTGCTTGAGCAGATACTGGTACAGAACAAGCATTGTCCCGCTTTGAACACTTGTCCACACAAAACGAGGGCCTACTCCACGGAACATGCCGCCGACGCCCTCGGTTTTGTAGATGAGCTTTAGTGCCGTCAAAACAGAGGAGGTATCGAGAGTTGGGGCCGAATGAAGCACTGTCCGAGGTCCCGAGTGGATCAATCGAGAGTGTGTCTGGCCCGACGACTTGGCTGTTTTCGCTGTCTTGTCCAACTGGGATGCCTGGGAACCCTTCGAGTGGCTTTGAGGAGTGATTTGCGTTTGCGTCCTCGTCTTGACAACGTCCAAGGGACAAGTCATGACACCAGCAAACCCACCCGCTGAGACTGCGGTGAGCACCTCTAAACCAAAGCCAATCTCCTGTGTGCCCTTCCACCTTTGCGCCAACTTTCTCTCCTGCTCGTAGATTGCGAACTGTAACGCAGAAAACGGTAGATCTCTCACAATCGTCGCTTTATAACCCGAATAAAGAGCACCAAGGCCTTCGGTGCGGGCGATCGTTCTGGCTGCATCCCATGTCGACTTGTAATTGTAACCGGAGTGGAAGAAAGGATTATTGTATCGACCTTGTAATTGCAAGCGAGTCTTCAAGACCTCGGAGGGCACGTACACAATGGACGCCGCGAAATCGGCAAGGAAACCTTAACGGCGGTTAGCGGCAAATTATTCAGATTTTCAAAACTGTATGTCCTCACCACTCGTCAGATATGCCACGGAGGGGTTGATGCCTCGGTCTAGCATGTTGCGCTTGCAATATTCGTACGATCCGAAGAATATGACAGTCCCAGGGAAAGATCCCAACATGGCAGCAGTAAAGCCTCCATAAAGTCCACGTCTAACCCCCTCTTGCCGAAAGATTTTGACATACGAATCCCATAGACTGGTGTACTTTGGAGGGAAATGAGGGTCGCCTTGTTGTCGGGTTTTAACTGTATCCAGGGAGTGCATAAGGATGTCGCCGGTCGTTCCGCCAATTCCTCCGGCAAGCATTGACTGTAATTTTCGTGAGCACAAGTCGAAGGAACAGTGCCGTTTCTCCACATACATGTATATAGGGTGGCCTCTTCATCTCAGGATCTAACTCCTCCCCCGCCAGTTCTTGCATCTTGCGGGCGTGCTTATCGTGGCGTGAGCCGTCAAGCTCAAAGCCAGGCCCCGTAAATCCATTGCGTTCGGCGTCAGACTGATCACTGGCCGAGCTGCCTTGAGGAAATGAAGCGGCCAGGCGTGAAGTTAAGCTCATGGCAGGGCCGCCAGCCCTTGACGACGAAGGTGAGAAACAGGCGCGTTGGAAACCGCAGGGCCGACGACAGAAAATAAACGACTATATGGCCATACCGTACCGTCTTACGCTGCAGGCGGAACTTATTGGCACAAAAAAGTTCATAGTCCGCGGAGCCTCGGCCTCGGGGCGGACAATTCGGCTCTTGGCATCTCCAAACCCGCCCCGAGCTCACGTGCACGTCCAAGGCGTCCTGCCATTGAGTCTGTCTACCAGGTACCTGTCCGTTGGTAAGTGCAAGGCTTTGGGCATGCTTGCCATAGAAGCAGAGTCCCAGGGAAAGTTGGGGCCATGGCAATACTGCAGGCGGTAACAGAATACCAGGTAGGTGGTAGGTCTGGCCCGCTGACTGTGTACCGCTCAAATGCTCATAGCATCGGCTTCGTACCAAATCATGGGGCTGCTAAAACATTCTGAAGTGGATGGAAGGTTACAAGACAATAACACTTAGAGAACTGTCAATGAGGCAGGTAAGTACCAGGTATGTATGGTTCAACTACTCCTCGGCGCCTCGGCCCACCAACAGAAAGAAAATTCTATGCTCAATAACCAGCGCACAGAATGTAACGCAGTGCAGCACGCAAGGCCATGGTGCGTACACTCAACTATTAGCCTGGAAGGGCCAAATAATGCAGGCCAGACTTTTGCCCTGAAGTGAGATGTTTTGTACATGACTCTCAGCAACCGCCTCGCTAAATCCAGCCAGACCCAAATTAGGAAACCTACAACATCATCTCCAACGGGTTCTCGATCACTTTCTTCAACTCCCGAATCCATTCACCTCCGACGGCACCGTCAACAACCTTATGGTCGAAGCTGCCGGTGACGACGATCTGATCATCCCATTCGGTTTCGAGCCCCTCTTCTGTCTCGACGGGCACGGCGACCTTGCGCGTGGTACCAACGGCCAGAATGGCTGCTTGTGGAGGGTTGATGACGGCCGTAAATCTCTCAACAGCAGGGTTCATGCCCATATTGCTGATAGTGAATGTGCCGCCCTGGTACTCTTCAGGCTTGAGTTTACCATCTCTTGCCCGCTTGCCCAGGTCCTTGACTGCGGCGGAGATACTCGAGAGACCAATGCTGTCCGCATTCTTCACAATGGGGGTCATCAGCCCGACAGGGGTCGCGACGGCAACACTGACATCAACGGTATTGTGCTGACGGATGAACGCCTGGCCATCCTGTTCTCTCCAGCTTGAGTTGACGGCGGGAACCTTCTTGCAAGCAATCGCACAAGCCTTGATGAGGAAGTCGTTGACAGAGAGCTTGTACTTGCCATCCGAGGCAGCATTGAGCGCTTCTCTCAGTTTGAGGAGTTTTGTCACTGAGACAGTGGCCGAGACGTAGTAGTGCGGGTTTTGGTTCATAGACTCGCGCAGTCTGTTGGCAATCGTCTTTCTCATCGAGCTCGCCGGAATGTCTTCATAGCTTGGGCCTGCTGCAGCCGCAGGAGCGCCACCGGCTGACGGCTTGTATTTCTCCACATCTGCAACCGTGATGCGTCCGCCTGGGCCAGTACCCTTGATGTCCTTGATAGGAACACCCTTCTCGAGAGCAAGCTTCTTCGCGGCAAAACTGATGTTAGGTTCTCTGTTGAGCACCGGCTCTAGTCGACCGCCCGTAGAATCAGATTCCACGGCTTGCGGAGCAGGCTCTTTGGACTCGCTAGGGGGTGCTGTTCCAGAACCAGAATCTGGCTTCTCTGACGCTTCGGAAGCCTCCTGTTTAGGCTGCTCTTTCGGTGCCTCCTTGTCGCCACCAGCATCCCCGAGCGTGAATTCTTCAAAGGCTGAGATATCTGTACCCTCTTCGACCATGACGGCGATGGGCTGTTGCACGGTCAGCGTAATCCCTTGGTCCAGATTGAATAACCCTTACATTTCCGACCGGCACGTCCTTCTCTCCAGATTCTTTCAGTATTTTTGCAAGGACACCTTCTTCTTGGAACTCAAAGTCCATTTGAGCTTTGTCGGTTTCGATCTCCACCAAGACGTCGCCGGGCGCTAAGGTATCGCCAACCTTCTTGTGCCAGGCTCCGATGTTTCCGGCAGTCATTGTGGGTGAGAGGGCGGGCATGCTAATCACGGTATGAGGAGGAAATGCTGTCCATCATCGTCAGTATTGAGAGTATCCGTGAACTGCGGAAAGTTTAGACGCACATTTAGAGGCATAGTAGCGACCAAGGGCGGATAAGCAAGGGAATGCTTGAGACCTAGACATCACAATAAGCTGGCGCTCATACAGCTTCTTCTGACATCCGAACATACCCTGCAACGTTTTGCAGTCTTTGGAACGCGTTCTGACCAAGCCTCGAGCTGGGTGCACTGTGCAGCACCAGACGAGACCCGGTGCGGCAGAGGAGCGTCGAGGTCGCCATGGTGAAGACCAGGTGCGGTCAAGTGAGCTTGCGAACCGCAGTCGAGGTCTACTTGAGGACAATTGCGCGACAGGAACAAACTCAACAACCTTGACGGCAAGCGATCTCGCAGTAACCTGTCTGTTCTGATAGACTGTTGGCACCAGCAAAGAAAATGGGTTGGGAGCAACGCAGCCGACGACAAGCCTGAGCTCCACTCCGGCTTCCGATTGAGAAACTGTCCTGTAGGAACGCGGTGAGGGTAGAGCTTAAAATGGGGCGGCGAGCGCACAGTTGGTCCGCAGCAATAATGTTAACCCGATGTTCCGTGCTGGTGCCATTGTGGTACGGATCAAATGAGAGGCATATGCAAAACCACGAGTCGCTTGGTTGAGCGTTTGATCAACCGTAGCAGATGTCAGCTACGCTTGTGACTGCTGCACTTGACCGGAGCACCCTGAGGCCTCCGCGGCCACGCTCGCTGGGACCCTTACGGAGATCTGTACTATTTATCGGGGTGTCAAAGGTCTCCTGAACACCGCGATCGCAACACGAGGGCATTAGGCTGCTTATTTCACGCGTCCTGCAGACAATGATCATTCCTTGAACCTCCCCAGTCGTCATTCTCATTTGCCGGCACAATGTCTGCCGCTGAGAGTGACTCGCCGGAGGGTGAGGTCAACCCGCATCCCGAGGTGCAATCTCGGGGTGCCTCTGACAGTGTCCGCGAGACTGAGCAGCAGGAAGATCTCGCGGACAAACAGTCTCATGAAGAGGTTTCAAGTCATGGAGTGACAATTACAGTCGAAGACGCCGATGCCGACGAACCAGAGGAGGAGGCAGCAGAGGATGGCGCATCTCAGCGCGAGACTCCAGTGGTGACCGAGTCACACACGGAACCGGAAGGGACTCCTATACCCCAGGAAGAGGCTGAGGACACTTCTGCGGAAACGGTGCCGACGAGCGACCAAGTTCAGCCTGAGGAACAGCAGCAGGACGAGGGTACTCCGGCTGCCATCCCAGACAAAGTTGCGCCTGAAACGCGTCCATCGCGGTCCGATTCACGATCCACGACGGTATCTCGGCCGCCGCCAGTCAACTCCACGGTATTCGTTGTCAGTGCTTTGGAAACAATTGCAGCGGCCAAGGAGGTGCGCAAGAACAAGGAGTTTGCAGACGCTGTTCAAGCAGCCTTGTCAAATATCAAGAATACGGAGCAGGCGGTGAATCCGGAGATAATTTTTCGACCATTACAGATGGCCACGAAGTCCTTCAACGTTCCGCTGCAGGTCACGGCTCTGGACTGTATAGGCAAGCTCATAAGCTATTCGTACTTTGCGTTCCCCGTTGTTGCTACAAACCAGCCTGGCGAGGAAAACACCCCACCTCTAATCGAGAGGGCAATCGAAGCCATTTGCGATTGCTTCGAAAATGAAGCCACCCCGGTCGAAATTCAACAACAGATAATCAAGTCATTGCTGGCTGCTGTCCTAGATGATAAAATCGTCGTCCATGGCGCGGGGCTTCTCAAGGCTGTCCGCCAGATCTACAACATATTCATCTATTCCAAAGCCAGCCAAAACCAACAAGTCGCACAGGGTTCCCTCCTTCAGATGATTGCTACTGTGTTTGAACGGGTCAGAGTGCGGCTGGAGCTCAAAGAGGCTCGTCTGAGGGAACAGACCGAGTCTAAGGTTGGGGAAGCCCTTGCCGGTGACGAGCTCGACCATCCCGAATTGAATGGTCTGAATGGGCAGACGGAGACTCCAGACCAAGAAACTCCCCCTGCTCTCCCGGAAGGGGCGTCGAGAAGTCATGAGAAATTGACCCTCCAGAGCTTTGAGAACAACAAGACTCTGGATGACGCAGTCGTTGCTGATAGTGCACCGACAACCGTCACCCGGGCAAGACGGGATCGCAAGAACACTCGCTCTTCGACTGGTCCTGTGACCCGCGATAGCTTGCATGAAGACCACGATGACTCTGGACTGTCCCCCGACGACGAAGACGACATCTATATCAAGGACGCTTTCCTTGTTTTTCGCTCTTTATGCAAACTGAGTCAGAAAGTCTTGTCCCACGACCAGCAGCAAGACCTTAAAAGCCAAAATATGCGTTCGAAGCTCCTTTCCCTCCACCTCATCTATCATGTCCTTAACAACTATACTATTGTGTTCACATCTTCATTCTCGACAATCAAGAGTGGGAACAACGATGAAAGTACGCCTTTCCTACAGGTCGCCAAACCACATTTGTGCCTGAGTCTGTCACGGAATGCCGCCAGTTCGGTGCCCCGGGTGTATGAAGTCTGCTGCGAGATTTTTTGGTTTTGCCTCAAACATCTGCGAGTATTGTTGAAAAAGGAACTCGAGGTGTTCTTAAAGGAAATCTACCTTGCGGTGTTGGAGCGGCGAAGCGCACCACCTTTCCAGAAGCAGATGTTCCTGGACATTCTTGAACGATTAGCAGGGGATCCCCGTGCCCTAGTTGAAATTTATCTGAACTACGACTGTGACCGGACTGCTTTGAATAACATGTACCAAGAAATCATCGAGCATCTCGCCCGGATTTGCAGCACTCCTGTGATAGTCTCTCCGCAACAACAACAGCAATACCAAGAGCAACAAGGCAAACAAGCTGTGCCATCGAACGAATGGCATGCGAAGGGGGCATTACTACCTGGATTGTCCACAGCAAGCCTAAGCCATCCTCCTCCACCTCCGTCCTCAATACCTGTTGAATATACTCTCAAGCAGCAGTCGCTTCGCTGCCTAGTAGAGATCCTCAGGTCTCTAGACAACTGGTCGAGCCATGCTGCCCCAGACGGCCAAAATGGCACTCGATATCCAGCCTCTAGAGAATCATTTGAGGAGTCGAGAGAATCGCTTGACTATAACGAAAAACCTCCCCCGTCACCTCGAGTGCCTGGTCATGGCAGCGAATCGGGCGTTTCAACGCCGGTGGCGGAAGACGACCCTAACGAAATCGAAAAGATCAGAGAGCGCAAGTCGGCTTTGAAGGAGGCGATCAGACTGTTCAACTTCAAGCCCAAGCGGGGCATCAAGGCGCTTCTTGCTGAAGGGTTCATCCGCAGTAATACGCCGCAGGATATTGCGAGGTTCCTCTATGGGAACGATCGGATCGATAAGACAGCCTTGGGAGAGTATCTGGGCGAAGGCGACGAGCACAATGTGGCCATAATGCACGCGTTTGTCGACATGATGGACTTCAGCAAACGTCGATTTGTTGATGCCTTGCGACAATTTCTGCAAAGCTTCCGACTCCCTGGCGAAGCCCAAAAGATTGATCGTTTCATGCTCAAGTTCGCCGAGCGTTACCTCAGTGGCAACCCGAACGCTTTCGCCAATGCCGATACTGCATACGTCCTCGCATACTCCGCGGTCATGCTGAACACGGATCAGCATAGCACGAAGTTGAAAGGCGCAAGAATGACCGTGGAAGATTTCATCAAGAACAACCGCGGAATCAATGATGGCCAAGATCTACCGGCAGAGTACCTGGCCAGCATTTACGAGGACATCGCGACAAACGAAATTGTCCTAGCATCTGAACGCGAGCATGCGGCGGAACTAGGGCTCGTCCCCCATCCAGCTTCGGCGGGCCTGGCGTCAAGAGCTGGTCAGGTTTTTGCCAATGTTGGCCGAGATCTACAGAAGGAAAAATATGCACAGGCCTCGGAAGAGATGGCGAACAAGACCGAGCAGCTGTACCGCAGTCTTATCAGGGCGCAGAAGCGTTCTGCTGTACGTGAGGCACTGTCCCGTTTTATCCCAGCGACGTCCGTGAAGCACGTTGGACCGATGTTCAACGTCACCTGGATGTCTTTCTTGTCTGCATTTTCGAGCCAGATGCAAGATGCCCATAATCTCGATCTCATCCGGCAATGTCTAGAGGGCTTCCGGCTGGCAATAAGGATAGCATGCAGGTTTGACCTGGAGACGCCTAGAGTTGCATTTGTAACAGCTTTGGCAAAGTTTACAAACTTGGGCAATCTCAAGGAGATGATCGCTAAGAACCTGGAGGCGTTAAAGGTGCTCATCGAGGTCGCCTTGACAGAAGGCGACGGCTTGAAGAGCTCGTGGCGTGAAGTGCTTATGTGCATCAGTCAGCTCGACAGATTACAGCTGCTGTCAACAGGGATTGATGAGGGTGCAATTCCCGATGTCACGCGTGCCAATATACCGACGCCTTCCAACAGCAGTAAGGACTCGACTCGAGGTCGGCGGTCCATGCAAGCAGTCAAACGCCCTCGGCCACGGTCTTCTCACGGCTTTCGACCAGAAGTTGCGGATGAGACAAAATCCACTGACATGATTCGTGGCGTTGATCGCATCTTCACCAACACTTCGAAGCTATCATCCGAAGCCATCATTGATTTCGTGCGGGCCCTGAGCGAGGTTAGCTGGCAGGAGATCCAGTCTTCAGGGAACAGTGAGTCTCCTAGGACTTACAGTCTCCAGAAGATTGTGGAAATCAGCTACTACAATATGACGCGCGTGCGGATAGAGTGGACGCGGATTTGGGAAGTCCTGGGCGACCATTTCAATCAAGTTGGCTGCCACAACAATACCGCGGTGGTTTTCTTTGCTCTCGACTCCTTACGCCAGCTATCAATGAGATTCTTGGAGTTCGAAGAACTACCCGGTTTCAAGTTTCAAAAGGACTTCCTGAAACCCTTCGAGCATGTCATGGCGAATAGCAATGTGGTATCGGTCAAGGACATGGTACTGCGATGTCTGATACAGATGATCCAAGCCCGCGGAGACAACATCAGATCCGGTTGGAAGACGATGTTTGGCGTCTTCTCTGTGGCTGCAAGGGAACAATACGAGTCAATCGTTAACATCGCCTTTGACTATACGAACCAGATCTACAGCACTCGGTTCGGTGTAGTCATATCCCAGGGCTCTTTCCCCGACCTGATTATCTGCCTCACCGAGTTCTCCAAGAACCTCAAATTCCAGAAAAAGTCTCTTCAAGCAATTGAACTACTCAAATCGACGGTTCCCAAGATGCTGAAGACTCCCGAATGTCCCCTGTCCAGACGTCATATCAAAGGGGCGGATTCAGAAAGCTCCGGCATTGTTTCAGGAGTCAAACAACCCACTTCGCAGACGGAAGAAGAGCAATTCTGGTATCCTGTCTTGATAGCTTACCAGGACGTTCTGATGACTGGTGAAGATCTAGAAGTGCGTTCTCGGGCTCTGACTTACCTTTTCGAAACACTGATCAGATATGGCGGCGACTTTCCGACGGACTTCTGGGATGTCCTTTGGCGCCAACTTTTGTACCCTATCTTTGTTGTCCTTCAATCAAAGTCGGAAATGTCCAAAGCTCCCAATCACGAGGAATTGTCCGTCTGGTTGTCGACAACGATGATCCAGGCACTCCGAAACATGATCACCTTGTTCACGCATTACTTCGAGTCATTGGAGCATATGCTCGACCGCTTTCTAGATCTTCTGACGCTCTGCATCTGCCAAGAGAATGACACAATAGCTCGGATAGGGAGCAATTGTCTTCAACAACTCATCCTTCAAAATGTCACCAAATTCACGCCAGAACACTGGTCGAGGATTGTGACGGCATTTGTGGAACTCTTCAACCGGACAACAGCGTACGAACTGTTTTCTGCCGCTGCTACCATGTCTGACGCGCGGCCCACTCCGGCCCATGATAGCTCTGACGGTCTTTCCATCTCCGGGACCACTATTGTAGAGACACCGACCACGAATGGCGATCAGCATTATGACCAGGAAGCACCTGCTCCCCTTGCGGAGTCGCAAGCGGAACCAACAGCAACAACCACATCTGAAGTCTCTCAGCCTCAGATGTCGCCAGAGCTGGAAGACTACCGCCCACACTCGGACATGCAGGCCACTGCGCCTGTTGTGACGGCTGCACGGCGGCGATTCTTCAATAAAATCATTACCAACTGCGTACTGCAACTCTTAATGATCGAGACTGTGGCGGAACTCTTCTCGAACGACTCGGTGTACGCGCAGATTCCTTCATCTGAGCTACTGCGGCTGATGGCGCTGCTGAAGAAGTCGTATCAGTTTGCGAAGAAGTTCAATGGAGACAAGGAACTCCGAATGGCACTTTGGAGACAAGGTTTCATGCGCCAACCACCGAATCTGCTCAAGCAAGAGTCTGGGTCTGCCAATACCTACGTCAGCATATTGCTTAGGATGTACCACGACGAAGGAGAGGAGCGACGATCGAGCAGAGACCAGACGGAAGGTGCCTTGATTCCGTAAGTTATCCCCGTAAAACAGAAGAGAAGTTTTTGAGTAGTATGCTGACTCCTTTGCTTCAGGTTGTGTGCCGACATCATCCGCTCCTTCATCGTGCTTGACGAGGAAACCCAACAGCGCAACATCGTCGCCTGGCGACCTGTTGTTATTGACGTGCTGGAAGGATACACCAACTTCCCCAAGGACAGTTTCGACAAACACATTGATGTCTTCTATCCGCTGGCCGTTGGCTTGCTTGAGAAAGAAGTCAATGCCGACCTGCGCGCAGCCCTGTGGGGAATGTTCCGCCGCGTCGGCGAGGTCAAGTTCAACATGCCTGAGTTGGTCGTCTCCTCGCGTGGCCGCGATGATAGCGTCAGCTCGACCACGAGGAACGCCAGCGTCGGTGGTGCCACGCCCACGAGTCCCGGTCAGTCGGGCCGTACAACGTTCGATTATGCCACGAGCAACAATAGTAGGAGGAGCAGTAGGGTCAGTCGGACAGGCGTTGCTTGATGAAAAGCGGGAGGATCTCTGTGGCAGTCGCTCTAACCGGCCGGTGCTCTTGTTATGCTTTGAGGGCGAAGGAAAAAGAACCATTCAATTCACCTACTCTTGGGACGTCCCCTCGACCACTGTTTGGCCTCGTTGGACTTTTGAGAGAGTTGGAATGCGTCTTGTCGATGTGCTGTGCGCGAATGATGATACACATTCCATGAGCTACTTCACTACTACTTATTATTCATTGTAGTATTCAACATTGGTATATACGTATCGGTGTCAATGGTCCCTGTGGAGGAAAAATGAAGGAGGCCTATTGCCTTTGTAGCTGGCGTTGGAACTGCTTGCTGGACTTCAAGGGATCGAATCTTCTACAGACCCAATGTCTGTCTGGGCTTGCAGTGGTATAGCACAGTACAAATCAAAATCCACAGTTGATGATTGTCAAGTCAAATACAGCTGCCAGGCCCATTCATTCATCCCTCCATACTAGGTACAGTACTTTCATCCAAGCTGTCCGGACCCTTTATCTCCTCTTCTCCATCTGTCTGACCCCCCTTGACCACACGAACTTGAACTTTGCAGCATGCAATTTGGTAGAGGAGAAAACGCAGAATTAGAAGTGAACCGACTCCACGGAGAACAGAATGACGGACCCGGACTAGGGTACATAGTAACAATGAATGTAATTTGGCCTTAAAAAATAATCCAACGAACACACGCATCCGATTTCCTCATGTTACAGGAACCAAGTGGGAGCAGCACAAACATGTGGTGGCGGGCCCAAGTCTGTACCCTTCAAGTTCCAGCCGGTAACAGAACCAGAACCAGAATACAATCGCCATGCCCAGACTCTCAAAGATACAGGATCAGGTATAAATGCTCTGAAAAAGGCGAAATAGGTTAGCCATTGGCAGAACAAAACTTGCAGGATCAAACTCACCTCTGTGTAAGCGTTGATCTGCATTCCTTTCTCGGCCATTTGTTCTTCACACAGGAAATCCAAGGGCATCCAGACCAGATGGCCCCTGATTTTGTCGAGCTCCTTGCGCACAATTTCGACCGGCATATGTGGATCGTGGAGATGCCCCTGTTTGATGACCTCGCGGGGACAGAAGGCGTCGTAGTCCTTCCAGGTCCGGATATGATTGTCCGGGTCGGCGCGGAACAAGAAACGATACACTTCGGTGTTGACGGTAGCTTGGTTCTGCCACTTTTCCCATAACTCATCACTTAGGGGATCGGCGACGAAATCCCATTCTTCGCCACTGTAATCGTCGTTCATGCACACTGTAGGCGGCTGGGCATTTGGGTCATTCGATGCGTCGACGGGCTGGGCCTCGATCATACCCAAATGCTCGCGCCACAGATGCCGCCGAAGCGTGGCCGCGTGGTAGCCTGCTTGAAAGGCTTTGCCGTCCATGGTGGTCTCCATGGTCCGCGTATCGGTCATCACAATCGACAGTTCTGAGTCGTGGGACCCCAGCTGGGACCGGTCGTTGAGGTTTGAAGAGCCGCAAATGACGTGGCGGTCATCTACGATGAGCACTTTGGCGTGGATGTAGAGCTCCTCTTGCACAAAGTTTTCTTTTTCAGATTCCGGGTCGCCTTCCCAGTACTCTTCGCTGACCAGTCCACCGCGGGCCATGGCGTCCTCGGCAATCGACTCGGATGAGGTCACGGGGTCTTTGACATCGAGATGTTTACGAGCAGCTTCGAATTGCCGCTTGCGATCGACGATGCGGTGCCGTTCGTCTTCATCCGCTTTGTGGCCCGTCCCTCGAGATTCGTCTTCTTTCCTTTCGTCGTCGTACCCGTGGATACCTGTGCCCATGATTTCTTCGGCTTCGGCTCGCTGCAGCTGCTGGTACGAGATACCCGATTCTTTCTCCTGCTGAACCAAGGCTGGGGTCTTACTGAGGCGGTCATAGGCCCGTAGGTTGAAAACAAAGATGTATTGCTCGGGGTCGAGCCCGGCTGCCTTGAGTTGGCCCATGATTGAGTGCTCTCCTCGGTTAATGCTCTTGTACTGGTAATCCATGATGGCCCTGGTGCCGATGGCAGCATCGTCACGTAAATCTCCTGCAAAACCAGGAATCGCGGGAATCAGAATGATGACCCTGAACTTTCGGCCTTCTTTGTGGGCGCGGATGCAGGCATTGACGATCGCACGACCAATTGTGTTCTGGATGGGCTTTTGCTGCTCGCCCGTGGCTGTAATGAAGAACTGGTTCTCAATGTAAACGTAATGTTGAGCGTTCTCAATAAGTTCGTGATAAGCGTTTTGGATACTGTGATCAAGCAGGATTCCGCTGCTCCAGTCGTCACTGCTCCGTACAAGCTGAGCGTGGACAGTCCCGGCGTTGTGTAGTCCTTTGTTCTCCAACGGACTGAGAGGGTGCTCAATATATTTACCAACTGGATGGGCGGGCCGTTGAACTGCGATAAGGTCTTCGTCGGGATTCGAGCCGTCTGCTCTGGACCGCGTTGTCAAGCATAGATAGTCGATTTTGGGGTCTCGCTTGTATTTGTCACGTTTGATGAAGTTCCACCTGAGCACAAAATGTTCGGCAATATCAAGTACGCACTCTCCTACTAATCCCATAGCCACATCATGCCAGGGCATCCTACCATACTCGGTCTTGTTGAGTTCATTGTTCGACCAGTCTTGGACAGTCTGGAAGTCCATAATTCTTCAATATGTCAGTGCTGTCTCTGGTTCAATCGAAACAACGAAGACTCACCTGTTGTTGTTGAAGTCCTGGCCGGGGAAGATTTCGTTGACAACGCCGGATGGATGAACATCGGCGAGCAGATGTTGACGGACATCCCATCTGCCATAGCATAGGTCTATGCCTCCGATAAAGGCAAGATGATAGTCGATGACCATAAACTTCTCGTGATGCGCCCAATAGAACGTCATGTCGCCAAAGTTCTCGAAGACATTGTGGTCGGGATGGCGCATTACGTGGATGTTGCCATGTCCAGGAGTCCCTGCTGGACATAAGGCCCTCAAAGCGTGCTTGGTATGGGCGGAGTTGCAGGTCAAGGCTTGTTGAACCTCCTTGTACACAATCACGTAAATTTGCACCCCTCGTTCAGCGGCCCGCTTGATGGCCTGGTCTAAACGCCATTCCTGGTTGAAGAACGGTGGGCGGCGCAAGAACAGCTCGGGTGAGAGCCACCAATCTTCGATATAGATGGTCTCTTTGGCGTTTTCGATGCCGACGGACACGGCCCACATATAGTCACGGCCGTCAACATACCATTTAATCTTGTTGTTTTCACGCTCTGGGAAGAAGGATTGGAAACGATGGGATTCACAGATGGCAGACCTCTTCCGATCCGTTTCCTTTTCGTGTTCTTCGTCATGGCGATGGTTTCTGTTCACAAGGTTCTTGAGCTTGCCTATCTTACTCTTGAGGTGGGCAGCTTCGACTTTGGCGTCATGTAGCTTGGTATCTGTTGGGTACTAGTATCATTGGCCTGCCCAGAAGGAGTGAATGGTAAAGCAAACCTTTGAGCTTTTCACGAATAGAATGCATCTTGCTTGGGTCCCCGATGTAGCTTATCAAACAACAATAAACAGAGACAATACAAAGGCCGCAAGAGGCTCCGGACACAGATGGCGCGACCTGAAATGCAGCGCAGTAGATCGAACGAGACAAGGCGGGGATGGAAGGAAACGTTCTTGAAACAACAACTTGAATGTATACCAAGTCCGCAGCCGGAGTTCCTGGCAGACTGGGAGGGCAGGGTTCAGGTTGCAGAAACAACACGGTCCGAAAAGCTGAAATCAAGCCGGCTGGCAGTGAATTGCGTACGTGATGCCTTGGTCAAGTGGTGGAACTGTGGGAGGGCCTGGAGGGGAGCGTGGCCGGTGGTTGGTGAACTCGATTGCGGGATGTACAACTAGGAAGATGCGCTTGTCAAGTGAGACGTCGAGCAGAAACCGACGGCGCAGCCCGAGTACGTCATCTTCAGCCCCCAAGGCACAACTTGAATCGGACACAGGAACACGCGCACTCTGATGCCATAGCAATGTTGTAGAGAGTGATGCATTCGACAGTCCTTGGGTTACAATGTTTCTCACGTCTATGGTGGTTCCTGGTGTTCAGGCCCTCGTCCATGGTACAGTGGTAGATCGTTGTGGCGTCACATACATATATTGGATATTCAACAGGTGTTCGTCTGTCGTGACAGACACAGTCACCACAATGCTGGAACTCTTAAGCATCCGTCGACGGATATCTATATAGTTATCTTTGCGCTGTCTCACATTCAACACCATTACCCATAAACCTGATCCTACAGAGCCCATCATCAATACCCTACATGGTATTACATCCATCCAAAAGACCCGTCAAACTCCCACACCACATCCCCACGGTCTCCAAGTCGAATGTCCTCAAAACTCGGTACCCTGCCCGAGTCGTAGTACTGTACCAATGCCTCCATGTCTGCGTCGTCCATTGCGTTGAAATCCTCGGTGCTCCATTTGTCACATACAGCACTCATCCACGCCATCCTCTTGCTGATGTCCCGCGTGGTTTTGCCTGGGGCCACCTTCCTAAGCCGTCGCCTGAGATCGCCCACTCTCTTGATGCTATCACCCGTTCCCTCGGGGAGCATCTCACCAATCTGTCGGCGTATCGCCGCAGCCATCCTAGGACCATTGCCGTTTGTAGACACCATAATCTGGAGTGGCCCGTCTCGATGTACACTGCCAAAGTAGAAGTCGCATTCGGAAGGCACATCGGCAATGTTTGCAGGCACCTTCATCTGCTTGCAGTACTTCCATATCCGGCTCGATGCATCGGGGTCATCGATCGCAGTCAAGACCATGGCGACATTCTTTTCTGGTTCCAGGTCCAGGGGCAGGAAGATTCGATCAATGTGTTTGACCTGGCCCTGTTCCACCCGATACGCCACCTCTTCGTTCAGACCCTCTCGCGGGCAAACAACGGTCACCTTGGCATCGGCATTGAGGAGATTGACAATGCGACCGGCAGCGACCTAGGACACTGGTCAACAACGTGTTGCGCATGGTGGTCAGGAAAATCTCACCTCGCCGCCACCGACTACCAAGACCTCCTTGTTTTTGATCTGCCAGGCAAGAATCAAAGAGCCTCCACCTTGAATCTCGGGAAATTTCGTGGACATGTTAGGCGCATAACGCCAGGAATAGCCATGAGGCAAAGTCGCGAGGGAGAAAGGGAGACGAAGTATGCGCGCACGTCGGGTAAATGATGGCAAGCGAAATGCCAGTGCAGTGCATGCCAAATATCAGATCCATGATAAGATAATCGATCAGATGTGGAATCCTGACATAATCCAGCCTTATCAGATCTCCGCCAAACTGCGCCATCACGTGATGCTATCCGCCGTCACTCGACCACCACTCCGAGTCCAGTGGCAGAGCCTCGTTTTCAAAAATTGTCTTTTTCTACCCCGACCGTTCAAGGTAACGATGAGTCCAGAAGCAACCTCACGCATGTAAGGTAACTATCGGTACCTTGCTCCTGCGTTTCCTTGTTGCTCAGTACCTTCTTCTGCATTTGCGTTCGGCGTTCCAAGCATTCAAGATGAGAGGCGTCAAAGTCTTCTCTGGCCGGTCTCATCCTAGCCTCGTCGAATCCATCTGCCAGCGATTGGGGCAGTCGCCGGCAAAATGCGAGTTGGGGAATTTCGCAAATGGCGAGACCAGTGTTCAGATCGGGACGTCCATTCGGAATGAAGATGTCTTCATCGTTCAGAGCGGAAGCCCGCAGATCAATGACAGTGTCATGGAAATGCTTATCATGATTGCGGCATGTAAAGGGGGTTCGGCAAAGACGATTACGGCAGTCATCCCTTACTTTCCATACTCACGGCAGTCCAAGAAGAAGAGCCACCGAGGTGCCATCACAGCCAAGATGATAGCCAACCTCTTGCTGGTCGCAGGGGTCGACCATATCATCACCGTCGACCTACACGCCTCTCAGATGGTCGGATTCTTTGGCAAGCCCGTGGACAACCTCTACGCCGAGCCTATAATCGCCCGGTGGATCAAAGGCAATGTTCCCAATTGGAAGGAAGCTGTTGTTGTGAGCAAGAACGTTGGTGGTACGAAGCGAGTGACTTCTCTCGCCGATGCTCTCAAATTGAGCTTTGCCCTGGTGTCCACAGACAAGGATCGTTCCAAGACATCGCATCATCACACGAACAATATGATGGACAGTGTCATCTTCTTCGACGCTATCGAGCCGCAGTCGATCCGTATCCGGGAACAACTTGATGACGGTGATGATGGACACGACGCTGACACGGAGTCTGAGAAGCCGCATGATTCTGAGCGCCGGGGTGACCTCGCTCACCGTGGAAGGACCGCAGTGAATAGTGCCAACCGTCCTAATAGACCCAAGGTGGTGACGATCGCCTCAAGTCCCCTGGTCCAAACTACGAGATTCGAATCCTTGTCTCCACCTGCATCTCCCGCCAAGCACCGCAGTGAAACTGGCCCGAGTGCACGTCGTCCTTCCGAATATGAAGCCAGTGAAGCACACAACGATGAGCGAGCTCGCGATGTCATTGTAGGCCGACTAGTTCAAGGTCATCTCGTCAACGATGATCATGCATCGTCAGCATTGTCGAGCACATCCCCATCGAACTCGGCTCACCCAAGCGACCGACCTGCGCAGGATGACAACCATGCCTTTGACCCGATGACATCCTCGTTTGTCTCTAACGCGTCCTCATTTCAGCCAGAGCATGCACCATTGGGTGGAACTTTTGACGCCGTTGCAACCTCGGACGAGGAGGAGGATGTTATCAAGAACCCTCATCTTGACCACACCATTACACTAGTCGGCAATGTCCGGGACAGGACAGTCTTGTTGATGGACGATATCCTCGATAGGGCCGGATCCTGGATTGCCGCCGCGGAAACATGCGTCAAGATTGGGCGAGCCAAAAAGGTTTATTGCATCGCCATCCATGCACTGTTCGGCGATGATGCTCTGGAGGAACTCGAAGCATGCGACAGCATTGACCATATCGTTGTTACGAATACTTTCCCTATAACCCCCGAGCGCCTGAGAGCTTCCCGGAAACTAATTGTCATCGACCTTTCCAACCTGCTAGCTGAAGCAATTCGAAGGAACCATCATGGTGGTAAGTACGAGGTTCAAATTTCCCTAATTCTTTCTAACTTTCTATTGTAAAGAGGACATGTCACCGTTATTTCATCTGCACGAGTAGGCAGGCAACCAGCGATCGCATTCAGAGGCACAGTAATGCTCGCTCACCGCCTCTCTGTTGTTTACCATCGGACCATTAGCAACCAGTTGTTCTATGTTGGATCCATCTTGCTACGATCAGCGACTCCCAGCCGCGGCTCAGTCAATGGCAACGCAAACACTCGCAGGGCACCTATGCCTTCTGGTTGGTGAAAACGACCACACGGTTCAGTCATCTCAGGCTTCGGACAGCAACTCCCAGCAGCCTAATGGTGGTCAGCTGCCTTACTATCATCGGTATCTTGTCGGCTGCTGTGGATATCACATGCAGCTTGATCACGGGCGTCCAGCATTTCCCAGCCCGCAGGATCCAGAAGTCGAAGCGCCGGCTGTTGACTCCATGCTAGTCCACCGGACATGAAGCTCGCCGTGGAGGTCCATCCTACCATGGACTCGTTAGATTATCGTCCATGGATCATTTTATGCGCTCTTGGAGCCTGATGCATCACGGAGCCAACTGCCATCTTCGGTGTACCAGCCCAGGTTGGCTGTTACGCGGCCGACTACGGGCGAAGAGCAGCAGCTCTTTATTTGTTTGCACATGGGGAAAGATAAGGTCGCCAGAGAATGTGTCTGCGGAAATGCAAACAGCATCGTTCATCGATGTATACACCGCTCAATCGCAGACCCTGCACAGGCGCGCTGAGGATCGACGATCTGGGGCTTTGTGGCTTGAGCTAGCGCCTTGGAGTGAAAGTCGGCTTCCAATGCAAAAGATCCCCCGATTCTGAACGATTTCCGGTTCCCGGATCAGCTTGCTGCAACATCCTCGCTAGAATGCCTGTCACCTTGAAATTTCGGAGCTCCAGGGGTGTCGTTCTGGCTTCCAGTAGGCTCGATTTGCAGGTAGCGCGCCCTGCCCGGCGATCGGTCAGGCACGGCGCCTTTCCATGCATCCGATACACGAGTTTTGTCTCGCCTCACAGTCGCGTAGCTCGTGCTTTGTGCCGCAGAATATTACTACTGGCCTTTCCATCCTTTACAAACGGTATATCTCGTGCGGCTGGAGTGGGGTGCTAGTCCCCACCATTGCCAGTGGTGTTTTGCTACAATCCTTCGACACTACCATCTCACTACTATTGTTGAATGATGCGCGCTTCAGCTCCCCCACGCCAATTGACAGGCGCGCATGAACTCGTGTGCGCCACGACATGTGAGCTTTACCCAGTCCCGTTCATAGAATCTCGAACATGAGGCTCGATACCATACTAGTGATCCCTACTAGGCAGGCCAGCCCGGGCTCTTTCTTTTCAGTATCGGCGTTTATTGCTAATTGATCGACCATGCCCGCATTGCACACGGCAAAAGGAAGTTCGGAAAGGTTTTGGACTCCGGGAGGGACGGCCTTCCGCACTGTCCGGCAACATCTATTAACCCTTTTCTCGTATAGCACGGGCGGGATAATGGCACCTGTCAGTCTCGCTAGTCCATCCATATCCCTTCCAACCTGACAAGACGACTCCCATTGGCATGGTCAGCCAGGATGGCCCTCTCAACAAAAGCTGGGCAGATTGCCTGGCAAGGAGATCCCTGAGAGTGCTGGAATTCGCGGCGCAAAATGTTCAAGTCATTACAGGATTCCATTCAATGACTGTGCTTGGTTCTCCATCACTGCATATGAGTTGCTTGGGTCTCTGCAAGGCATGACGGATGCTCCTCAACAGTCACAGTCACTGGCACTACAGCAGCAGCCGCGGGCGCAACCGCACTCAGGGATGGGTCTATGAATCCATCATGACTCGATGACAAACAGAGATGGCCAAGGGTGACATTTTATGGTTCATTCATTTGAGTTCAGTCCTTTGATAAAAAGCGCGGAGAGGATTCTGGGTTCGGCTTCATCGGAGAGCATCAGACGATTGCAGCTTTGGAACGACCTGGAACACTGGTCTAGAGGGCAGATCTCGTGCCGAAATCGAAACTCAAAATACGCGATTCGACAAGCCTATTGCTACAATCCCGAAGAGACCTAGGAGAAAGCCCCCATGGCTGGTGTAAGTTTTGACACTTGGGAGAAAGACAAAACCTGAAAAAGATCGCTCACTTGTTCCTTTCTTCAAGCCTGCCAACACCGGTGCCAGTTACCGCTACAACTACCAGAACTGCCCTGGCCATGAGTACCAAGGGAAATACAACGAGGGCCACTGCTCGTTGATCTGGACGTGCGGCAAATGTGGAAACCGAACCACCAAGATCTGGCAATGCCGACACTGTGGCTTTTTCCTATGCAATATGTGCAAGCAGTACAGTCGCAATGCAAAGGGGAAGATCTCCAAGGATCAGCCTCGCTACTACGGCCGGTGATTTGACACACCGACAAACATGTCGGTACAATAGTACCAATTGTGCCTCAGCTTGACAGGAAGTACTTGCAGGGCACTCGGTATCAACCTCCCTGTGAGACGCACAGCGGGTCTACAACTCAGCCGACGTTGTACCTGTTCTCGGTCAACACTCCACGTCAGAGCCGTCTCTAAAGTACCTTCAGTCTTCAGGCCAAGCAAGCGAACGAACCGAGACATACCAACCCAACGACGCATGCCACGTTTGCCTTTTAGCACTACTGCAGTGGTTGCAGTGAGCCTGAGCCTGAGCCTGAGGCGGAGCCAGATCCGTCGCTCGTGCATGTATGCAATGCACAAAAAAAGGCAACTCACTACTTCCTTGCTTTGATATGATCTTGCTTTCCTTTCCCTCCCGTTGACCCTGTCCCGGGGCCGTCAAGACCCGATAGCTGGACCGTCTGCAGTGGCTGGTTTCAGGTTCCTTTGGACCGATGGCTTCCAAGGTCCCGATTGATTGCTGAAACTGCAGGGGATGAGTCGGCATCAGGTAGTCCGTCTGTAACGGCACAACAAGGGATCCAATCTTTTGCAGGTGCAATGGTGGTTTTCTCCTCAGATACATGTACTTTGTGGCCGGAGAGGTGTCTCGTTTTGGTTTCGGTTGGGCGGATGGTATGGCATGGTATGGCGCAAACATGCCTAGAGTACCTATGATTAAGGCTCAAAAGTTCAAAGTCCCATGATAGCATTTCACTGGTACCTTCGTGAAGCGATGGCAACATCCTCAGTAGGTGGGTGGTTGACTTCCAGATACCTACAGTATGTAGATTCCTGGCTTCGGTGAAGTGGTGGCACTGACACTGCATGCCCGTATCAGAACAAGGGTTCAAACCAGACGTCGCTCTTACTACCTATGATCTATCTATGCAGTTTTTCATTCTCCTTTCTGGCTACTATATATAATACGGTGAAGGATTTACATCGGCTACACTGCCTAGGGTTACTGGTGCCAACGCATGTGAATATCTCCGCTCCACCAATACCGCTACTCTGCTCCGAGCGAGTTGTACGAGTTGTAGGAGGGAAGCAGAATATAAAACCCGCCACTTAACACGTCCACAACGGATAGTCAATGGTAGTCGGCAAAGAAGTACGTAAAGGTAGGTATATTTGATCAACCCAAGTTTGTTGCAATCATACAAACTACTACTACTACTACTACTACTACTACTACTACTAATAGTAGTAGTAACCAGTCTCGATTCCATTACTAGAACCGTTTTCCAGCTTAAGAAAAGTCCCGCCCCTCAAGCACGACCGGCGCAACAAGACTCCAACTGTAAATGCCATAACACACCCACGCACTGACAATCTTGATCCAACTGGCCCAATACGTCCGCCCAACGGGAGTAAAGTCGCTCGAGTTCTCCGGATCCATCTTCTGGGTCAAAAGCGTGGCCACCCAGCACGTCGCCATCAAGAAAATCACATGGAACAGGCTGTAGTTGTACTGGGTACCCTGGCGCTCGTCGTCCTTTGAGCTCACCGCCACCTCGTCCTCCTCATCATCTGATTCCTCGTCCAGGGCAGATGCAGGCAGCGCACCGCTTTCAACTGCTGCTCTCATGATCTCTCGACGGGACGCAGGCTGCTGAGTGACCAGGCCATGCTCATATTCATCCTGGGTTAGCTCAGCGTACTTGTTCTTGCCGGCGTTCGATCCCAAAGCAAAGCCTTGCGTGGCCGCTCGGGTGGTGGTGTATGCAATTGTAAGCATGGTAACAATGGCACCAAGTACAACCGTGGTTGTCCGCGCACCACGAGCTCGCACTAGCGGGTTACAGTGTTTGTCATCCGGTTCCATGCAAACAGCGGAAAGTGTGAGGTACGTGCAATAAGCAGCAACCATGGCTGACTGCGCCAATCCGGCCTTCGGGTTGGCATCTTGAATTGTAGGATTCACGCTGAGTAAGGTGATGATAAAGATGAATATCAAGTTGATGGTGATTGCTGCGATGTTCATGCTGCATCCGCTGCTCGCGAAGAACAGATACATGACGATCGTCATGGCAAAGGCGGCCACGTACATCCCCAAGCTTGACCCCATAAGTAAAACTTGCCACATCCGATAGTGGGGGCCTTCTCCTTCGTCAATCTTATCCTGACACAGCTCCGCCCAGCTATGCGCAAGATCGACAAGAAGGATAAGTCCAAGGAGAACGAAAAGCATCGCTCCCAGGTAGGCAACATAGTTTCCCCAGAAGAGGAAAAACCCCTCAGGGATGAAAAAGGACAAGACAACGAAGGCGAGCCAGGCTAAGATCTTTGGACCCCAGAAGCCATTCTGTAGCCCAGCCCGAGTGTCTTTGGTAGACTTTACACCAATAAGGAGGACGGCGAGGATCAGGTGGAAGAGCGCAAGAGCGAAGTTGATGCGCTGCACAGCGAAGTAGCCGTAACACTTTGAAGAACCGCATTTGAATGTCATATAGTCGAGCGTCAGATGCTCAAGTTTCCGTATTGCCCATGGTGTAAGCATGATCCATGCCAGGATACTGTTCACTAACAGAATCATGGCGTAGGCGATTCTGGTCGCGATTGACGATCTGAATTTTGACATCCCGCATGGCCCACAGAGCATGGAGCATGACGCCGCTCCACAACATGATGCACCGACTGACCAGAGAGTCGCCGCAGAGGGGATGAGGAGGCCGGGTAATGCAAGAACAGCCCCCATGGTGGATGGCCGGTTTGTTCGAGCCGAACGGAGGATGCTGGAGGAGTCAATGCAGATATGGGGTTCGAGATGCTAGACCGATGATGTTTGGGTGAATATGCGAGCCGCAATGGCAACTTGGAGTGGCTATCGGCTGTTGAGAGGGATGGATGTCAGGTATTCAAGTTGTCGCCGACGACGAAGGAGATGGAAGCGCAGGCGGCACCGATGAGGCTCAACTTCGGAGTTTGGAGATGGACGCAGCCACAGAAGTGACGACGAGCCACTGCAACTGCAGTCCCAGTCCAGTGGCTGGTTAAAGCGCCGACTGATTAGCACTTCATCAAGGAAGCTTACCCGAACAGATATTGGGCAGTCCTGCCATTGGCCGGCTCGACCAAAGCCTCCCACTTCCCCCTTTGGTCGGTGTTCGGGGAATGGCCCTGGCACTGGCAGCCCACTTCAAGCATTGGCACCGGATTGCGAGACTCTCGGGTACGATGCCGATTGACACCTTTGGTTCAGGTCGTGCATGCGCGTCTTCCAGGACTCATAACCTCCCTGTTTTCAGGACGGCCTCCGGTGTCTCTGCGATGAGGGCTTGACCATCAACTTGCTTCAGAAGGGCTGAAACATGCCGGTATTCAACTCCGACCCGCGGAGGGCAAGGTTCCTTACTGTGATCGCTTGCACCCTCACGGCGCTGGCGTGCGGTACAAATGTACGATACACCTCTTTACCTGGTACATATTCGAAGTACTAACACGAGCCTCTACAGTATGGCTACTCTGTATGGGGTCCGAGTTTCGCCGCGCGGCTCAGACTGTCCGCTACCGATAGTAACCTTATCGTACGAACCCTTACCATACTCCCGCACGACGATCGAAAGCTGATAGAAGAGACGCACAGGGAACAATAGGAAATCTGGGCATGTACGCTTTTGGTATCCCCTCTGGGATGCTGGTAGATGCCAAAGGTCCAAGATGGGGTATCGCGCTTGGAATTATGTCCTTTGCCGTGGGTTACTACCCAATTGCCAAAGGTACGAGTGAATGGTCCCATATCTAACTCAAGGCGACACTGACAAGACTGAAGCATATGAGGCGGGTCCTGGCGCATACAGCGTAGCGTTGATATGTCTCTTCTCGTTCTTTACCGGTGCTGGAAGCTGTTCAGCATTCACGGCATCCATCAAGGCTGGTGAGTAACTCGCTTCATCTGAACCCATGCACTGACGGTTTCGATAGCGGCGCTCAACTTCCCCGAATCTCGAGGAACGGCAACGGCATTCCCGCTGGCAGCTTTCGGCCTGAGTGCCCTGCTATTCGCAGCTATTGCTCTGTTGCTCCCTCCGGGAACGTACAACTTTCTTATCTTGCTGGCAACCGGGACTGTCTTGTTACCACTTGTGTCCTTTCCCTTCATCCGTGTGTTGCCGCCGCACACCTACCAACATCTTCCGCAGCAGGACCAGCAAATCCTCCATAGAACCAGATCTCCGGGGAGCTCAGACCTTCGGCATACTCACGAACCAGGTGCGCCAGAGAATGCCCACAAAATCCTCCGCTCATCCAGTACCGGGTCTCACAATACCGAGGACACTCCTGAATCAGGGGAGGAGGTTTCCTTTCTCCTCTCCAGACCCTCCAGTGAAGACATGCACGAGCGTGGAAATCCGAAGCATCACGAATCTGACAGACATCATGAATCACCGCATTTAGATATCAGAGGCTTTGCTCTCCTGCCCCACGCCGAGTTCTGGCAATTGTTTTCTATGCTTGGATTGTTGACGGGGATTGGCTTGATGACCATAAAGTATGTTTAGGTGGATAAAACTTATAAGAGGTATTCGGCTGATCATGTTCGACAGTAATATCGGAAACGATGCCCAGGCTCTCTGGAAACACTACGATCCGTCGATCACACCATCATTCATCGAAAAGCGCCAGGCTGTGCATGTCTCGGTGCTTTCCTTCTTCAGTTTCGCCGGCCGTCTACTATCAGGCATTGGCTCCGATCTCCTTGTATCTAAGCTCGGTCGTTCCCGGTTTTGGTGCCTATTCGCTTCTGCTGTGATATTTTGCCTTGCTCAACTCCTTGCAACGGCCATCTCCAATCCCAATCTCTTGATCTTGGTGTCTGGTTCGACCGGTCTCGCGTACGGCATCTTGTTCGGTGTCTACCCCAGTCTCGTGGCCCACTGCTTCGGCGTCCACGGGCTCAGTCAGAACTGGGGGACCATGACGTTGGCGCCGGTCATCTCTGGCAACATCTTCAACCTCTTGTACGGTCACATCTATGATTCGCACTCGGTGAGAAACGAGGAGGGCGATAGGGAGTGTCTAGAAGGCAAGGACTGTTATAGTTCGGCGTACTGGGTCACACTCTGTGCCGCCATCCTGGGGGTAGGATGTTGCCTTTGGAGCATCTGGCATGAGTACCGGGTGCACAAGGTGAAGAAAAACAAGGACAGACGGAGGAGTGATCACGAGAGGATCGCATAACGCTACGGAGTTTCTTGACATTCTGCCGAATCCAGGCTTACTACTATCGGCCAGAGTTGCAAATGTCGTAAGTAGATGGTATGAAGACGACCCCTGGATCAGGCGGTTTAGACGACGGGGTATATAGACATACAATGTTGTTGGAGGCAGCGAGCGAGAGAATAGACGCGGTCGACTTTTCGGGCCCGCAAAGCAAATACCAAAGCACATTGCACGATTAAGTACCCAAGATGAGCTCCGAAACCCAGCAATGTCTTATTCATCAATGAGTTGTGGAACAACCTGGCCAGCAAGGTACCTGGATGGCGACGTCAACTTGGCCGCATTTATTATTATCCCGCGGCGCATTATTTGCATTCCCCGCGTCACACTTTTAAGTTGTGCTTTCCGACCGCAGCCTGAGCCTGAGCCTGACCACGTCGCACTCCCTTGCTCGCGCAGGGTGTTCTTGTGTTCCTCACTGTTGAGTCTTAATATATATAGTGCTCTACATTCCCCTTCCCTGAATGGCTCCTCCAGATCTCAGCTCACTCCCACCTTCCAGATCAATGTCGTCCTCACCCAGACAGACGCGGTCGCTCCAAAGCGCAGCCTCCCCGCCTCAGACACAAACTCCCTCGCCGCGCAACTCGTCCATTTCGCTGGCGACGGCAGCCATGGCGAACGCGGCCAACGAATCCCGCCGATCGTCTTTGAGTACCAGTAACCGCGGCTCGCCGAGACTAGGACGCATGCCTTCGGACCGTCGTCGTTCCCAAGTGGCCATGGGTCTCAATCTGAACGACCCTACGCTGCCCAGTCCTGGTGAACTGTCTAGCAACGATCCTCGAGCGAACCTGAACCTGAGCCACAGCTACAGCTTTGTTTCTGCCAGTCCATCCACCATCGGCGGCCGGTCTGCCATCGCCACGGGCGATCCTCACCATCAGCGGCAGCCGAGCCTGGGGGACATCCATAACGAGTTGGAACAAGAGCAAGAGGCCCAAGTCAATCGAATGCTCCAGATGATCCGCGAGCAACAACTGCAACTCGAAGCCTTGCGTAACAATCAACCTGAACGACAGCAATCCTCTCGTCAATCACAGTCTACTCCTACAGGAGGCCCCGGTAACAACGGCACCGCTGTGGTTGACGACGAAACCCCGTCTGAAGAACGCTCTAACCCGTTCCCTCCCGTCCAACAACCTACTGCTACTGCTCCACCGACGAGACGATTTTCCCGCGGGCCCCCCAGTGCAAGTCGATCTCCGGCTTTACGGGCCCGCGAGTACAGCAGCAGTAGTGACTGGCCGCCATCTCCGCTTGACACCGGCGCAGCAAGACGAAACAGTTTCCGCGACGAAAGTGCCTTTTACCAGGCCGAGACGGCCAACCTAACGCGCGAAAATCAGATGCTCCGAATGAGGATCCGCGAACTCGAAAAGCAACTTAGTGAGTTAACTGCCGTGCCGCCAAATACTCCGGCCACCCCGAGCAACTTGTCTTCAAGCCCGCCTGTGGCCGCACAAGAAGAGGCGTCTCTTGCCGCCGAAGTCGCCAGAGTCACCAGCGAGCCGGACAAGACTGGATTGTGAAAAAGAGATGACGGTCATGGCGATTGTGTGATTTATAGGTGTTGTTGAAGGAAATGAATGTATCAACCAGGCCGGCGTTCGGAATGTGGAAGTGGTTCGGGCCTCAGCTAGGTCTAAATGATTACGGAAATGGAGGGAAAAGGCATGCAGTGCCAGTGGGCAAAGGCGTTAATGGGTTGGTCGGTTTTCAGGGCCAGAACGAGGAGTTCTACAACCAGGATTGTCGCGTGCGATCCAATGCAGACAATGTACGTTCCGGCATGTCGTCCTCTTTGACTACCTCAGTAAGGAAACCGGGGGTCGAGCCTACGCGTCAGGTCAGACCTGAGTGATGACTTGGGAAGGATGTGACCACCTGTGACTATTAGTATAGTGGATGGGTGTAGTATGGAAATGAATTCAGCCTGACGGCTGCAGAAAGAATTCTACAATGAAATAGACGACCACTTTTGATGTCCCTTGTACCTAGCAGTGGCGCCCGGATAGAGAACTCCGACCATCATAATCTCACCCGCAGCCGACGTCATGGGCAGCGGCTGAACATTGTCTGCATCTTCGAAGCCAAACAGTGTTGGATCACTACCTAATCATCAGTACAACTTTCAGAAAACACCACCATCAAACCTGAGGACACTCAAATCAGCTCGCGCCGGGCATCCAATCGTGTGCCAGATTGCTCATCAGTAGAGATGACGAGCAAATACAATCACACAGTTCCGGCACTTGAACGTATCCCGCGTCCACCGAACTACACGGCACTACTGTACACAGAAATTCTACCGGCGTATCGACGGTCGCTCCGCTGTAGCTGGGGTGACGGAAGAGGGACGCTTGTTTACATGTCCACTGCATGTCAAGTTCCGACTCGAGGTAGGCGAACAGGGTTTGGAGTTGGGGGCTCGAGCGCGAACTCCAAACTCCCAAAATCGATTGGCACGGGCGCCTAACGAGTAACAAACAACAACCAACTTGAAGCTGAAATAGGCACGCTGGAACCCTGCATCATCCCCCAGCCACTGCTTTTCCTCCGCCGCCCGTCATCGCCATTATTGTTGTTGTTGTCGCCTGCATCTGCATCGCGCCCACATCATCCCGAGTCCACCACTGCATCACCGCATCTTCCCTTCTCCATCTCTTGTCTACATGCGCGTCGTCGCGGTCCAAGGGCTCTCCCATTGCAACGCATAAACTCTTGTCGTGTTTGCCTTCACAACCATGTCCGGGCTACCGTACCTTCAGAAATTGCGTAAGAGCGATCTTACCGAAATCGCCGAAACCAGCAAATTACCTGAGTGAGTCTGGTCTGTCCAGGTTGTGCGCCTCCGACGCGTCGAATACGAGTGGCATATGTAGCGCATTCTTGCTAACATCTATGCGATCATAGTTACGCTGGATTGAAAAAGGCCGAACTCGAGGTCGCGCTGGACGAGCACCTCCGCGCCAACTCGACCAGATACAGCAAAGAACCTTCCCTGACCGATTACTACAAGCGCCTGGGCAGCAGCACCAGGTCGCCGGTCAAGAAGATCGCGCAGAAGGTGTCGGATGTAGTGAAATCCGACGAAGATGCTCCTGCGCCCGCGAAGAAGAGCAGGCGCAAGACCGTCTCTCCGGCAGAAGACACGTACGAGTCGCGTCCCTCCAGGACAACACAGGTCACTCGACTGACGCACATTGATATAGGACCGACACGGATTCGCCCACTGTCTCCTCTTTGATCAAGGCTCCAGCAAAAGAGGTTGCGCGTCGCTCTTCAATCCTGACATCGCAAATACCCATTCCGCCCTCTCCCGCGGTGGTGACCGATGTTATTGATGAACAGACGCGTCGTTTCCGAACTTCAATCTCTCACGCATATGATCGCACCCAGATTCACGAATATGCTGACAAGACGCGCGACCTCCTGTCTTCGCCGTTGACGGTCACCATCCTGGCAATCCTCCTCGAAGCATATGGTCTACGCGCCTCGGTTCTACCCAACAAGCTGTTGACTGAGATTCCCCCGATTCCATACGTCAAATCGACCAAGACTCCGGTCAATGTGCCAGATCTGTTCTTGCTGCTCGACTCCAAGTTCTGGGCACCTTTCTCTCTGTGGACATTGACGTCGTTCATCCTTCCCGCCTTCATCTCATACTTTATCAACCTGCCACTCAAGGCTCACCCGGTGCATTCTCACGCAACGCGTCGAGCTACCGTTCAAGCCAATGCTCAATTGCAATTTGACCCTTTTGTGTTCAGTCTTGCCAAGGGCTTGATTGCTTACTTGGTCTATGCTAAGCATTTCAACTTCGGTGGTCTGTACCAACACTTTACTATTGCCGTTGTGAACGATAGCATCCTGGGCGGCTGGTTCGCCATCCTCATCAGCTCAGGTCTCGGCGCGGCGGTCAGCCTATACGAAGCCGTACTAAAGAAATAAAGGCCGTGGCAGAGAGAACTAAGGGCAGGCCGGACGAGAGATAGATCACAATGTTATGCTTTGCATTTTTGTGCTCATGTACAGTGCTTGGGAAGGTGGCAGACATATCGGGAGCCTGGGATGAATGAGACATGAGTATTTTCCGTTGATATCCAAAGGCGTTGGAAACCCCGGCTTGGCTTGCAATTTGCATTTGACTTTCACAAATTTCAGTTGATGCTGGCTTATACCCACGGTGTGCCTGCTGAAAGGACCGCATATATGCCCAGGCGCGTGGAGAGGACTGGTCGATGTTGTTGGGATGGCAGTGGAGAGGGGTCGTGTTTCTAATTTGAATACAAATGAAGTTTCTGTTCAGTTGCTCACTTTCTTCCCGTTTATGCTGCTTGCCTCGGCTGTTTCCGATCTGGTCGAGTCTCTTCCATCCAGAGGTCCGTCACTCACAGTCCACACGACGATCATGGATGATGTATTGAGGGTACCTAAGCAGTACAACCTGTTTCTGCTGTTCCTACAATGCGTAGTAGTCCCACACCAGGATTTAACCATCTACAACATTGTAGAACAGCAGGACATTGGTCCCTTTTAGGAATGGCTTCCGATCAACTTCGACTAGTTCTATGCGCTGCTTTTCTGATCCCCGTCTTATTGGCCGATCAGCAACATCATCCGTGTTCTGAGAACTAAACACCAAGTATCACTCGCATCACAACTGGCACCCTGTTGAGTTTGGTCATTTACTGAAAGGTGATGTTTATGTATACATGGGTCTTCATTTGCTGCCAGACCCTTTCTGATCCAGTCTTTCAAAATGCCGGCTCCGGACAACATCTACGAGAATGACGTTGACTTCACCACCCTGGCATTGCAGTATCCCCAGTTTGCTAAGAAGTGAGTATTCGTATCCCAATTGCCTTGGTAACAGGCGAGGAGACTCCCGTGGCCTCTGGGTCTCATGTATACCATGTCACTCGAATGCACACAAACGGCTGCAATTCTGCAAAAGAAACACAACTAATCACTGGCATCATCTGGCAGATTAAAACCAAATGGCCAACTCGACTTCTCCGACCCAGAAAGTGTCAGGTGCGCGTGACCGGTTCAGATTCAACACAGACAACTTCGGATTACTATATTCCCCACATGGCAGATTCCCTTCAATTCACCGAAAGGGTCCAAGTTCACTAACTACCTTATTTGTTGGATTTACAACAGACAACTGACCAAATCCCTCCTACATCGAGACTTTGATTTGGCCATTGATTTGCCTGAAGACAGGCTGTGTCCTCCAGTATGTTGTCCTGCCAGCTTTGAGGGTTAGGTTTTCGCATGCTTCTTTTCCTCACCAAAAATGGTGAACAGAACACTGAACAAATACCTAACTTGAAACTGTCTGTTTTATAGGTTCCCAACCGGTCAGTATATCCAATCCTACTGGATCTTCTATACCTCTCAGGGGCACAAGAGGCGGTCGAGCTAACTAAGGCACACGTTGCCAATATGCAGATTCAACTATATTCTCTTCATTCAGCGACTGCTAGACGACACGTCACCGGACTGGCACGAAGGATATGATCCTAACCGGTCGGTAATCGGTCTCGATATGTATGTGCCCTGGCGATTCGGACATCACACACAGACTGTTTAGGTCGAAGCTGTCTTTTCTGGAGTACAGTCTTGTATGCGTGCTTACATCTATCACGCAACAGCGGCACAGGTTCCTCAGCAATATATCCGCTCCTCGCATGTCGACAACGGCCGGCATGGCGATTCCTTGCGACCGACATCGACGAGAAGAATCGCACCTACGCGCTTCAAAACATTGCGGCGAATAGTCTCGAAGCGAGGATAAAGTTGTTGGACACAGACCCGACTGGTCAAACACTGATTCCTGTCGAAGAAATTGTACGGATGGGCATTGAGCGGTATGTACTCTACCCACGAGAAACGTAACCCGCGGCTGGCAGGCTCTTTGGATTTGTGTCAACGCCTTCGTTGTCGTTCTGGACAGACCCGCAACCAACGCTCATCTGGAGTCGCCAGTCAGCAGATGGCTGTGGCTCGACATTTCGCTCGCTCTCTTGCCCCAGACCAAGTTGAACTTTAATAGCAACAAGCAGTTGACCTCCTGTAGCTAACGAACAAACGCACCATATAGGATCGACACCGTCATGACCAACCCACCATTCTACCCATCTTCTGAATCACTGTTAGAGTCAGCGCACAAGAAGTCGCGGCCCCCAAACTCGTCGTGCACCGGCGCACCAATCGAGATGATCACACCAGGCGGCGAAGTGGCGTTCGTGTCGCAGCTGATTGACGAAAGTTATAGCTTGTCCTTGTCCAAAGCACGACAAGAGACCTCAGGCCGGCGGCTTCAAATTCAGTGGTTCAGCTCGATGCTCGGCAAATTATCCAGCGTTTCCGACATTGTGGAAGCCCTGAAATCTCGTGATTGCACCAATTTCGCCGTCACCGAGTTCGTCCAGGGGAGTCAAGCCCCGAAGAAGGCAAAAACTCGCAGATGGTGCGTCGCATGGAGTTGGATGGGATTTCGTCCTGGTGTCAATGTCGCCAGGGGTGTTTCGGGTAGTAGTGGCGTTGAGAAACGACTACTTCCCGCGCCGACAGAATATGATTTCGAAGTCGAAGTCGCGGCAGCAGATACGGACACAGACGTTGGGGCTGTGGAGCGTAAATTGAACCAGGAAATGGCTAAGTTGGATTCCATCAAGTGGAGATATCTGTCCGAAAGACGGGTCGGAATGTTCCTTAGCCCCCAGGGGGACGTATGGAGTCGCAAAGCAAGACGGAAGAAGCAGCAGCAACAGACGCAGCAGGCACAGAGTCAAACACAAGTCCATCAGACGACGACTACCAACAAGGACAAGACCAGAGCCAGGGGCAACCCCGAAGATCCCGAAGCTGACCAAGATGAAGAAATGACGAATCGTGGTCAAGTCAGTAATGATCAGGCCGAGGACGAAGGCAAAGACCACGAAGATGAAGAAGATGAGGAGCCTGCTCTTGTCGTTCGTATCTCTGTCATACCGCCGATCATTCCATCCACCACTTCCACGGCCAGCACAAGTAAAAACACAAAAGTCCATATCCATATCCGGCATCTCCACGGCCAGGAACCTGTCCTATTCGAGAGTTTCTGCGGCTGGCTCAAGAGGAAGATGACGACGACATGATAACAACTTGGTCGACTAGCACGGCACTGCTGTGCAACTACGACTGCTTCGCAGATCAAATACTCAAAAACATTAAAATCAGTACCTGTCATCATCCACCCAACTTCAAGGTCTCTAGCACAGGCAGACAGTTAGAAAGACAAACGAACACTTGGTTGGCTCGAGCAGCTTCTCCTCGAGTGGAAAATACCCCAACCCGAATTGGTTCCATTGAACCCACCAACATGATGTTTGCCAAATTGAGAACTCGAACTCGACGACAACTGCTGTGAATAGAATCATTGAAAACAACCAGAAACAGAACTCACGACAGGTGAAATGCAAGTCGGACTCTGATTGAACTATCAAAACACAACCCGACGCACGAGAGTTGTCTTGTTTGTCCCTGTTCTTCCAATCTCCTTGCGCCGCGAAACAGAGCTGTGAGAAACGAACAAGCAGGCCGTGTCCGCCCATGTATGTACATACCATACAGCACTAGTACAGAGCTCAAGAGAGAGTCAAAGCAAAACAAACAGGTTCGCTTGCCGTGCCGCCCTTTCGTTGGTCTATTTGTTTTATCTTTACACTCGCCCGTGCACTCATTGCTCTCCCATTGCCGTTGGACCATATATGTCAATATGAACTTTTCCGCGAATTTCTTCGGCCAGTCGACGAATGGTCTCGTCGCGCATAAAGACCCATTGGACGGCTTTTCTAGTCTTGCTCTTCGCCTTAACTTTTCCGTTTTGATTCTTGGTTCCGTTTGGTTCATCATGGTAAGTCTCATCGTCATCTGTCGATGTTGTTGTGGTTGTGGATGTCTTGGTCCTCGTTGTCGTCCTTGTTAACTTGGAATCTGACGTGGTCGTGGTGTCCGTCGTGGTAGTGGTCGTTTCGGAACTCGAAGTCGGGCCAGACCCTGATTCTGAATTTGGCCCCGAAGTTGTAGTCGACGTCACAGTCGTTGCCGTTGCCGTCTCTTCATCGCCTCCAGCACCGTCTGTAACACGCAGTGCAAAGTCCTCTGTGATTTCCGTATGGACTTCTTCCTTCCTGATTACAGACACTGGTTTGGCCACCGCCACGCCAGTACACATGTGTCCTTTGATGACGTCGACGACGGCTTCCTGGCTGTTGCTGTTGCTGTTGTCGTTATCATTGCCATTGCTCTCGCCATCACCAGCCGCATCTCCTTTCCCTTTCCTGTCTGAATCCTGCGCAGTGGTAGTAGTAGCATGTTTCTCTTCTTCACGACTCTTCTGCTTCCAAAGCCAGCCGAACTTCTCCTCCGGCGGAGTGATTTGGTTCTTGCAATGCCAGACATATTCTTTCCAAGCAGAACCCGAAACCTTCTGTCCATTTGCAGTTGCATTTCCGTCGCCATCTTCATCTTCATAATCCGACAACCACAGCTCCTCCACGTTCAAGGTCTCAATGAACTTCTTGGAAATCTGTATCCGTATCACCCATGTCTCTCCGTACGGACACCTCCGTGCCGCCCAGCCACGGTATTTCTCGGCCACTTCCCTGTCTGGCGTCCAGTAGTGGGCTTGGGCATTATGGTTGAAATCGCCTCCTGGAGACGACGCAAGGACAGCCATGTCAATCGATCCGTCCAAGTCGCGTATGAATGGCTTAGGGGGTGCTGCTTTGCCTTTGTATAGGACGATATGGTCTGGCAACACGGGCGGTAGTGGTATAGACTCCTTCGCACGGTTGCCGTTTCCGTTGCGGGTACTATTATTGTTCCCATTGTTGGGGCTGCCGTTATCGTTATCATTGCTATCGCTATTGCAATTCTGTTCCTTTTGGAGAATACAAACATAATTCGACGGCAAACCATACTCTTCCAGCGTCATATGTGTAGCAGCAGCAGCATCACGACTACCAGAAGCGTCACCGTCACCGTCCGTCGTCTCCGTGCTCAAGTTGTCTCTCCTTCGGCGTGAGCTCTCACCCGCACACCTTTTAACCCGCCCCAACAACCTGACTAAACTTGCATACCGGGCCCACAGAGTATCCTTGACCCAGGCATGCAAAGACTCGGTCCAGAAAATATCGGCAAACCGTTCATCAGTCAGGGCATCCTGGAACTCCTGCCCAAGCCCGAATCGGTGCATGGTCTCCTTCATCGACTGGGAATCGTGGTGGACATCGTGAGAAGCCATGGGACGACCGATGGATTTGGTATGGTCGCTGATTCGGGTTTCGACGTATTTGTAGACGTGGGCGATCAATTCCTCATGATCTTGGTCCTGTTCGAGCCAGTCGTCGTAAATGGCCCTGGCGATAGAAGAAGTAAACCCGAGAAATTCGAGCGCGGCAACACTAGATGGATTCGTGGGCAGATCGAAGAATGTCGCGGCCAATTCCGCTTGCGGTTTGAAGTTCAGAGGCCGTACGGTGGCGGATGGTCTTGACTGCAATTGTGAGGTCGGCACAGAGAGATCAGAGTTGGATGTCCATGCCGAACTGGAGTTTGAGTTTAAGGTGGAGTCTGAATTAGAAGTGGATGTGAATATAGACGAGGGTTTTGGATGCGCGGTAGTTGTAGGTTCCGAATAGGAGTTGGGTCCATTTTCGTCGCCTTGAGGATCCGTGACTGATGAGCTTGGCCTGGGGGGACCCAACACCAATGCAGAGACCTTGATCTTTCCGTCAACATCGCCGTGGTCGGTTGGGTTCGCGGATTGAACGAGTCCGTTCGCTTCGAGACGATCAATCTCTTCACGAGTGAGGTGTCGATCTTGAACGGTATCGACTGTGGCCGTGAGTAGGGGAGGCACCATCTTCCTCTCTCTTTGCTTTCTTTTGTTGATAGATTCACCAGGACTCGGACAAAGGCCTGAATCCACAGACTACCGCGCCTCAGCCTCGTAAATGCATAAGCGTTAAATCGATACCAAAGGGTGCCGAACTGGTTTGATAGGTTGCATTGCTACCGTGATTGGTTGGCAGGCTGAATACCCGCTTCTTCGTTTCCAGGGAAGAGGAGCAGGATGAGATGTAATAGACGTGTTGACCACGTCTCGTAGTAGAAGAAAAAGGCAACCCAAGGCAAGATACCGAATGTACCAGAACCTGACGCTAAACGAAGAGAGACTGGTACAGGCACCAACTTCCAAAAGCAAGGCAATGCAAGGCGAGGTGATCTTTTGTGACGGAACCAACAAAGCAGTACGCCCGAGGTGCACGACGTTGCTGTACAAACTCACAGTACGCCCCAACCCCGGCGAGATGCAACGTGACAGAAGTGCGCCAAATACAATCAGATGGTAAGGACGAGAATCTCTGATCTCTGACGTCGTGTTAAGTAATATTTGATGTTTTCCGGCCGGAATCTTGACGCCTTTCTCACTCTCGTCCCACGTGACCATGCGCCGTAACTAACAACTGTTATATAAAGATGGATTCTGATTTCGTCGCTACCAATGGATCCAAGCATTTTAGGTATGGTGCTCCCAGCTCCGCTTGATATCAATGCCCCATGCCTTCGTATTGTCCTTTCGTGAGAGGACCGAGACAACATTCTCCTCGAGGGGCTCCTGTTTTCTACGAAATTGGTCGGCCCATTCCCACCGTTTGGGCACATATCAATTCCTTCGCACTGACCTTCATTGAGAAATTCATCCTGCTCTCCAATGAACGTATTTCTCTCGTGCCTGAAGTAGTTGTTTGAGCGCGAGTACGTGCCAAGAAACTAGAACAGCGGTGAGATGGCCCTTTGAGATGTACATACAGTATTACCCTTACTACCGTTGAACTTCACTTTCCTCCACAATCTGGCCTCCTAATCATGTCTTTGATCGGAGAGGGGGCAATCTCGAAGGTCTACAAGTTGAATTCTTCAATCGTGGTGAAACGGGCCCGCATTGGGGTTGATGAGGAAGTCGACCATGCCACCGAGCAGAAAATATTACAAATGCTCAAGAAATGCCGCGATCAATCGTACCTCATCCGCTGCTTCTATGTCAGAAAAAACGACACTTTTCTCGAGTATGCGGTCAACGGGAGTGTCGCCACGCTCCTTGACCAAAACCGTCATTATGACGCGCAAGGCAACCTTTCGGTCTCACGATATATCGACCGAAGCCTTGTCTGCCAATGGATGAAGCAATTATCGCTTGCTGCCAAAAGTCTTGAAGAGATTGGTCTCGCTCACGGGGATATCTGCCCAAGGAATCTTCTTCTGGATTCCAAGTGGAATCTGAAATTAAGCGACTTCGACCGTACAGTGAGGGTTGGAGATGATTGTTTGCCAATAGGTGCACCGTTTGGTCGTCTCCTTTCCGACGAAGATCGCGGAGACACCGGTACTTACGGCGAGGCGGGTGTTCGTACGGAGACCTTCGCCATCGGATCTACCTACTACACGCTTCTCCGCGGTCATGAGCCATACGAAACCGAATTCTGCGGGGATCAACATTTCGTGATATTGCAGGAAAAATTTCAGCGAAAAGAATTCCCATTACTGGACACTTCGGCTGCAGACTTGGTCATTCGTAAGTGTTGGTATGGAGAATACCGGTCAGTAGGTGAACTTTCGTTGGAGTTCCCTGCTTATGGACCAGAAGGATCATGTGAAGAGCATGAGGAATGGCTGAATTTACGTGAGATGGAATGTAAGAGGTTTATCGAGGAGGGCATTGTAGAGACCCTGCCAAGGTGAAGAAAATAAATCGATCGACCAGAGTTGAACGATCGAAGAAAAACATTTACTAGAAGCGAAAGATATATCGACCAACCTATCCAGACTTCACGGCACCCTCTCTTCTGGAGATCAACACTATCATATGTGGATATCAAGAGACAATGGGCACTTGGTGTATACTAACATCGGACAACCTCAGACGTGTATTATCCGCAAATTCAGTAAAAAGTGTTGTACTGAAGATTCGAGACCGGACGCCGAAGCTGAGATTGCTACCTTCTCATCGAAATGTGTCGTTGCAAAGCGAGGCTGCTTATAGCGAGAGTTACAGGACTGTCTTCTCCAAATGTCTCTTATAGCGATTTCCTTCTCCTCGCCTCCAAGTTCATCGGCTGCATATGGCGCACAGTTCGACGTTTCGTCGGGACGAAAGAACTACCATTACCTTCACGACCGTAAGAATCACATGAACCATAGGAAATAGCAGAACACGGGGACCAGACGAACTGTGCCGTAGCAGCGCTATCGTGTCCTTACCAGCGACAACTCGAGCACCTGGTATTCCCGTCTCGGGCCGTGAGTCCTGAAGGGGGCATGAGCTTCTCGCGCTCAGACGAATGTCGTAGTCTCTGGTCAACGGTGAGTCAGGGGTGTCTAATGTCGCATGTACCACGTACTTGTACGTGATCAATATGGCAGCCTTACGTTGTACAAGAGCCCTGATATCAGCACCCTTTGCTTTTTCCATGTATAGTATTACACATGATTATTTGGAAATACTTTGGATACAGTACAGTACGGGATAGCATGTAGATCCTTGTACCTGGGTAGACTCTGTACATGACCGACAAGACACGACGACTGTCCATTCACTCAATCACTCAGTCCACCACCCACGAACATTGTTCCACACTACTCATTCAGCAGTTCCATTTCCTCCTTCAACCTTGTCCACGCCTCAGTCCCTTCCCAGGCCTTGGACCGACCCAGAACCTTTCTCGCGGCACTCTTCGCCTTGAACCGCCACTTTGGCTCGACCTGGCCGCCTGTGCGTTCTCGTTCACGCGGCCCAAGATCTCGATACCGCCGAATCAACCAGATAGTCTTGTCGACAACATTGGTCCATTGCGCCTCGTTTGTGAGTTCGTCAAAGTTTTCAGCAAGTGAAATGCTCGTCAGGTGGGTGCGCCATGCTTTTTCGGCGTACAGGAGTGCCTGGGCGGGTCGGTTGCGCCATTCGGAGATTGTACAGAGTAGATCGTAAAGGGCCGGCGAGGACGTTGCGAGAGGAGCAATCTGGTTGTCGACGAGTGACAAGAATGCTCGGGGCAGGTATGGGAGGTTGGCCGATGTGGTCGCTGCTTCAGGTTCTGTGTTGTCTTCGCCCTTTTTCTGCGCTCCCCCTTCAGACTCTTCTGCCCCGTTGGTGCTAGCTGCTGTCGGATACGTCCATTCCTGAGTGACATATTCAGTTAGAACCTTTAGTATCCCAACGTCGATGGCACCTTCGCCTTCATTCTTCCCTCTCAATTCAATCACCCGCCCCATGGCCTGCATCACCTCGTTCCAAGGCGTGCCTGCGCTCGGCGGTATGCTTGCCGCTACAGTGAGATAATTGTCCCAAATGCGCGCGTCGTCGCGCTTGAGTGTCGCGGCACGTCGTAGGGCGCGCAGGGCCTCTCGCACGTGTCGATACGGATCAACTTTGCGTGAGAGGTCGGTGTCTGCATGTCCCTCTCCTTCTTCTTCGTCCTCCGCCAGTCCAGATGCAGATGCAGATCCAGCAGTCTGCCCGGTACCAGTCGAAGTGGTGTTTGCGGCGCCTCTCATCGCTTCATCTGGCTTGGCCTCTACCACATCCATTCCCGGTCTCGGCAGCTTTAGCAACGCAACGGCCAGATTTGACCATGCCTCTCCGTCGTGGTCTTCAAGTTGAACACAGCGAGTAAATGTCTCTACTGCACCTTGGTAGTCCTCCAGCTCGAGTTGGACACAGCCCAGTGCAAACCAACTTGAGCGGTCGAGTCGTGCAATCGACAGGGCCAGAGTATATGCCTCGGCTGCGGCTTTGAAGTCGCGTTTCTTGGTGAAGTACCGACCCAGCGAGCGTTGGGCGCGCGCGTATCTCTTTGAGGAGACGTTCCATGCCAGAGTGTAGTAGGACGGTAGACCGGTGATATCGCCCAGAATGCATAGCAGGCGAGGTGCGTCGGCTGGAGGCGGAGAGCGGAGTTTCAAAGTCGTCGGCGGATCGGCCTCGTTGTTCTTGTTGTCCAGAGAAGATTCGAAATCTTCGAACAACAATCCTTTCAGAAGCTTGATGGCATCCTGCTCTCGATCTGTTGCGGCAAGGCACAACGCCACCTCGGCATGCATCTGTAACCGCTCGTAAATCTCCAATGCGGTCTTTAAGCCGCCCATCTGTGTCCAGCGAGCGGCCAGCTCGGCCTCCAGCTCCCATCGCAAAGGTGGAGACAATTGGTATATGTACTTCAGCCGCTCGGCGACCGACGCCGATTCCGAGGCCTTGGGCTTTGGAAGAAACGTCGTGGGCGTCGAAGAGGTCCCTGACGCTTTTGCCGACGATTTTGATTGATCCTCAGACGTCTCTGCGATGACTTGATCAACCAGCGCCTGCAGTTGCAACAATCCACGCTCGGCTGTCCGAGCTCGATACCCCTCGATCCGACTCCTGACCAGTAAAGCCTGGGTGTAAACCTGCCAATTGGACGACCCGCCCTCTAACACTCGCGTCGCATAAGGCACAGTCTCCTCGCGCACCAAGCCGTCGTCGGGCGATGTGTTGGTGATACTACTCGCCGTAGCCAGCAGGATGATACTGTCCATGGGCTCCAACAGAGGCTGGTTGGACGGATCGAGGGACGCAAGTTCAGGAGGTAACGCATCCTCAGGGGCCACGTGAGTCATTGTGGCTTCAGACACCGTGGGTGTTTGTGTCGACTGGGGACTACTGAACTGGATTTGTTCAAGTAGTGTATCATCGCTGAGAGGGACATTCTCGGGCTGACTTGGTTTGCTCGAAGCCTGCTGCTCCTGCTGATGATCCTCCACCTCGGATCCAGCTGCCGGTTCAGGCTCGCGACTCTTCGCCAGAACGACAAGCTGACTTGTGTCACGGTCCTGGTACCGCGTTCTCTTGCCCAACACGCCCGTCACCGCAAAGACAAACCGCCGCGTCGTTGCCGCTTTGGCGAGATCTGCTCTGGCCAGAGAGTCGTCTCCATAATATGTGCGTATCGTGGCTCGCTCGACCAGAAACTCGACGAAATGGTCTTCAGAATCAGCACTGTGGAATGCCAGCCGTGAAGCGAGCTGCTGTTCGAGGATTCCGGCATCCGAGTAGATACTGTCGCGAAGAGTGGGCGACTGCTCCGACAGAAGTTTCTGGTGCCAAAAGTTGACTCTTATCCGTGCCCTCCGACCGTTGAACCCTGCCTCGGCAAGTGTCGGGTTCGACAGGATCACCTTTGCAAGCCAGAACAGTTCAATGTGCGGAGCGAGAGGATAGGGGCGGAGGCCATCGACAGAAAGATAGTCAAAGACTTCCTCTTTGACGGACTGCAAATCCTCGCCGCGGTATTGCTCAGGTATAATGGCTTCCTCCGGATTGAAGTCCAATGGCGGGCCCGTCACGTTCGCTTGGAGAAACGCTTCGAGCGCGGTGTATCCGATTTTGAGAAACGCCAAATGGCTGGCGGCATCGTTGAGAAGAAATTTGAGTCTGGACGTAACACCGCCTACGAAGGGCGTCTTCTCGGCATGGACGGCCTCGAACCCAAGCAGCTTTCGCGTTAACGGATCTTGTAAGATCTCGAGGAAAGATGAGCCCATTTTTGGATATGGAAAAAGGTGTTCCATCGGAGTACTAGATGGCAGACCAGTGCCAACCGCATGTAGACTCAATTGGCCACACTGGTCGGATTCAAAAAGATGGGAGCACCTCTTACGGAGCTCAGGTGCCAGAGAAGTGCTGCCAAAATAGTCGAGGTGGTTGAAGAGTTTCTTGTATTCACAGACATCCAACCGGCGTCGTACAAACCTGGCAGTCACAACACGTTGAACCTCATAACAGCTGATTACGGCCTGTTTCGGCTTGGCTCCTGAATATACGGGCTCTCAAGCCGTAACCGTGCAATTACCTAGGTATAGAATAAATAAAAATAGTGGTTATAGAATCATCATTCATCACTACTAATAAAGTTGGTGGAGTATGTATCACCCGCAACCAGAAATTTCCGGGTAAGTCACGTGCCCACGATCTCGCTGGGATGTGACAAAATGGGCACCCTATGTGCCAAGCATTATAAAGACGTCGAGGACCGTCTTTCGGTCTCGACTAGCGTCGTACGCTATCGTACAACCCCTAGAGAGTATATAGTCTAACGAGGCCCTAGGCTCCGTTAAAATAGAATAAATTCTCCGTAAAATTATATTTAGTAGCGGCGACGAGATAGTTCTCTATCTTAAACTAAGGTCCGTAAGGACTCCTACGCTCTCTCGAGAAGAAGAGAAGCGTAGTCGATCGTCGAGGAGATCGATACTCTTCTATATAAAGCCGATTAAAGATAAACGAAACTACCTTAATATATAGCGAAATTAATTAATAAGAAAATTTTCTAGCTCGAAGCTCGTCTTTTACGCTCGATAAACCTCTTCTAATTCCGTAGCGAAGGCTTACGAGAATTATACTTTTAGAATAACGAGTAGCGATAAAAATTTCTTATCGAGAAAGGTAAATTATAGTAGTAAGTAGTAACTTTCTCCTCTAAAAATTTTAGTCTCGCTACCCTTAGGTACTCTTAGCTATAAACGATAACTAGTAATATAACTAAGATATAGTAGTAACGACTACTTCGACGTCCTCGATTATATTCTATCGGCCTAGATACTATAAACGATAATATCGCCGAGGGGCTCGACGCGTCGATAGAGAAAGAAATATTACTACTAGAACGAACTCTTTATTAGGACTTCGTCTAAACTATACTAGTAGAAACTAGATAGTTATCTAGATCTATCTAGACCTATTCGTACTATTATAGGCGATAGAAAATAATAGATCGATTAAAGAAAGGCGTATAGTAAGGCCTCTCGAGAGATAAAGTACTATTTAGCTAGAGACGGTCTCGAATATCGAGAGCTAGTTATAAAGCGCTCTCGCTAGACGAGATAGAAGCTTCTATAAAGAATATATTCTTCTCGAGATTACTTATCTTTCTTTTATTATATATTATCTTCTACTCGTTTCTTACTCGTATTTCGTAAACTACGCTTAAAAGCTCTTCTATACTAAATATTATATAAATACTCCCTTAATCCTAGTAATAGTAGTATTAGAAACCGATATCTCTATAGAAGGAGCTAATCTATAGAGAATATATAGACTCCTAGAAGAGAATCGCCTTAGAAACTTAGAAAGGACTATAGCGGCCCTTACCGACTACCTACGATACTATAGGACTTCCGAAATCTTCGCTTTAACGTCTATAAACGGTCTATTAAAGATTACCCCCTTATCTATAGACTAGACGAATATATCTAGACTCTTATCTAGATAGTAGTATCTATCGTTAGATCTATTCTAAGATATTAGCGAGATAGAACTCGAAAAGCCCCTAAGATATAAGAGTTATCGAAATAACGACGCGATACGAGTCTAGCTAATCTATATCGAAAGGTAGTTAGACGCGAAGAAAGTCGTTAATAAATATCCTTTAATAGGCCGCGAACGTATCGCTCTAGTAACTTTCTACCTCGAAGATAATATCTTAATATAGTAAAATCTTATATACTAAGATATAAAATATAGTCTCGGAACCGATCTACTCCTAATTAACTAAAAGATATAGAAGAAAGTATTCTAGATAGCGTTCGGCGACATTAGAACGTAGAAGTAACATCGAGATAAGTTCGACTCTCTTAAGTAAATAGAAATAGTATAAGAGTTTCGATAAAAGATCGAAACTCTTCGACTATATCTCGACTCTCGCCCTAGCGACGCCGAATATCTACTCGTTTTTAAACGAGAGCTTAGGACGGCTATTCGGAACTAAATAGAACTCCTTCTAGATACTATACTTCTCTAAAATTATAGAGATTACGCTCTTTTTATAGATAAAAGCGAAAGAGAGATATAAGCTAACGTATATAGAATAGCCCCTCTTCGAGGTCGCTCGAGAAGATTTTTCTTAAGAAAATCTTCTTAATCTCCTCGGACTATCTAACTAGATCGTAAGAACGCTAATAGTAATATCGAGATAGCCCTTAACGATCTTTAACTAGAATTCTTCTCGTCTACTAAGACTAAAATCTCGCGTAGTTATAGAAACGGACGTAGATTCTTAAGTAGCTTTCGTTAGAAGTATTAAGACGATAGTCTCTACTTTGATTATAGAGAAGCGGGTTATTAAAAGAAAGATTATTCTAACCCGAAGAAGTCTATAAGATAAGGCTATCGAAGAAAAGAGAAGAGTCGCTAGATAGTAGGGCGTTTAGCGACGATAAAGAAGTTATAGACTCTTCGAAGGCTATCGATACGAGTCTATTAGACTCTAACCCCTCTTTCGATAATCTAATAGACGTCGCTATTAATACGATCGAAGTCTTTAATTATAACTTAGATCGTATCTAGAGATATAATATTACTAGCGAATCGCTAGAATAGTATAGTAACTCTTATCTCGTTACGGTTCTTCTTAATACGAGCTCCGACGTCTTCTACGTCTTAAGAAGAGTCGCTAAGTAACTAGATAAGAACTATAAAATTATCTAGAGATTATCTCTTTAAGTATATCTTACTAATAGCGAGACGACTCTCTTTAATTAAGCTATTATAACGGGTCTAATCGTCGATAACTTTCGAGCTTAAACGATACTCCGTATCTTAGATTAGAACGTATATAACGTTATTCTTAGACTTAACTAGCTAAAGAAGTATAGCGCTTTCTAGGATTTTAGTCACTTACGTATAACGATACGTAATAGGACTAGAAAATTAACTTCGATATCTCTTCGACTCTTTTAAACTATTAACTATAAAGGTATTAAAGAGGCCGGATTAAACCTACTTAGCTTTCGAAAGACTTAGAAGACGATTTCTAAACTATCTATACTCGACTAGACTTCTATCTTATATCTTATACGAGAATAGAGTTCTAGCGATAAAGTAATCTCTTTAATATCTAGAACTAAGAATAGGCGTTTTAGGCGTATTCTCGAAAGATTTAAAATAGTATTTCGAGAAGAACTATCTATTAAGTTTCTAACGAAGCGGAACGTTAAGTACGAAATCGATATAGACGATACTAAGTCTATTAACTTACTCTACTACTCTTTATCGAAAGAATATCGAGATAAATAAGATCGGTAAATTCGTACTTTACTAGAATAGAGTCTAATTCGGCTCTTAGAAAGTCTATAGAGTTTCTCTATACTCTTTATACCTAAATCTAGAGGTAAATAGCGAATATATATCGACTATCGTCTTCTTAATAATATTACTATTAAGAATATCTATCTCTTATCTCGAATCTAGAACTATCTTAATATTATCGAAGTCGCTCGATAGCTCTCGAAGACCGATTTTACCTAAGAATACTACTAGATCTAGATAGAAAAGATATCTATCGAAAAGATCGTCTTTAATACGCGGTTCGGTAAGTACGAGTTCTTAGCTATACCGTTTAGACTTATTAATGCCTCTTTAACGTTCTAGAGGATTATAAACGACGCTCTATAAGAATTTATTAGTAAGTTCGTAATCGTCTACTTAGACGATATCGTTATCTACTCGTAGACCGAAGAAGAATACGAACGCTATCTCGAATAGATATTTAAGACACTATACGGCCATAAACTATATACGAAGTCGTCGAAGTATATTATTGGCGTCTAATAGCTTAAATTCTGCGAATATATAGTAGATAACGGAGAGTATCGACCTACGTCTATAAAGATATAAGCTATTCTTAAATAGCCTTAGTCTCGAAACGTATATAAAGTACGTTAGTTTTTAGATTTAGCTTCCTACTATCGAAGATTTATTAAAGACTTTATAAAGATTACTATATCTCTATCCGATTTATTAATCGAGGCGGATATCGAGCTTCGAAAAAAGAAGTTCCGATCTATTCGATAGAACGCGAGATACGAGTACGCCTTCTAAGTACTTAAGAAGGCTCTCGCTACTAAACTAGTTTTATAATAAGTCGATAAATCGAAGCCTTTTCGCGTAGAAATAGACTACTTCGAGTAGGCTTTAGGTTATATTCTTTTATAAGAAGGATCTAATAGAAAGTAGTATCTAGTCGTCTACGACGGGCGGAAACTTAATAGAGCCGAGCTAAACTATTCTATATATAAAAAGAAGCTTCTCGCTATTAAGTACGCTCTTCGAACCTAGATTATATACTTCTAGAATAGCTATAAGACGGTTATCGTAACCGATTATAAGAGCCTAAAATATCTAAATACCACTCGGACGCCTTCGAAGCGCCTTACGCGGTAGATTAATAAGTTTTCTAAGTTCGACTTAAATATCCGATATCGTAAAGGCTCCGAAGCTATTATCCCTAATACTATTTCTAGACGACTCGATTTCCTAGAAAAGAGCTCTACTAATAAAGTATAGATCTCTAGCGACGTAGAAGTATCTCTAAATATCTAATAAATAGTATATTCGAATAACGATATAGAATAGAAAGATACTATTATAGCCCGATTAATAATAAAGAATAAATCCGACTTAAGCCCGGCCTAGAAAGAGCAGCTAGCGCGTATTAAGTATCTAGATTAATACTTCGTAGAAGAAGGCCGCCTATTCCGAAAGATTA